CCGCCTTAAATATTTGCATTTTATTGGCTTTGGGAAAACTGGCGTCCAGCTCTTGCGTTTACATTTAGATAAGAAAGAAGACCTACATGTGTGTAATATTTATACCAAGCTGCACACATTGGCATTACTGTGACTTTTAAAACCTCTTATTTTTGCTGCAGTTTGTTTCTTTAGCAGTGGATGTAATCACCTGGAATAAAACAAAGCTGAAATGGTTGTTTTTACCTTTTTTGCTGAGAGTTTCGACCACCCCTGCAATCTTCTTTAGCTAGCCGCTAATGGCGGCGTCACTTCCTTCTCTGTTTATCCACCATTAGTGGCTAGCTCTGTAGAAGACCGCAGGAGTGGTCGAAACTCTGAGGGGAAAAAAAGTAAAAACAACCCTTTCCTGTGTTAAAAATAAAATAACCAAATAATGCAATCAGAAGAAACACAGAATGAATACACAAGCGATAAAACAGCTTTTCCACATTAAGTGAAATTTACTGACAAATACTTGGTGATTCCATTTTGACTGAATTTTAAGTTAGTTTATCGCCCTCCTCTTGAAGTTTAAACATCCCATCTTTAAAACTGCATGTTTGCCGTGGCTCAAAGAAGCTAGCTTACCAGAATCCCACCCTTACTCCCTGTTTTTGTCCATTTCTGCTGGTTATCTGTGTTTAGCTGAGTGGACTAAAGAATTCAGCAAATCTTAAAAATGTAACTATTGGAGTCCGTCCATGCATCATCAGGCCAGAAACAGATTGTTGTGTTTCCTGTATGACCACCACAGCCCATAACCCACATTTTTGTGACGTAAATAGAAGATTCATAAAAAGAAATGTCGCCTTTGTCATGTTTTGTTGGTAGAAGGTGCTATGGGCAGCAAGCACAAACAATTTCCTGCTTTTTATCATCAAAAATCATCAGAATCATTCACGACTCATTGTTTAACCCTACCACTGTCTTAATGGGTGACACCGCGAGGAAAGTTGACCACTAAGCAGGGTTGATGGTTTATCCCTTGGGTCCGTGTGGCAGGGATGAGGAGTGAGCACCACCTCACCCCTGCCACGTGGAGGGTTAACTGGCGTCCATTTTTGATTGATGTAAGAGTTCATTTTTAAAACATCCCAAATATTCACCCAGTTAAAATTATTAGTTAGATATCTAAAATTGAGATGAGACCGCCTGTGAAACATGACATAGTTATTATTGACATACTTTCCACCTCTTACCCAAACATGTAAAAATGGTTGTAAATAATTAGATGTGACACAATTTGGTTTTGTTTTATTCTATTTTTCTTGCTCAAATGCAAATTCTTCTCGTCAAAAAACCCATGTAGTCATGATGCTGCATTCAGGGTGAACAGGACTGACGAGACAAACACACCTCCCAGCGCTGGCCGGTCTGTTTCTGTTCTTTAAAGCTTTATCATCCATGTTGAAAACTACCCAGCAATAACACATCACTCTAATGTTTTAATATCAATAAAAGACCCATCCGTATAAACGACCGTGTCACATTAAATATATAGGTTCTTCAACAGAAGAGCTACTGTATTTTAAAACAGTCGTCCCAAACTTGTCACCTCTGAGCGTTTTTTGTGATGGTCACATGGTAGCGTAGGGCACACCAACACTTGCACAGATGAATAGGGTTGATTCATCCTGCCTCCTCATTGGTCTCCATTTGGTCCCCCTGGAGACAGAGACAGGCTCTGTGAATACTGTCTGTCAAAAAAAAAAGAGCCATGAGACCACATCCCCTGATACTTCCTACTGTACCACTGCTCACACACTCACTGGTGTGTGTGTGTGTGTGTGTGTGAGTGGTGTTGTGGGATTGTGAAGTGGAAGATAGGGAGGAGGTGGAAGAAAGGAAAGGAAGGGGTGGGGATCTCGTCTATTTTCATGCATCACATTATCTCCCTCCCCTCCGAGTTAGCTCTAAGACATCCTTGACCTTTTGTACGTCTTGTCTTATCTCCTGTCCTCTTTTACCTGCGTGTCCACTCGTGCCTAAGATGGCTGATTCCAGATCCCAGTCAGTGTGAATCGCTGTGCCGGGAACGGCCGTGCTTCTGTGCACAAGAAGGTGTGCGCAGGTTTTTTGTCAATTCGTCACCCAATCTGTTCGTCCTCATGAGCTGTTGGGTTTCATCTCAGGCTCAAAATCTCACTGTCTCCTCATTCGCAGTGATAAAGAACCATCAACCATTGTTCAAACAGTGCCAAATCTCGGTCCGCTCTTGGTGATTAAGCCATCTGTGCTGCAAATTATCAACCAATAAGTTTTAGTGATTATGTTCTGCAAAATCTGATGGCAGATAGCATAAAAAGGGCATACATTTCTACTTTTCTTTTTTTGTTTTGCATTGGGCAAATTTTCTCCATTATGATGCACCCGTGTTCTCTATGGCCTATACAAGCTGGCCTGAATTGAAATGGCTGATCAGTTAGCCTTTTGTTCTCTTGGCTCATTTGCATTAGAAAACTGGTGTCAGGCTGAGACAAGGTCAATTTGACTTTCAATAAAGCTCAGCAGCACAAATATCAGACCCCAAAGCCTGATTACGCTGACTTTGTTTGGTGAATACCGGTCGTATCAAAACTGACTAAACCGGGTTGTAAAAATCCGAGAAATCTTCAGGGATGTTTTTTGTTGCTACATAAACACAGAGCATAACCGTGCTTCTCAGGTGAGATTAAAGTCTAAACACTGCATTAGTTAGTTTGTTTATGTCTATTTTGTTGGACCAACTCCTCAGCTGGCAAGATTCAACTTTTTTCACTACCGATACGATACCGATGTTGCAGCCATCAGTATTGACCGATACCAATATCAACCTGATACGATATCAGCACAAATCATACATACTTTTACCTATTTCAAAGTGCGGAATGAATGAAAGGCTTGATCAAGTGATATTACTCAATAAGAGAACAAGAGTCAATAACAGTAAGTATGAAAAAAACGACAAATTTTTTTTTTTACCATTGTTGCAAAAATGTGAACCTTAACGGACCGCTTATATCGGAGCAGTTGACAGAAACATGACTAGTGAAGCGCCTCAGGAGCACAAATGAAGCAATGCAGGAGTGTGTCCAAGGTAGCGAGGAGGGAGTGGAAACCGGCAAACAGGTCAGCAGAAAACAGAATGAAGGAGCGGCTGTAATCAGCTGGCTCATGCTCTGGAGGTTCTGCTGATGCGTCCCGGCTCGCTGGCCGATTTAACAGCATTGTTACTTTCTATTCATAAAGTAAATGGTCCACACCTACAGTATGTATCACGTTGTCTTTGCTGTGAAAGCCATTATGACACACCGCCTTTTCTGTTTATTTGCATTCCACATTTGCAGCGGTTTTCATATTAATTCACACACTACTGAGCATGCTGGGACAATTTACCTCACCGATCTTTTCCATCGGACGCTTCGACTTTTCAGACTTCCAGTTTTGTGATTAGAAATTTTAAATTTCATTGACTTTTTCAGCTGAAGCCAACAGAACAGTTGATTCCTAAAGCACGCTCTAAAAGCCTTTTCCGTTTCCCACACATTCCTTCCTTCTCCCCTACTTCATGCTCCAGGCCTGCGAGTGGAGCAAGAGGTGGTGACGTCATACCCGCAGGTGGTGTTGGTGCGGGTCCCCACGCCCTGGGTCCAGTCGGACAGTGACATCACGGTGCTGCGTCACCTGGAGAAGATGGGCTGTCGGTTGATTAACCGGCCCCAGGCCATACTCAACTGTGTCAACAAATTCTGGACCTTCCAGGAATTAGCCGGACACGGGGTCCCACTTCCGGACACCTTCTCTTACGGTAACGCCACACTTGTGTTTCTCATGTTGTTGTGAATCTGCTCATGTCCAGAAACAAAGTAAGGCCCTGAGAGTTTGTCTAGTGGCCCCGAGCAACATCAAAATCATTGTTCACCAAGTTTAGCTGCGGGGCTTTGTGCAGAAACTATGTAGCCTACAATGACCCAGATGACCAGAGCTTCCTTCACAGCACCACAAGTTTCTATAAGGCGAGCTTTTATCAGAGCAGCGGGGTGACACGGCACATATTTTCAGCTACAAACCGAAAACGGACAACTATAAGGCAGACGTTTTTTGTGCTAAAACAGCCCACAGTGCTGCGGTGATCATGAGAGCATCAAGAGAAGGATTCAGACACAGAGAAGGGAGAAAAGAATAAGGAGGGGGGTGTTTGGCCTACATTCCTCGTGTCTCTGTGCACAGTAGGCTTGGCGATGCATGCAGAGCAGCTGGAGAGCTTATGCAACCACCACCCCCACCACCGCAGACACACATCCCACCCTGTGCCCTTTCGTGATCTTTCAAAATAAAGCGCGCAGTAGCTCTGCCGCCTCTACCCAGAGCGGGATCACGCAGTGGTTACGCCGTTCATCGGGAACGGCGCGAGAGGCCGCACCGTTTGCATCTGTTCGTCTGACTACATGCCAGAAAAAGGCCAGAATGTGAACAAGTTTCAGGGGAAATGAGTGATTAATTCACCAACATGTTTTTTTAGACTCCTCAAGCCGAGGCAGAGGAACCGAGAGCACATCTGCTGCAACAGGCTGTCGTTATAAATCACTGTCAGATACGGTCAGCTGCTCCACATTAAACCCAGCGGTCACTGACTCCTCTGTTCCTCCCTCATAAGTCTAGGCTCAGGACAGTTCTCCCTACAGCCTCGCTGTTTGGAAGCGCTGCTGTTTCCATAGCAACGCCAGGTCCCATGCAGCATGTAAACCCCGCCACAAGAGCAGGAGTAGCTAATACACGTTCGTGTCTGTCTGCCTTCTCCCAGGGGGGCACGACAACTTCCGTAAGATGATCGACGAGGCAGAGCCGCTGGGCTACCCGGTGGTGGTGAAGAACGCACGCGGTCACAGAGGTAAGGCGCCTCCCCCCGCTCGCCACACATTCCTCTAGAATGTCCCCGCCAGTGGGAACTCAGCACTTATTCATTGGCTGGTTAAACGAGTGTTTCCACCAACACACAGAGGCTTTAAGCTAGTTATTTTAACCTTCAGGTCTACAAACACACCGCCGATAACTCGTTTTGCCTGAGTTCACAGAGGCTCTGAGGTCACCCACCATGTTTGACGGCCCATTAGTCTTTAAATCTTTAGTTATTAACTCCTGCACCGCTCTGAGGCAATGTGAAGGAGTCACAGAGAGACCTGGGGGTTCAGATTTTTATCTAAGCACATTGTTCAGGAAATCAGTTGGTCAGCAGTTGACCCGTTTATTGGATTTCCTCTCAGGGACTGATTTTTTTTTTCTTTCTAGCTGGCTGAACTCAAATCCAGCTTCCTAAACTTTGACATAAGTTGGTATTTAGTGATTTAATACTGTATGAAATGTTGAAAGATATTTGAGTGTGGTACTAATAAAGACATTTACTGTGGAATGAATCAAACATGTTGTTATCTAAGGAGTTGTCTTATCCAGGTTGCTATTGTCCTTGGACCTGAGTTCAGAGGTCTTTAACAAAAAAGGAGACAAGTCCAAGTGGTGCTAATTAAATCAGGCGTCTTCTGTCCTCTGAGAGGCAGCCCTGGCCCTGTCTAGACTTGGCACAAAGACGCGTCCCCGCTGATCAGCTTCATGGAGGAACGTTCACACCTGGAGTCAAAATTCCATCAGATGTTAGATGCAAGTAAACACTTAGTCGTCTAACAAATAACTGATGGACAAACAAGGACATCTCAAAAGGGGACAGGGGTTTCTGTAAAATCACAAACTAATCCGCTCACCTGAAGCATTTTGACTTTAACATAGTTCAGAGTCACCTCAGTTGCATTTTGGGGAATTTGTTGAACATTTTAAACCAGGAGACGTGCAGGTGAGGTCATGTCGGGTCAGCGGTTTGCTCCGAGTGAAGCTGTCTTTATTCTGTCCTGTAAGCATCATCACCTGTTCTCAGAGCCTCCTTCGGGACGGATGTGAGTACCAGGTCCGAGTCGGGCCTCGGACTGGGATTTACTCACAAGCTCTTCTAGCAAACATCTTAATTTTCTGTTCGGCTTATGTGTGACAACAGCCCTGAAGACGAGCTCACTTTTCCTTTCTTCTCCTCATCTAGTTTCTCCTTCCTTCTCTTAGGCAAGGCTGTGTTCCTGGCACGAGACAAACACCACCTGACAGATCTGTGTCACTTGATCCGCCACGACACCCCCTACCTCTTTCAGGAGTATGTCAAGGAGTCTCACGGCCGCGACGTGCGGGTTGTTCTGGTGGGCGGCCGCGTCATCGGCTCCATGCTACGCTGCTCCACCGACGGCCGCATGCAGAGCAACTGCTCCCTGGGTAGGTGCACACCTGAGAGGCCCTGAACGCACGTGTTAACTCACAGCACAGCTCGGCTTTTAATGTGGACGCTTTTGTTCTGGGCTGCAATTCTTTTACATTTGTGTTCAAGTCAAAAGCGTCACCTGCTAAAGCTAAGTTAGCCTACGCTGCAGACTTTAAATGAGTCAGCCGTCCAACTGATGAGGCTGATGTTCAGAGTCAGGACAGGAGCCGCTCTGGTCCGGCTGGGGCTGTAATGCTCTGTGACGTATTTGGGTCATCAGATTATTTTATGCAACAGTTCATGTTGACTCTGCTGGATTTGGTCTGAGGATTGTCTGTATTGACCAGGACTGTGTGTGTGTGTGTGTGTGTGTGTGTGTGAATCGTTAGGTGGCGTGGGTATGATGTGCCCCCTCAGTGAACAGGGCAAGCAGCTGGCCATCGAGGTGTCCAACATCCTCGGCATGGACGTGTGTGGCGTTGACCTCCTGCAGCTCAACGACGGCTCTTTTGTGGTTTGCGAGGCCAACGCCAACGTGGGCTTCATCGCCTTCGACCAGGCGTGCGGCATGGATGTAGCGGGGACCGTGGCCGACTTCGCCCTGTCGATGCTCCCCAGCCGTCTCACCCGTAAGATGTCCCTCCTCTCCGTCGTGTCCAGCACCAGCGAAACCTGCAGCGAGCCTGAGGTGTGCATCGTGCCCGCCGGCGGCGGCTCGTTGCCTGAAGCCGTCTGCAACATGAGCGTGGGTTCTACCTCCAGCGAGAGCGACCCCGAGCTGGCGGAGCCCTCGCAGTCGTCACCCCGCCGCTGTACCCCCCCTGACCTCCCCGACCTCCCAGATGCGGCCTACAACTTCAACACCCTCCTGGCCAATGAGATCAAACTATTGACTGAGTGAGGGCCATGCAAATGTAATGCACACATGAAAACCACACACACGCACACACACACCTGTAGAAACATTCCCCACACATCAGGCTGAAACAAAAGTTAAACGTGCGAAACACGAGCTAAGAGAAACAGAACACGTCCTAAAGCAACTGCTTAAACAAACATCTAAACACGAGCCTTCTCCTGTAGAGGAAACGATCTGAGGCTGCTCCCCTGACTTTTTATTTTTATTTTTTAAGATCCAAGGTGTGCTATGAGCTTTGCTCAACGGGTGTACGTGTGTTTAAACCCACGAGTTTAATGAAAAGGCGTCACACCGGAAACATAAATGAAGTGTTTTAGGGTTGGATCTCAGGCTAGGCATCATAAACTCAGCAGCGTAGTCCTCCTGACACAGACTCAGAACAAGACGGGGACCAACTGGACGTGTGCAGCAGGTTTTGTCGTCCTATGTATTAAATTCTTCTGTCAGTGTTCGATTACCGGCAGCATTAGTCGTCTGCTTTTAAAATCCACTCTTTGCCTAGCACTTTAATCCAAACAAATGCGTTTTTGTCTCTCAGAACACGTTTAGGAAAGATGAGACCGTTTGCAAGTTGTGTCATCACCTAAAGGAAATATACCTCAATGCAGAGAAGTCTCACTGCCATAGGACGTTACAGACATACCACACATATCAACACAAACCTTTGTGGGTTTTTATCCAACGCCTCAGATAACCCGCGTTCCTTCCTTTAAAGAATGGGACCTGAAATATAGTTGTTTTTCTTCTTCTTCTTTTGTAAATATAGGTAGCAAAATTAGCTTCACGGCATTCTGGCGTCCAACCGATTAAACTGGAAAAGCAGAGTTAACTGCCAGTCAGCGCTTCAGACGCCGTTTTTGGAATAGATTGTACAAATAAAACAAGGTTTAAATGTAAATTTGGTGCTAACAGGTTTCGATTGGGACACAGGCGACCTATAATCATTTGTGGATGTCCGTTGCTTTTATACTTTATTTTTTCTTGATGAAAATCTAATTTCCTACTAAATATGCTGACATGTTGTATAAAATATGAAAACTATATTTTTAGGTTTTTTACATAGGTTTTTTTTTCATTCAGGGCTTTTAGCAGCCAAACTTTATTGTTTACAGGTTTGTTTGTTTTTATTTGAGATTAATTTTTGTACACCGCATCAACAACAAAAGTCAAAACCATAGGATAGGCTTCAGTATTGTCCGTTCTCTTTGAAATAACTTCCAACTTTGATCAAAAAGCACAAGTAAAACCTTAAGTCGTCCACATCTTTAGGCTCATAGCCCTTTCTGTTGAACACGACTCAGGGAAGCAGCCTGGATCTCAGCCCATCCATCCGAGCTAGAGACACGTCCTAAACGTCACACACCAAAACAAGACTGAAAAAAGGGTGTAAACTACCGTATAAGCCTATACAATAGTTAACATGCACTTTTTTCCTTGCTTGTTTCATAATGTTCCTTGTTTTTATAATTTATGGGATTTCTGAAGAAGAAAAAAAGACAATAAATCTGGTTTTTGTGCACTAATATTGTCTCAATAAAGTGAAACCTCTGTGAAGCTTGATTTTTATCCTCCTTTGCTGTGGGCCAAATTTCCTGTCTGGGATGGGAGCCGGTCCCCCACTGGAGGGTCCTAATCCTACGTTCACCAGAAAACACAACGAGGGGGGGCGGCTTTTTATTTAAAGGTTTGGCGATCGAGCGATCACAGCGGCTCCACGCCGTTTACTATTGTGACGTCGTCTGGTGTCGATTTTATCAAAAATATCTGGCAAAACTGTGAAATCTCTGAATGTCCAAATCCTGCCAGGCGAGGATGCTGATGTCATCTCACAAGGCGTACATGAGCGTAGCCATGACATATCCCTTTGATTTAATAGAGACCCATCAGAAGGAATTAACACTCGTTTGTCTCCTAGACCTCCTATTTTTGTCTGTTTTAAATTATTATTATTATTATTTGGGAAGCGTTGATCAAAGGTCAGAGGTCCTACTCAGTTCTCCTTGGTCACCCGCCATGATGAAGTGGAGATCCAGGGAAACCAGGTGTAATCAGAAGAAGAGTCAGCCTGAAGCACACCAGTAGATAAACCCCTGGACGAGATACTGTTAACAACCACAGCACTAATGGTTACCGTCAAACTCCCGAAAAAGTGCTGCTAGTAAACGCTGAGTCATGAAAATGAAACTAAAAAGGGAACGGGAGCTCCTCCACTTGTCTCTGTGGTTTTGCTGCATCACAATGCAAAAAAATAAACAAATCAAATGAAAACAGAAGCCAAAAAAATACACTTTGTTGTATAATTCAGTACAATTAACACTAGTAGTGTAATAAAATAATGACTGTTGTGAGAAAATTAATCATGTTTCAGAATTGTATATAAAGATTTCAATTGAGAGGTTTGTTTTATGCTTTTGTTTAGCGGGAGGAAGGAGTTTTTGCTTCTGCAGCTCTGCTGCTGATGTGTGAGCGCTAGGAAACGTGTCTGCCTGGACTGTTGGATGCAAACGAAGCAGAAATGTGGCTTCAAAAAGGTTTCTGCAGATGCCTTTGACTATTTTCTGTTCTCTCTTTACGACACAGTTCTGAAAATGTTTTGGAGAAGCGGATCCCTAAACTGTTAACCACGGAATGATGTACATATATATCCCTCTTTTTTTTTAGATTAAAATAAAGTCATTATTCAAACTGATGGATCTCTCCCCTCTTTTGTATCTTTTTTCCTCACCAGTTTAATTATAATCAGATTAAGTTGTGAACTGAGTGGATCGTTCTGAGACCTGGCTGGAATGAAGGAAGAAGTCGTGGCCGCCCGCCGGTGTGTTGGCTGGTCAACCAGGTTTTGTGGATCAGTCACCAGCTGTGGTGTGATCTGGGAGCTGGACTCTGCCAGGTCATGGTCTGATATCAGCTGGATGCTCTGCATGGCCAAATCCCAGACCCTGGCACAGAAACAAACACACTGCAGCTGTCAGACTCTCAGGGGAGAGAAGAGGCTGACTTGTTTAATGATGTCACAGAAATTGTGCAGACTGCTCCCCAGACGACTCCATTTAGGACACATTTATCCTCCAAAAACAGTTTCTCGTGCGTTTTCATTGATTTTTAGGCCAACAAGTGATGCAAATAATGTAAGGTAACAAATCAATGTTTATTTTGATGCTGCTAATCAAAGAGAAGATCAGCAAGCAAACATTGGTACCATTGTTTGGGTCTGTTACACCATTTTTTACACAAAAATACAGGCTACACTTTACAATAAGAGTCCCTTTTGATAAAGTTAATGCATTAGTAAGCATTTAAAGGCGTTGAACACTTTAATAAATACATTTACAGTGGTCTCTGGTGGGAACAAATGCCTTGGAAGTCAGGAGGGAAGCTCCTGGATCAGCATGGACAAGTCTGCTGCGGCAAAACGTGGAAGGATTGAGTCTTATTTCCTGATATTTGGACATCTTGCCTCAGATTAGAAAACAGCACTGCAACTCCTGCAAACTCCATTTGCTCTGCAACATGGATGTTTCATCTCGGCAAATAACACAAGCCTGGAGGAGGTTTTGCTGTGTGGTTGGGCTGCTAATTCTAATGTTAGCTTCTGCTAAAAACAACAACAGCCCTCCAGGCGCGGGTCGAAGCCAGATCAGGACTAAGCAGGTACAGGGAGCAGGCTGGAGGCGTGGTCAAAGACAAAAATGTTTCTTCCACGTCTTTAATAAACAAAGAGTCGCTTTATTACTGTTACAGTTATTTTAACTATTAAGTGTCCATGGGACAAAGGGCCAGGGGGAGTATCTGCTTAGTAATGCATTACCTAATAGCAGTTGTTAATACTTTATTTAATCGTTTATTAGTGATTAATAAAGCATCTAAGTAATGTTAATAAAGGGACTCTTATTGTAAGTGTTCTCAAAATCCTTTTACCGCGTATTAAGGTCACAGTGATCATTTAGACAAATGTTATAGCTGTAAACCCATGAATGGAGTAGAAATCAAAAGGTACTGCCTCGGAGCAGCCGGGATAATGTTCTGATCTAGCAGGATCACCGTGGCGGGTCTTTGTGGAGTTATTGGTACAAGTACGGCCGCGGACCGACATTCCAGAGTCTAAGCTGCCCTTAAGTTATAGCTTGTTCATGCCAGACACCGGGTTGTTCTCTTTAACATTCAAATTACCAAGTAATCTATTTTTCTTTTTAAAAATAAAAAGCTTTTTATTCTGTGTTATTCTACTATTCAGATTAAAATGGTCACATTATTGGTAAAGTAATGGTTCTGTTTTGTTGCTCAGCAAGGTTTCTGTAGCTGCTGGCGAGATATCCCTCAGTCTCTGTCCTTTATTTTTGCTCCAGCACCAGTTAAGACTCTATTTTTATGATATGATGATCGTCTGCAAGCACCGCTGTGGCCTTATTTTGCAGGATGCACCAGAAACCTGATGATTCATCTGACATGTTGGTGCCGAGGAACACGAATAGCCTTCTGTCTCAGAGCTTGCACATCCTCGGAGCGGATAGGAGTCAGAATGCTGCCACCGCCCTAAAAACCACCCCTAATTCCCTCCTTCTGTTTACGGCATCGCCAATTAGAGCTAATCCGATGTTGAGACGGCACTGAGAGGAAACAGGAAAATGTGTTACTGTGTCAAGGCCGACCAACTCAGGTGACTTACCCTGAGATGGATCTAGAAAATGGCAGTGCTAGATGTAAGCAAGACAATAAACTATCAATAAAAACACCTTCAAACTTTCTTTTGCCATTCTATTTATGAAAACAAAAATATACATATATATATATATTTTGTATAAATGACAAAAACACAGTTTTCACAAAATAAATACGTGAAAAACATGCGGATAGTGTGAGATTACAAAACTACCGGAGAATTGCAAAGCCATGTATGATTTCATCAGTTCACACAAGCCAGGATAAATATGGCAGCATGTATCCAAAAGTGGTGGTTAATTTTCTGTTCTTTTAACATCCAACAACGGAGTGTCACAGGTAATTCTATAGGATTTTTTGGGGGGTGAAATCTGCATTTGACTTTTACTTTGAAAGTTACTTGATGTTTTAAGCTGCTCCCATGTTCCATTTCCTGTGTGGCCTGATGTGAACTGCTTAGCTTGACGTGTTCAGGAAATGAAGAATGCAAAAAAATAGATCCAAAGCGTAAATTTAGCAGTGTGCCACAAGGCTATCTCAAACGCATTCGAGATGCGCCCGGTGAAAACACACCCATTGACTCTAAGGGCCAGAATATACTTGCTGTTTAACTTCGCGTTGGTGCAGGCAGCAGGCTGTGACCTTGTTCACATACTTGCTGCTACACAGCACTGCACTGCATGTAGTAATGGGGCGTTCCACTAGGGGGTGTACTAGAGAACTCAGACCAGATAGAGAAATGGCGTCAATAAAAGAGCTCACTAACTGATTAATTCTGAGATCGCAACAGAAGAAAAGCCAGCAGTGGTATCGTCGATGGTGTGAAAGACCTCCAAACCAGAGATGAAGTTACCATGGTGAGCGTGTTTTGCTCATTTTGTCAACCCCACCTACTGGCTACTCCCATATTGCAACGTTCTGACGTGTCACATTAATTTCGGGGGATGCGCACAAACAATGCTTCAAAGGAACACAAGTAATGCATGGCAGCCATTTTAAATGTGCGTTTGCGTCGTTAAACAGCAAGTATGTCACGGCCCCAATGGCTGCTATGAACAAAAGATTATGCTTCGAGGATAATGTGCAATACTTACAAATCCGGTGACATTGTCACGTAACATCTCACCAGGTCGGATCAGGCCAGACAGGAAGTCAAGCACGGGAGAAGTGTTAAACATCTGGCAACATGCTGATTTCCAGTTGCTTAACTAGTAAAACAATGATGCCATTACTTCAGTCTCATCACTAAGTGTATTTACATGCACATCTCTCAAATGAAGTTTGTTCCACTCTGATACAGTAAGTGGTGACATGCACCCTTTCACGTTGGTATTCCTTTGGTTAGCTTATAGCAACACAGATAGTTAACAAACACTGGAGGGAGAGAATAAGGTGAAGTTAAAACAGGACAATGGCCGAAGGAATGCAGCACAGCTTATTTGGTACTTACTGTTCGATGGTGTTAGTGTGTGTGAGTGGGGTGGGGTGGGAGTGGGGGGCAGTTGCCCTCTTTTAGGTTCACCCCTGGACTTACCAGATCTATTATTTATTTATTTTCGTTGCATTAAACCATAAAAAAAATCTGAGACCATGGTCTTAATTTGGAAAAGGGTCGAATGCCTTCTCCGGGTCAGGCATGAGGCCCTGCCCCAAGTTGAGGAGTTTAAGTATCTCGGGGTCTTGTTCACGAGTGAGGGAAAACTGGAGTGTGAGATCGATAGGTGGATTGGTGCTGCATCTGCAGTGATGCGGGCGTTGTACTGGTTTGTCGTGGTGAAGAGAGAGCTGAGTAAGAAGGCGAAGCTCTCGATTTACCGGTCGATCTACGTTCCTACCCTCACCTATGGTCATGAGCTTTGGGTAGTGACCGAAAGAACGAGATCTAGGATACAAGCGGCCGAAATTAGTTTTCTCCGAAGAGTGGCTGGGCTCTCTCTTAGAGATAGGGTGAGAAGCTCGGTCATCCGGGAGGGGCTCGGAGTAGACCCGCTGCTCCTCCACATAGAGGAGCCAGTTGAGGTGGCTCGGGCATCTGGTCAGGGTGCCTCCTGGACGCCTCCCTGGTGAGGTTTTCCGGGCACGTCCAACCAGGAGGAAACCTAAAGGTAGACCCAGGACACGGTGGAGGGACTATGTCTCTCACCTGGCCACGGAACGCCTTGGGATTCCCCCGGAGGAGCTGGCCCGAGTGGCTGGGGAGAGGGAAGTCTGGGCCTCTCGACTTAGGCTACTGCACCCGCGACCCAACTCTGGATATACGGATGAAAATGGATGGATGGATAAACCATAAAAAGAAGATCAGAGCATGTTTTACATAAATGTGTTCCAGTCATTGACTTCTGTCTCACCCACTTCCTGTTAGTAATCACTACAGTCTGGCTAACAGGCTTTGCTTCACATGTAGGGCAGCAGCTGCGATACAGGGGCGAGGTGCGGATGCTGCTCAGCCGGAGCCGCGTCAGCAGTGGTCTCCAGTCAGCCCTAAGCATGCTCGTGTAAATCTGGGGTTTAGCTTTTAGATTGCACAACGAGACGGGATCAGCTAAATATAGACGCGTTGACCTTATTGTTTCCAGTTTGTCTTGGTCCCATTCATGGGTTGTCTTGTGGGTCATTGAAGCTCTTGGCTGGAGTGAGGAGTGTGATGGATCAGGTGATGAAATTTGGTTTACAGCTGACCTGAAAAAAATCGTGTTCATTTGTTTAGCTTGCATCATTTTTGCAAAATAAACAAATACATCATATGAATTGTATTTAAATAATAGTCCAGTTTCTAAACTATTTGATCTCTTGATAACAAACATGGATTACAGCAGACATGTCCAAAGTGTAGCCCGAGCAAATTTGTACGTCCTTCACGTGGATTTTGTACACATTTCTAAAATTTTAATGTTGAGATTTTTACAATTTAAACTATTTTAGGCTCTGATTTAAGGAGTAAAAATTTTTTTAAAACAACATTTAATACTGTTTGCTTTTTGTTAATTAAAAACATTATTTTTATTTTTACATTACTCGTGTTCCCTTTTAAGTGTTTGTCCAACTCAACAAATTCTTCCAACGAATAAAAAAAATTAAAAATTAAAAATATGAATCTGTGAGAATGCTAAAATCTCCCAATTTAACAAATTAAATCATGAAACTACTGTAAAAAAAAAATTCTACACTGAAGTGAAATTTAACACAATCATCATTTTCAAGGTAAAGCCAAATATCTTCTAGGTTTTGTTTTGGTTCCTGGACTCCCGTACGGCTGGAGGAATGCGCTCAACACCTCCCACTCAGAGAAGGACGGGAGCTGGGCTACACCGGTTACATTATCCAAGCCAGAAATGGCATGAGCCAGGACAAGAACACACTAATTCACACATAAAACACGATTTAACCCTTAAGAACCCAACTCCTTTTGAATTAGAGAACAGAGTGAAATAAATACATCAAAATGCAGAACTAAATTAAATGAAATAAAGAAGTAGAATAAGTTTTAATATATGTGTGGACAGAATGTCACTTGGGGTTTTCAAACTTGAATATTTGACTCAAGACGTAATTTTGCGGGTGTTTGAAATCGGTTGTAACATCAGCATCACCACGGGTCTTCAAGGGTCAATAGGAGAAAGTGGGGTGCAAATTATGCAGAGAAACAGTTTGTTGCACTAATCTCTCACGTGTGTTGACCTCGGATCAGAGTAAGTTAGCAAAGATGAACCAGGGATGGAACTGGGAGAAAGGGACCTTTCTAACCCTGACCCTGACCCTGACCCTTGACCCTGACCCTAAGAACATTTTTGATTCACCAGGCTACAAATCTCAGTCAGCACATCCTGGTTTACCTCCAACGTCATTTCTGATTTGCCGAATGGCAGTAAAAAAAACAAGAGTTTTATTTTTCTGACAAAAACAAAACAAACTTCAATAAACTTTGAAACTGACCAATATTTCAAATGCAAAGTCAAATGAACCGAGTTCATGCAGGACGTATGAAACTGTACACTGCTGCATAAGTGGCCTGTAATTTTGCTCATCTGGTTCCCGTGTGGAGACCGTCTTGGCTTACCATGCATTTTTCCTTTCTTTTTTTATTTTGGAGGATGTTCATTCCCTCGCATTTGTCTTTTTGGACTGCAGAAATAAGCAGTGAGCAGGCAGGAATGTGACCGTGCCACATCACCAAGCAGGAGTCTGAAAACTCAGATGGGAGTAAAGTAAGATTTTGTAGCCCGTTTAATCATTTCACTTCCCAATGGGAGCATTTTGGACGTGCTGGCTGCAAATTTAACATTTAATTCACAGCATCTGTTGCGTTTTCTTCATTAGAAGGGAGTTTTAAGCTCGAGAATGGCTCTAGTGGTTCATCTCTTTTCATAAAACCCCGCAGGAAGGGTTACTTCACCTTTGTGCTTTGTGAGTGGCACAAGAGCCAAAAGTGTTACTATGAAAACAGTCTTGTGGATGTTGCATCATAAACCAAAATACAAGCAACAGGAACAAAAGCAACCATATGGTGATGTATTTCCCAGCTGTTACTCCACGTCATGCTGTACAGTCACATGAGCATCCTCAACTAGAGGAGGAGACTAAAATACAGCCTGCGCTGCCACCTGGTGTTCATCGCTCACAAATATAATCAGTTTAGAGTCCCTCCCTATTATCCATTAATGCATATGGTGAAACCCCTGACATGTACAGCTAAAGCATGCTAACTCTTTAATAACTTGTCCGTATTTTGTACAGATTTGATGTTTAATTCTAGAATACACAGTAGGTGTGTTTTAGAGAGAACACATCTCTGCCTGCGTGTTTAGGATTCAATCAAGACTTCTTTTATTTGTTTTATCTTTTATTTTTTATCAAACATACACACCATCACACTCTTGCAGATTGGATGCGTTTAAACATCCCCGAGGTTTTCTGTAAAGCCAGAGGTGAGCGGTGCTCCAAGTCTGAATGCTCCTGCAGGTTTTTAACTCATTCGTGCATCTTTAGATGCAGGGTGTATATCTTATATTGTTCCAGTGTCCTTGTGCTTGGTGCTTTGGTCGGCTCTGCGGTTGTTTTTATAATAAAATTGTATTTTTCTGTTCTTTATGTGCTTAGAAAATTTAAGAAGTTAAGAATTGAACTCCTACAGTAAAAAGTTTTTGCAGATGTTTATGAAAACTGGAAGCTAGACCTCCATTAACACCTTGGTAAATGTTTTAGCTACTCAGAAACTCAAAGCACAGGTAGTCTGACAAAATGTGTGATTTTGTTTTAATTCAAAACAATTGTGTCAAAATTCTGCAAAAAAAAAAAAAAAAACTGCCAAAAAATCAACACCCAGCCTGCATGGATGATATAAATGGGCAAACCATATGGGTGCCAGCAGGGCTTGTTCAGGGTTTCCCAAGTGGCCCCACAAGGATTTGCCCAGATAGACTTTAAAGAGCAAGTCAACCCCTACCAGAGTCTAACCCCACTCCCGCTTCGTGTTTGAAAAATGCAACAAATGCTGTTGCCTGGCAGACTGAGAGGGCGGAGCCGCTAACAAATACACACACACTCAGGCTCACAACAGCATTATGACATCATAATGTACCAGTTTACATCATAGCATACTTCTTAGCCAATAGCGGTGGCAGATTTAAATTAAAATACAGTGCAGAGTTTTTACCTGACAACGGCACAACACTGCCAGTTTTAGGCAGAATATTTAAATTTGATCTAAGATGCACTGAAGTGCCAAATTATTGACGACACGTGTCTGCAGCACGATTAGACACTCATTTATTTAGTTTATCAGCAAAAAAAAGTTTATTTGGGGGTGACTTGCACTTTAACCTGGGTCCCTCTGAATAACACACGTAGAGCCTGTTAAATTTATGCAGGCAAAAATCGGTGTGGGAAAACCCCTGTGGGGCCGTCATGGAAACCATGGGCAAACCCTGTTGGCACCCACACAGCTTGCCCATATGTATCCATATGGGCCCACCTATGCATGCTGGCTGGGAAAAGCAGAACAAAACCAAACAATGTCATACATTCTGATGCTGGGTCATTAAATATAACAATATTTTAATTAATACCAACAAACCCAGGAAATACGACCACGTTCAAGGTGTAAAACATTTAGCTTTTATAACTTTTATTAGAAGCAGTTGCTTATTATATTCTACACATCAAATTAAAGTACAAAAATACATATTTCTAAACAGCTCAAGGGCCGAATATCCAGCCAGCATGCATAGATGGGCCCCATATGGATCTGTATTGGCAAACTGTATGGGTGCCAATGGGGTTTGTTTGCGGTTTCCATGGTGGCCCCACAGAGGCCCACCTATGCATGCTGGCCAGGTAGTAAAGAATTCAAAGTCTTCATCTGATTACATGTGACAACAGCAAACAACTACAGAACCTGGTGAGATTATGTCACAGTAATCCATAATACCATAGATGTTACGGTTATATATATTTTATACAAAAACAAATACATCATCAGAAGCCGGTGTGTTTTATCAACTGTAAGCTTTGGTCCTCCTTCACAACATGCATCCCTGAAACATCAGCATCCAGTCCAGCTGTTGACGTCCATCCTCTGTCTGGTCACTCTTTCTTACGTAAGTGGATGTAAACGATCCCGCTACACAACAACAAAGGGACACACACCCAGGCCAGGATGAAGCAGTAGCCAAAGTGTCCTGTCCTCAGATCGTGTGATCCCTGCAGGATTTCCTCGTTGTGGAGCGTGTAGATGAGTGCTGCGGAAGCGTCTGTTAGACCTTAAAATAAACAAAGACACACAGAAGAACAGCTTATTTATGAGCTTGCAAAAACACTATGAATGCATTTAGAAGTCTAAAATACATTTTAACTGAAAGTTGATGGATATTATGGAACATTGTGCCATTTTTTGCGTTTTTATTTGTAGGGGTGGGAATTTGCATTACAATAATTACAATAAATTAGAAATAAAAAATAATGTTGTAAATGATAACTCTTTGACCCCGAGTGTCCCCCAAAATGGGGGCTGGAAATTTTTAGCATAAAAATTTATGTCAATAAGTATCATCAAGCTGCCCCACTAACAGCCTGGGCTACAAGACCACATTAACCTTTTTTTTACGTGCTCCAAACACAACTAAAACTATATTTAAATGAATCATGACAAACCACTCTGCAAAGAAAGGAAGAAAAAAATCTACTCTTAAAAAATATTTTCTAGCTGGTAGAAAGCAGGCTGGCAGTATCATGCCATATGAACTTTATTATAGCAGGAAGGACAAGCATTTATGCAGCGTTCACCTTGTAACCCTCAGCAGAACTATCCCTGAACTCTACACCTCTCTCTCTATATATACCGGTGTATATATATATATATATATATATATATATATATATATATATATATATATATATATATATATATATATGTGTGTGTATAATAGCTCTGCTGCCACCTAGTGTTTAGTTCAGTACTCTAAATTTACAATGTTCCATGTCCATTTACAAGTCATTAATAACACACATACTAATATTTACACATCACAACAAATCCCACAACGGTTACCTTTATATTGAGAACAAAGTAATCAAATAGACTTTGTTGTTATAGAAACATATTCATTTTAGCTTTGGGATGTCATCTGTGCCTCACTAACATTATTTTTGATTTACTTGTGCGCAAATGGTCTTGAATGATTAAAATGTGATTAATCAAGATTAATTAATTACAAAGCCTCTAATTAATTAGATTAATTTTAATCAAGTCCCCTAGTTATTTGTTTACATTTTGAGCCATACTTGCATTTTATTTAATTTTATTAATTCTCAAGATATTTATTTTGTTTCCCTTTTAGTGTCTTCCTCAAATCTAACAATACAAGGTGTTTTGATGTTACCTGCAAAGACTTGACACAGTCCAGTGAAGTAGAAGAGTCCACCCTTGGACATGGTGAAGAGCTGACCCAGGAACACCAGGAAGGAGACAGAGGAGAAGACCACTGACAGGACCATGAGAACCTGTACGGCCTGAAGCCATTCTAAGAAAAGACAGCAATTCAAAGACTTTATATCCAAGCCTGACCCAGTCTAGTTTCAAAAGGACTCACGTGTTTCATCGGTGGACGAGCAAAGCCAGCTTTCTGTCGAGTTGTCCAACCTGCAGTTGTACCAAAGGTCTGAAATCTTCATGTCATCCCAAACCCACCAGGTCTTTAAAAAGAGAAGGGACATTGTTTATTTTTATGACAATGTATCTTGTAAAAATGATTTTATTTTTTACCTTTTCCATGGTTGCAATGAACAGCATCGCCAGGGTGATGAGATGCAGCAAAGTGACGAACATGAGAAGGAGAGCCATTTTCAACTTCCTGCAAGAGGAAAGTAAATAAAAATTCTCTTTTTCTCATGAATGTTGCTTTTAAAAAGTCAGCAAGGCAGCCAAGAAATGTGGGTGGAACTATTAAAACAGAGCCACAATGAACGTCCAGTAGAAAAAAATAATAAAAGAAACTCTATTTAAGTAAAGAGACAAAAGTCTTTCAGTGTCATTTAAAAAAACTTTAGTGATAGATTTTTTTGATTTGCAACAACAAGAAGCATGAAAGAAACCAAACAGCAGTCAGAACAGGATGAAAGTGTTTGTAAAGATCTTTATCTGTAGGAGCGGCCCATTTGGGTGGGTAGTGGAAGTCGCAATTACCATCAAATTATGTCATTATGTTGGATCTCATCAGTCATGATACGTGTGACAGGAAAATAGACTGCTACAAATGATTTTTACAAAAATCTGAATCTTACACGATGCCCACATCAGAAACACAACAATATAGACCAGATGTGACACCTTTATTCTGTGGAATTGATGACACATACACACACAGAGGGCAGAATTTTACACCTTCTAGTTTTTAAAAGGTGAAAATAAACATTTTTCTTCTTAAAGTAACTAAACCAGCATTTTTATTTACTGATATTTTTGGAGAAATTGTGATAAAACTCACTTACCAGGATTTCCCGCCTCAGTAAGATCTCTACAGCTTGGGAGCAGCTCCTTTACTCTACAGCATCGTGTCCGTTTTAGTGGTCCACACTCTTTTTCCAGCTTTGCCACACCTCTTTTATTTTTTTATTTTTGTCAGGCCCTGTCACTGCAAAGTTTCCAAGGAGAACGCCCATTTCCTCTGAGGAGAACAGTGCTCCCTTTTTCTCTGCCTCTTCGTCGGTCAGTGCATGATCATCCAAAAGAGTCTCAAATCAGACCCACCCATAGGCAGTGGAGGCACATGAAACCGCATGAAAAGTTTTTCTCTGTAAACACTCAACTAGAGTGGTGAGCGTGCCACTGCGCACATCTTTCATTCATGGCAGGGAAAATAAACACACAGCTGCAACATAGCTCACATTTTTGCACCAGAATAAAATGAATATTAAGAGTCTGATGGACAAACTTTGAGAACTAGAGCAGTATACACTTTAGAAAAGTATTATTAGATGCAGATTATCTTACAAAATGTTTTTCTTGCATAGATTTGTTAAATACCAACTATTTGTTCATTTTGCACATCTTTTTGGTCTCTTTTTAGGACTACTGTACCTTTTGAAATACCGTTATTTACTTTTTAATTGTAAAATAAACACTTATTGTAAACAAAGGTCTCCTGGTATGGATATACAGCTCACTAATCCCCTCAGGGGATTTCCCCCCAATTTTAAATAACCATTACCTAATTATTGACTATGAAAAAAATCATTACTTATTAATCAACAGTTGACGATTAACCAAAAATTAGCCTCACAAATTGCTAATTTGAAACACACACACACACACACACACACACACACACACACACACACACACGCACACACACACACACACACACACACACACACACACACACACACACACTTACACATCCACCCATACAAACAGGGCTAGTTTGCATAATTTCTCCATAGTTAAACTTTGCTATTCTGTGTACTATTAAGAACACAAAACAATGGATAATTTCCATAATTATTTCGATACATTTTTATATTTAATAATATTTAAAATTTAATTAGGCCTTCACATAAATAGTACCTAGATTTATATTTATTTTCTTTTGTGTTTTATGACTAAAATACACATTTATTTTGCACTGAGACAAGTTTGCAGGTTTTATTTTGTCGTCCTCTAGCGATCGTGTGTATATATGCGCGAAAATGAACTGCTTACATCACATTTATTACTGCTGAGAACAGTTATTTCAAAATAAATCCGAAAATAATTTACACGAATCTAAATTAAACTCACCTCGGTATGAAGAAACAATTTCTTCAGCTAAAAATAAGGATTTTCTTTAATGGAACGTGGTTCATTCTAGAAATTTCATCTCATTATATCAGAGCAGAATCTATTATTTTTTTCTAAAACAATAAATGATGATTATGTGTTTTTCAAATATTTTATTAATCTAATTTGAATACCTTTGCTTGTTTATTTAATTTTGGGGGCACATGGACCCCGCCTTTTGGTACGACCCGTTGCCAAGGTGATCGTAGAAGCCAATTCCCTCCGCCACGCCTGCCCTCATCCCTGCTTATTCTGCTCGTTCTGGAAGGTGAGTTAAACAAACACTAGTCATTATTGTTAGACCCACAGATCAAGATAAGTCTGAGTTTTGCAGAAACGTCCAGAAACCACCACAACTACTACTACTGACCAGTAACCACAGGCAAAAGCCGATGGCAAAAGCTCGCGTTAGCCAGCTAGCGTTAGCTTCGCAGTGTGATAACTTTGGGACTAACTTTGCTAACTAGCGCGTGCTGCGTTTGGGGCTATTTTCCTTTATTGTACTGCAGATACGATGTGACCGCAGGGGATTTTTGCGGGCAAGCTGTTGTTAATTCAGCTTTCTGCTCAAAGAAAAGGCAGTAAATTATAGAAAAAACGCTGCGCCTCTAGCAGAAGGCAGAAGAGCAGCATCTTGCTCTGCTCGTCAGACATCTTGAAACGAAAAGTTTAGCCTAACCCAAGATGTTCAATTCAGACCGAAAGAGAATTTAATACACGACAAACTCACAAGAAAGCAGCAAATCTCTTGGTGCAAGAGATAAAGCCAGAGAACGCAAGTTTAAGTGCTTGTATTTGATATCCCAGTGATAAGAAAACAGCAGACAGTTTATCTGTGTGGTGTTTTGCATGGCTCGAGGCGATCCTCTGTAGTCAGCGGTGACTGTTCCTGTCTGTGTTCCACCTCTGCAGGTCTTGTCCCGACTTGACTGAACTGCTCTAAGGAATTCTATCTTCCACGGAGGATCTGGTGGACAGGAGACATTTGTCCTGCACGAATGGATGGGTGATGACGTTTGAAGATCTGATGATCTTTGGTGCAATCTTGCAAAAGGAGCTGGGTTCTGTGTGGGAGATCATGTAAAAGCTGCCGTTTGGGACCAGAATTGTCTCTGGAGGACTAAGGTGTAACGATGGATCATGAAAAGGTAGCATAACAAGTCACTATGTTTGGGGGAACCTCGTCCCCCTTTTTACATCTTTAAAACGCTCCTTTGGCTAATATTACCCTCATATTTGACGTTTACCAGTAATTAAAAGAAGATTGAACTCAATCGAGATACACTGAGACAAAATGCTTCATTGGCAGCTTTTCTAACAGACTGATGGCTGCATGGGGTCAGCTCTTGTTACAAGCTTTACAAAGTACAAGAACTGGTGGTTAGTGCATGTTGTGAGCACGCAAAGTGAGACTGATGGTATTAAAATTTCATAGAAATATCAGTTTAAATGCCTATTTGTACAATTTGCAAGCTATAAGTAAACTTTTATGTGTATAATCTGTAGCCCATTAATATAAAGCTATTTTTAATATTTAAAAATGTCGGCTTATCAGATTTTAGCTCAATAACACATGTAATAATAGGTATGAAACCATCCATCCATCCATCCATTTTCATCTGCTTATCCGGAGTAGGGTCGCGGGGGGAGTAGCTTAAGTCGAGAGGCCCAGACTAGGTATGAAACACTGAGTACAAACTTTATTTGTACAAAACTGACCAAAGTGATTAAAAATTAAAACAAAACACTCTACAATCAATGCACAGCATTAAAATAGAGCTACATAATCCATAAAACTAACGTAGACATAGACTCTGACGTGTTAAAGCCAAAGTGTAAAAATGAGATTTTCAAAAGAGATTAAAAACAGGACAGAGAAGATGCTAACCTAATCTGCAGTGGCAGCTCATTCCAATAGGGGCCAATACCAACAAAACCCGTCCCCTGAGTTTACGTCTTGTTCCTAGCTGACCTCAGGGACCGTGAAGGGGAGTGAGAAACCCAAAACTCGGACAGGTAACTCAGAGCAGAGATTTTAAAGCCCTTAAATGACCTTATACTGGAGTGCAGCCGAGCAAGACTACTGTAACGCCCTGCTTTCTGCTCTTCCCGAAAAAGAGGGTTTCAAGTCTACAACTTTAACAAAACTCAGCAGCACGTGTCCTGATGAAAACCAGGAAGCGGGAGCATATCACTCCCGTTTTTAGAACCACTGCACTGGCTCCCCGTGTGTTTCAGGATCGATTTTAAAATACCTTTAATGGTTTTTAAGTGCCTTAACGGTCTTGGGGCTCCTTATCTCTCAGAACTGCTTTTACCGCACGAACCCTCGTGGTCTCTGCGCTCCTCTGGCAGCCGTCTCCTTGTTATCCCTAAAGTCAGGACATACACCCACGGCGAGGTGTCTTTTCATTATTATGGCCCTCGCCTTTGGAACGGGCTACCGGAGGGCCGCAGAGAACGTTCATGTTTTTAAGAACGGGCTCAAGACTCGCCTTTTTAGCTTAGCTTTTAACTGATTACTTTTATTATCCATTATTCATTTATTTAATTTTTATTTATTTCATCTTAAATGTTTTTATTTAATCAGAGTTTTAATATCTCATAAAGATTCACCTTTTAGCTCTTAACTGATTCTTTTTTATTACAGATTTATTTATTTTATCTTTTTACGTTCTATTCCATCAATATTTTACCATCTTATATTTTAACCTTATTTCATCCTTTTCCAGGGTTTCCTCTGTGGGAGCCCTCTGCCCCGGGCGGCGGTCAGCTGTGGCAGCCTGGGTGCTTTCCGGGTGTGCCTGGGTGGAGGTGGGGGGGGGGGGGGTGTCTCCTCCCTCCCTTTCCTGGGCGCCCTGTGTCGGAGCCTCGGCTGCTGCTGTCCAGGCAGATGGCTCCCCTGATGGCGTTTCCTTAACTTAGCTTGTCTGGCTCATCTGAGCTCAGCCCAGTGTGTTCGATTTTTTTTCTTAAGTCTTTGAGCGTGTGTTTGTGTGTGTGCATCAGACAATAAGTGTAATGGGGGATATAATCGTTATATTGCCTTTATATTTATGGGGAGGGGGAGGGAATGTGGGTATGTTGGGTCATTTTGAGTTGCATTTATTGTATGAATGGTGCTATATAAATAAAGTTTGATTTGATTTGATTTAAAGTTGGGGTAATGAGCTCCATCTTTCATGTCCCAGTGAGCAGACGTGCGACCGTATTTTGCAGCAACTGGAGACGAGAGAGGAAAGACGGGGAAACACCAAAGTACAAATACTCACAATCATCAAGTCCCCGTGTAGCAAAAGTGTGAATGAAATTCTTGATTTGATAGCAAGTTTCTTGGTGATTCTTCCCAGTTGATAAAACCCTGATTTGGTCACCGCTCTGATTTGCCTGTCCAAGGTCCATGTCCAGTACGACACTCAGGGATGTCCCATTAGGTTTCAAATAAGGGGCAAGCGGACCAAGGCCAATCACACAGTTCCCATACGAAACACTGGGACCAAAACCACCACCTCCATCTTCTCATCGATAAAAAGAAGGAAGTTAGAAAACATCCATTAGGGATGTATACATGGGTAGCATCTGCATAGCAGGGAGCATGACGCCCGAAATGAGTATAAAATCATGCAAACTCCAGCGAAAACTTCACCGCTGGTTGATACATGTGATATGTGGTTTCGCAGGTTTGGATGGAGCTGGATCAGATTTCTAAGCGCTGTCAGGAGGACGGCTTACCTCTGGAGGCCAGCACGGAGGAGCGGCAGCGACACCTTTGGCAGCAGCTGCTCAACAGTGAGACGAAGCTTCAGTCAGCCACCGAGGAGCTGCTGACCCTACGCACCCAGCAGGCCAACGAAATGAAGGAGGTGAGATATTTTACTTGGCTGTTTTTTTTACGTGTAGCCGATCCTTTTATACCGGCTGATTTGTTGCAAAATGATGGTTTATATAAAGAAACAGCTGAATTAGTGTTTTCTGTTTTGTCATCATTAGCTGGAGAGCTATGTAGCTCACATCCGAGCGCTGTTGGAAGAGCGCGAGTGTCTGACGGCAGAGTATGAGAGGGACAACGAGGAGCTGCGACATGAACTTCACCAGGTCAAACACCAACAAGGTGGAAACGGTCGTGTTCACATCCGAGTCTAATTTGCCTCCTCCTAAAAATTGTAAATTCAAAGTGTTGTTTTTCACGACCCAGTAACCAGGAAGCTCCTTTCTTTCCTTTCAGAGGCTCAGAGCAAGGAGCTGGCTGAGCTGTTGTCTCAGGAGGACCTGGGGGAGATCGGTCTGAGCAGCCCCAGCGAGCAGGTGGCCTACCTGCTGGTGGAGAGAGCCACGCTGCTGGAGAGGCTGGAGGCCGCTGAGAGGAGCCTGGAGAGCCAGAGTCTGTCTGGAAACCCCAACGACTTTGACCACCAGGTAAAAGATTCACAGCAGCTTCTTTGTTGTTTGCTCTCATTTCTCTACGTTTTCTGTTACTTAGTTGGATCGACTCTTTTTTTTTTTAATCACCAACAAAAACATTTTTGTTGGTTTTGTCGTGAAGGCGGGATTTTTAAGGTGGATATTTTATATAAAATACTTATTAACTTTTGCCACGTATTTATTTTTAAACATTAGTGGAGTTTAGCGTTTTAAACGTGACACGTGTGTATTTCCTAAACAGACTGTAGAGTCAGATATTTAAATCAGGCTTTATCGTTGTAATAAAGTGTAATATTTAACTAGCTGCAGCACGGGAGGACACCATAATAAAGGTTTTCTCGAACAGGAGCACATTCGCCACATGATGGGAGAGGATCTACGGCAGCGGAGTGAGGATGTGCGTCGAACCGTAGACGCCGTGGCAAAGGTCAGTGATCTGCCGTCTCCTGTCATTTCTGGAAACACGAAACCACCCAGCCCCCCCCCCCCCCCCCCCCCCCCCCCCTTCAGTCAGCGATGCACACACACTGGTTTTTCCTCCCAGCAGTGTTCGTCCCAGAGTCCGTGGAAGAAGCTGTTTGGCCTGCGCAGGTCTGGTCAGAGCAAACACAATGAGACTCCTGTAGGTTTCTACTTTACGGTCAATAGTAACTAGTGACTAACAACTGGTGTGATAGGGAACAGAAAATGACTTGTTTCAAAGGAAATTCACATGTTGTAAGTCGTTTGCACAAAGAAAATGACAAAAGCGCCTCGTTTCTGCATGACCACTATGATGCATTGTTTCACATCACCCATTAGAAGGTGTCTTAGCAACTCAGGGTTCAGTTTTCTGCTATTTTCACATCCTAACTCATGATTTGATGATTTTTGGGCATGTCTCAGCTTTTATTTCTCTGTTTCTACTACATAAATTTTAAAAAGGTCACGCCACCACGATCCTCTCCAGGCCTGCTCTGCTGATGGTTCTCAGTCTGCACGTCTCAAACTCCTGCATGCCGGCTCGCTTTCAGCCCTGATCTAACTGCCGGTCGCCTCTCTTGTGTCTCACGTCTTGTTGCTTTTACATCAGGCCCACAGTGAGGAGCTTTCCAGGGAGCGGAGTGAGCGTCAGCGACTGGAGCGAGACCTGGAGGAGGCGTCCGGGAGGCTGGCAATGGCTCACCAGGACATCCGCAGGCTCTCGGACAAGCTGGACGAGGCCAGAAACGGCAATCAGGACACAAACGGTATGCTGAGAAGATTTGCCTTTATTTGTGGTGCTTTTTAAAGAACCTAACTGGGGTCAGTGACAGCACAGCTTGTTGTGTCTGTAGGATCGGAGCTTAAGGGAACAGCCAAAGAAGTAGAGAGCTCGAGGAAAGAAGTGGATGAACTGAAAATCGGCGGTGAGACGGAATGTTTGAGGTTTTTTTTCATAATATTTAAATTCCAGTGGGAAGAAAAGTTGCACTTTTTTTTTAAATGGCTGTTTTAAGCTTAAATGTGGTGCAGGTGCTCATCTGAGAAGTCAGACGTCTCTTCACAGATACGATGAGGCTGCAGAGGCTGGATGCTGAGAACAAAACTCTCGGGGAGAGGGTGCGCCTCTTAGAGTCGGAGAAGCAGAATCTCCTGGATCAGGTTTTATTTTCTCCTAACATACATTTAAAAAAAAGTTGCTGCTGCGGCTTAACACTGGTTTGGTGTTTTCTTTGTTCAGGTGCTGAAGAACGCCGCCGCCAATCAAGATTTAAAGGACAAGAGCGGAGAACCACAAAACGGAGCTCCTGCTTTTTCAGTTCATGGAAAAGATCTGAGTCACAAACGGTGCTTCCTTCAGAGCCGCGGATGTCCCCAAAGACTTCATCAAATGTGTTTGGGCTTTAATCACAATTATTCTCTGTTAGGTGTCACGAGGCGCTGGAGGACGGACTTGTTCAGGTGAGAGAGCTGCAGCGGCAACTCCAGAGGCTACGCAAGGAGCAGGAAGAGGTGGAGGAGAGAAACGAAGAGCTGGAGGCCCTTCTGGGCGAGGCTCAGAACACCAGCAAGGAAGAGAGGCATCGTCACGATGGAGAAGTGGAGGGACTGCACAGAAGGGTGACAGGCTGAAACAAGCTCTCCTTCATCAGTTTTAGGAAAACGAAACGTTCTAAATGAACCCTAACCTCTCTAATGGCTGAATCTGCAGATCAGAAGCCTGGAGGCGGAGCTAAAAAAGCAGGACAGCCAAGAAAACAAGCTGAAGAATGGAGAGGAGGTCAAACCCACCGACTCCTACCTACAGCCGGTCTCTGCAGTTTTACTAACATTCTCACTAATATTTGCATCGCTGTCGTCAGGATGTTGATCTCTTGACCCCGTGACAATAAAACTCTCCTCTGACCATGCATGAAGCACCTGAGGGACTGCGCCCAGGAGAGGATGGCTCTGCTCGAGGCCCGTCTGACCGAGGAGAAGGACTGGAGGAAACAGCTGGAGCTGGATCTCAGCGCTGCCCAAACTGCACTAAAAAAAGACAAAGAGGTTTTAAAAAAAATGCACATTTTTGCTAGAAAAATTGGTCAAAAAGTGCTGCACAAGTCTACAAATCTATGGTTTATAGTATGTTGATGCAACAATAGCTCTTTTTTGACACTTTTCCACACCAAAGGCTTTGCAGATAGGCGAGCGGGAGCTGAAGAAGCTGAGACTGGAGGTCAACGGGCTTCAGACGGAGTGCCAGCAGGGGAAAACGCTCATCAAAAGTCTCACCCAAGTAAAAGGGGAAAAGGCAGTTCTGGAAGAAAAGGTTTGATCTGGTTATAACGTGTCGCACATTAAAACAAGTAGAACTCAAAATAAAATCCAACTGTCCATCCCGGTAGGTGGCCCAGATGGAGCGCACCAACAAGAGGCTTCAGAGTGAGCTGGACCGCTACAAGGACAGCAGCCAGGCTCAGGGGGACGTTAGGGACAACAGGCTGCAGGTTGAGCAGCTCCAGCTGCAGGCTGACCGCCTGACTGTTGAGCTCAGCAGCCTCCAGACGACGCACAACTCTCTAAGGTGGTTTTTGCTTCATGCTCGGGTTGCATTTTAGCAACATTAGCATTGATATTAAGCGGTTTGGTGGCAGATGTGCTGGCAACGTAGCAAGTACTTGTACCTTTGTGTCTGTTGTGCTGGTGTTTACTTACTTTGCAGATCCGTGCATATTTTCCAGAGATGAGATGACGTCTGAGCGATTGAGGAGCGCTGAGCTTCAAGCCGAGCTGAGCTCTGCTGTTCAGGAGAAGCTAGCGGCCAAAGGGGAACGAGAGAGACTGGAGCTGGAGATCCAGCGCCTCAATAAGCTGCTTTTATGGCATCAAGAGCAGCTGTCCTTTGCACAGGAAGCACAGAAGCACCAGAAGCAGGGAGCTCTTCATATAGGATCCAGGTTTAGTCCTGAGCAGAGCAAGGAAAACGGTTTGGACCAGGTGACTTTAAATACTTGTCAAATGTTTAGAAACTGGGGGGATAGGATTTCCTCTCCTGTTGTTTCATGCATTGTTCTTGTCTTTGAAGCAGGAGCTGAATCATCTTCAGAAGAAGCTGGAGGAGGAGCGGCAGAAAGCCTCTCATCACCAAATGGCTCTTCAGGCTCAGGTTCACGAGGCCCAGGCGCACATCAGGGTACACATGACCGCAATGGCCCTAATTCACTTCTTTGATCACCTCCACACTGAGTTGTGTTTCCATGTTCAGTCCCAGGAGTCATTCCTGAGTCAGAAGTCAGAGGAGGCCAAACAGATGAAGCAGGACCTGCAGAGGGCCCAGAGCCTGTTCACCTCAGCTGAGAGGGAGCTACGCTACGAGAAGGAGAAGAACGTGGATTTGAAGAGACACAACACTCTACTGGAGCAGGAAAAGCTCAAAGTTGGTGTTTAATTAAAACATATTTGGGATTTTCCTGACTGCATCTAACATTTATCACCTGACCGTTGTTAGTGGCTGTCCTGCTACTGACCAAGATGAGCCTTCATAAACTTTCAGGAGGAAGATTTAGTGTAAAATATCTGCAGGACTGTGCAAAAGTCTGCTGAAGAGATCAACTAGCATCATGCTGCTTCTACGCCATACCGAAGTAGTGATGCACTTTCCACTTTTGTATTTTCCATCAGCTTTGTGCAGAAATGAAGCAGGTCCAGACCAAGCTGGTCCAGGCGGAGCAGAAAGTCCAAACCCAAGATGCAGAGGGCGAACGGCAGCAGCAGAAAATCAGAGAGCTGGAGCTGGAGCTGGCGCGTAGCAGCACCAACCACAGCGCCACCAGCAGCCTGCAGGAGGAGCTACAGGCTGAGAGGGCTGGGCTCATCGCTGCTGACAAGAAGGTCAGAGCTGTTCTCTGTTAATCAAACACTGAATATAAAAACCATGATGCAAATGAACTCGGAGATAAAGACCACACACATCTTCTGCTTCATTCTGAGCTACTAATGGGATCTTCTGTCTGACCTCATTTGTCCTCGACCCCTGATAAACTTAATCCTTACCTGATTATCAACTTGCTGAAACAGCATTTTGTCCTGTTTTTGCATCTCATTTCATGTATTTTCATCACGATAAACTGCCTCTCAGCATTTGTTTAACAATGCGAGCACGTTTGACGTAAATGGGAGTTTGAGAGGTTAAAGCTGTGGTTGTGAAGGTGTTGGAGCTGCAACAGCAGCTGAAGAACGCCCAGCACCTGCTGCGTGTGGAGGAAGCTCGCACCAGTGAGAGCAGCCGCCTGGAGAGGGACAGCAGGGATCTGTCTGACACCTTATCAGCTCTGAGAGCCCAGCAGCAGGAGGAGCACATCACCAGGTGCTGCCAGTTTCTGGTTGGTCGGACTCTCTAAGCTCCAAAGTGCTTTCCTTTTATGCTGTCCTTCCGTTTTGCTGTCAGGAAGCTGCTGGAGCAGCGGGAGGAGGAGCTACAGCAGCAGGTAGGCTCTCTGAGGCTGAAGGAGGCCTCGCTGAGTCGGACAAACACAGAGCTGAGCCACCGCGTCCAGCAGCTGGACGCCCGTCTGTCCATCCTGGAGGCCGAGCTTAGCAAGACGAGAGAGGAGGTGAGGCTGGTGCCCAACGGTTCCTCTGATGGTTTCAATGCGGAGAGGTCTGCAGCCAGAATATTATGCAACTACTAGGACAGAAGACGTTTTTGAGCTGTGTGTGACTCTCACCAGTCAAATAATTCATGTAGTTTATTTTAAATTTGTCCTCAAGGCTAAAAACAATCTGAAGTCAAACCAGCGTCTGCAGGAGGAGCTGGTGGCCAGTCAGCAGGAGTGTGAAAGGCTGCAGGAGGAGCTGCAGCAGGTTCTGCTCCAGCTAGATTCACGGCTCAGGTCGGACACACGTCCTGCACACGTAACTAACCACCTCATTGGTGAACTGTCACAGAATAACCAGAAAACTTCCCGCTGCCCTCTGCTCTGCTGACTAGGAAGTACAATGAGAAGCAAAGCCAGCACAAGAGCAAGCTCCATCAGGCCAAGCTGGTGTTCCTAAAAGCAACGGCGCAGAGAGACTCCACCATCCAGAGACTGGAGAACGACCTGGCACTGGCGTCCAGTCTCTCACTCAAGGTCACACTCACGACCCGTCGTCCGTCCGAGGCCTTCAAGTTCCAAATGATTCTCAAGTGATGCTTTCTTTCTCTTTATCTCTCCTCCTCCCCCGGTGGTTTCTAGGAGAAGGAGCGAGTCAACACGGTGATGATGGAGAACGAGAAGCTTCTGGGGGAGAAAAGGGAGCTGCTGAGGAGGGTGAGCGAGGCGGAGGAAACGGGCAGCAACGGCATGAGGACGGCCTCGACGCTTCAACACAGGTATCCGAATCGCCTGTGAGATTCACAAGTCTTTGTGTCTCTTTCATGGCTTTGCGTGTCGCTATGGAAACGCCATCATCGTCGGTTTGAGATCATCATTGTCGACAGCCTTCACGTTACACGTTGTCTGTAAAATCTGGCTCTCTTTAAGGGTTAATGGGTTAGAAATGGAAAACCGACAACTGCAGGACAGAACCATGAAGCTCTCCAACCAAGTCAGTTCCTTAGAGCGAGCGCTGAGGAACGTGGAGTCGTTCTACTCACTGGAGGTAGAAACATCTTCATCTTTGTGATTTAAGGTCATTCATGTTTGCACAAATTGTTTCATTTTCATCTTAAAGATTTTTTTTTCTTTGTTCAGAAAAAAACGAAAGAACAGTTTTTCCCACCCGATGGACTCTCGGAGGGAATCTTGCAGGCGTCCACTCTGAGGTAAGACAGCTCAGAGATGGTGTTTTTGGTGTTTTTTTTTTTTGCCTGATCTTCGCGGTTCGTCCTACTTTCAGTGTGACCGCGAGTTCCTGCGACCACGTAGACATCCTGGATGCAATCTGTCGTGCAAAGGTGAGCAAGCACACGGACGGCACGAGGGCATCAGTCTCAACATACCAGATGTCTGAGCAGGGATACCTGAATCTTGTATCCCCAATGGTTACTCCAACTTCCCCAAAAGGTACAGAGGAGAGCCCTAATGAGTGACCAGGCCTGAGAGCTCATGCTACGTTACGTGAAAACGTGTCAGTAGCCAGTATTAAGCCTGATTCATGCTTCTCCGTCAGCTCCGTAAGGGACAGACACGCACGGATTGACGGAAGCGTTTTGCTCTCATCCTTCTCTGTCTCCTGGAGAGCGTTGCAAAGCAATTCCCCACCAGGAAAACAGAGGGCGTAGAGCTGTTCTGTGGTACCCTGTCATGTATCTGGTCCAAGATAGTGTGTTTATATTGTGTTTTTTTGTATTTAAGAGACTTTTAACACAGACAACTTTGTCTCTCATTCTCCTCCACCTCTTCATGCGCTCCCCATCTCTAAACCCACGTTTCCTGTCATTTCCGTCCACAAATAAAACGCTTGCTGCGCATCTTTTCACTCCTCCAGTCACGAGGGAACTAAACGTTCATATTTTTAGAGTTTTTTTCGCGAGGTGTTCTTCAAGCTGCTCCGTGTCTGCCGCTAGTTATCCTCGGCTCTCTTTATGTTTTTGAGAGCGCAATGGCGGCGGTGTAAACAACAGCGGCGTCCTGACCAATCACGAGCTTGCGTTGTCCGTCTCGACTGACGGATGTTTAGAAAAGAGAGTTCGACTCCGTCCGTCCTTGCGGAGCTCTCCGGCAGGCCCGCAAGGACGTTGTGTGTTTCCGCACCGACGCAGACGGAGAAGCATGAATCAGGCTTTAGGCAGCACGTTCTGCTGAGGGGTGCGTTGGACTTGCCAGTGTGGTATTTTGGTTTGAGAAACTAAAACAAAACCAGGGGATTAAAAATGCCAATGCAAGTGTCAATCAGAAGTACATTTTTTATAAAACTTATTTTTAACCTAATATCTGAAGAGATTGTTGTTTTAGAGACTGACCCAGAGGACTGTGAGGTCTGTGTAAAAATGAGACGAAGCACAAGTGTTGTAAATATCAAGGAGACACTTTTAAACAGTTGTTGTTTAAGCACTTTATAACATGTTTTGTACACTAAAGTTGTTTACATTTGAGAAACTTCAGCAGAATGCAAAAGGTACGCTTGTCTTTTCTGCGCCGTGTTTGAATGCTTTATACCACTTGTGGTGTTGTTTTCTTAATCATGTTTTACTTTGAGATTTGATTTTTTTTATAAGTTTACAAAAATATTGATATAAAGAAAACCAAATCAGTTCTGTGGACCCATTTTATGTCACATAAGGAGGAAATGTGACCGATCTTTATTATGATCATGAGTATTTGTATCGTGAACTAAATACACTGAATATGTTCGTGCATTTATTTTCCCTCACTGTTTTTTATTTCTCCTGCTTTTTTTGTGAGTTGTGATATTTCCTGAGACAGCGGTGCTTTGCAAATAAAACACAGATTACAGAATACAACTCATTACAACACGTTAGTTTTATATGAGATGAGGGTCTGAAGTGGGGTTTAGTATGGAAGCATAGAGCTGCCACTTACACAAAATAAAACTCGAGTGACATCACGTTATAACGTTCGTACAGTATTTAGTTTGTACAACCGTGATACTATATTGTACAAATGTGAAAGTTATTCTGTTGAACAATACAGTTATATTATTATAACGTGATTTAACTCCCATTGTATTTTGTGTGGCGACAGCTCAATGCTTCCGTACTTTAGAAATTATACCTTAAATGTAACTTTTTTTTAAAGATACAAACTTTGGGCGACGGTGGGACAGGAGTTAAGTGCTCGCCCCATAATCGGAAGGTTGCAGGTTCGAGCCCCGCTCAGTCTGTCGCTGTTATTGTGTCCTTGGGCAAGACACTGCCTGCTGCTGGTGGTCGGAGGGACCGGTGGCGCCTGAGTAAGGCAGCCTCGCCTCTGTGTGCCCCAGGGCAGCTGTGGCAACAATGTAGCTCATCACCACCAAGGTATGATGGTGCTGTAAAGCGCCTTGGGGGGTTCCAGGACTCTAGAAGGTGCTATATCAAATGTATGGATTACAGACGATGACCCAATGCATTCTGGGAGATAAATGCTATTGTTTTTGCGCTCACGACAAAATGACAGGGTTTGCTCCTCGTTTAGGGTTAGCATGGTTTTATTAGCTAAAGCTTGTTTAAACATGAAAAGTAATTTTAAAAATTATTTTTGTATTTTTTTCCCCTCAGAGTAAAACTATTTTCATAAATAAAAGGAAATGGACAAAAACACGCTTGCTTTTTTTTCCCTTTTCCCTGACGTCTCAACTCAAGAAACGGAGTCATTTATAACAGTCTGTTTATTAAACAAGGTAAAGATACAAAGCTTTTTTTCTCCTTTTTTCTTTTTTAAACATTGATAACCTTAGTTTAACTCCTCGGTCTTGGCTGTGCATATTTAGTCGTCTAGAAACCGTATATGAAACATCAATGCAAGACAGGAAAAAGGTGTAATAAACCTACAGAATATCTTTTCATAGAGAACATGGGTTAAACAGTTAATACAGATTACAGCTCAAGACCTCCATGCGGAATAAACAAAATTAAAAGTGTTTACATGACTGAATACTGTAGAACACAATACAGAGTTGTGGAGCTGGGATGAGAAAACAGTTAAGGCGTACACGGAGATAACTGATAGAAAACGCGAATATTAAAGACAAACAGGTGGACTAAAATTATTACAGTAAATTTATATATAAACTTTTCCAAAAAAATAAAATCCAAACAGAACATGTCGATGGAAACTTAAAAATAGGTTCTATAAATGAGTAACATGTCTTACAGTACAGCAACATGTACATTTTTCCATTTTCTCAAAAAGAAGAGTTGAGTGGAAGAGGCAGGGTCTGTTGTTGTTGGAGTAAATGTTCGTCTTTCAGGCCAGTGGCTTGAGTTATAAGTTTTTTATTCTTTTGAAACCATACTATATACTGTATATGTATTTTACATAGTTAAAACCCAACCGCAGAGCCAAAGCACCTTTTTTCCTCCCGAAGTACCCTGAAGAATACAGGGAATCCCTAGAAGTACCATTCAGAGGTTACAGTTACAGTAAAAATACAACAAACAATACTGTATACAGTAAAAAATAATACTAAAGAGGAAAAAAAAATAAAATAAAGATGAGGATTTACCTCTGTGTACACTCATAATCCTACTGATTATACTGCAGTTTAATCCGAATGGGTAAAGCTTATTATAGATTAAAATAATAAAAATGTGACTGGGTTGGAGTAGCTGTACAAGAACTTCACATTTTGGTCCAGTGGTTGGATTTTAAATGACCCATTCACAAAGTCTGGTTTTACTCCAGATGTAATTTGAGCTTATATATTTAAAAAAAAATTTTTTTTTTAAGAAATTTAATCTGGATTACAGAATTATAACTCTTAGGATATAATTTATCAAACAAAAAATCTTAAAGTTCATATATGGCACTAACCACTTGCATGAGAGAAAAAGTGGGGTCAAAACCGTTTTTTCTTTAATTATTACTGAATATAAAGGTCAAATATTACATCCTCCACGAGCCAATGATTCAGCCTCTTTCTTAAAACAATATATAAAATGTTTCAAATGTCATCAAATGATTGCCCAAGATTAAATTCAGACGGCCGCGTACTTGTGCAGAAATGTAAAGAAAAACAAAAGAAAGACAGAAAATTGTTGTTTGTACTCTTAGCTGCCACAAGTCATTTTCCATCCAACAAGATTGAAATCATTTGAGCCAAAACCACCAAGGCTGAAAAGTGCTTTTAAGATTTTCTTTGGATGTTTGAAATACACCCAGCAAACATGGAAAGATAAAAAACAACAAAGTCCCCACTCTCTCAACTCTTTAAAAGGGGCTAATATCATCTGGCACATTTTGGAAACCCATTTAATGGAAAAAACACAAAAAGCTAAAAAGGAAAAAAAAAAACCATAAAAAAAAAAGCATCTAAAACTTTTATAAATGGCCGGCGCATCCAACGGTTAAATGATGCGTACGAAAGTGCTTATTGAATCTGACGCCAGGCATTCTTCCAGCCCGCCAGATAACATCAAGCTGTATTGTTTACATTCACAAAAATACCGCTGTGCTCGCTTTTAACAGACGGCCTGAGTCGAGCCAGACGGAGGCCGTCTATTTATGGAATCTAATACTGGATGCTTGTGTCGGCTGTCCTAATGCTAATGTGAGTCTGATGGGAGATGGCCGTAGGTGGAGGCGGGGCCTCGTGAGCTCCAGCTGAACGCCGACTCCTCAGGTCTTACCGTTCAGCGAGCTCAGATGAGGGAGATGCGGATGGGGATGTTGGGCGACTCGGTCCTCTGGGGCGACTGGTGACTCACTAGGTGCTCCACCACCGTGTGTTTGGACATGTGCTTCATAAGGTAGGTCTCCTAAAGGGTGACACGAGAACATAAAGTAAATCACAGTAATACTCGCCAACTTACTTCACTAGACTTTTACCCAAGTTTAAATGCTAAATTGGCTCCTTTCAGCATATTTTGTTTATTTTGGAGAATAAAACCAAAAGAAAGTTTAGATATGATTTGTTTTCCCCATCCACACTGGAAATGATGATAAAGCCCTGTAATCGTACATCAGCCAAAAACTGCAATCAGTGCACGGATTTGTAAAAAAAATCACATGCGGGGGTCAAATGCTGAATTATTGCTTTAAGGACTAAACTTTTTTTTTTGTTTTTTGTTTTTTTTACATTAGGCTAGTTTTCCCATAATTAAATCAGAAATAAAAAAAACATTTTTCAAGATAAATTAATTCGATTTACAGATTTTTAAATTTCAAATAAGGTTAAAATATGGAAATATTTATTCTTCCTGTCTTCGTCTTGTTCAACATTTTCACCACAGGCCCTCAAAACTGAAACATTTTCTATGAAAATTCTAATTTAAGGGTTTTGCCTGTCCCAGCGCATTCTGCTACTGGTAGTTTTTAGTGATATTTGTTCATGTTTTCCTCATAAAAACACTAAACTGTCTGAAATGACCAATAACATGTCAGATTCATCCCACCATCAATGACAAGAAATTTATGGTGGATTATTCCCAACAAGAATTTTTTTAGTTTGCTTACAGTTATATAAGGAGTTTAGAACAAAAAATGGGGTAAAATCTAAAAAACATACAGTGATTAATCAGTTTTGCTTCATCAAATGATGGTTCCCATAGAAACAACCAGTACAGTCAGCTCAGCTCTGAGTTCTGGTTAAAAGGGACGAGTTTCCCAGGTTAAAGTCCCTTTAATGCTGCAAAGTGAATAAAAACTGTTAAATTTGATCAGTATTTAAACAAACCGATTGAGATCGTTGTCGGCTTGCCTGACGTCTTTCTTACACCTGCCTCGTGACACATACGAGCTGTTTTGGCCTGATTTATCTTTCAGGTTCATCAGTGACAAACTCCGTTTTAAAGGTGGCGACGTTTTTAAAACCTGCAACATTTTGAAGCAGGTTTTGTGTTTGTGCTTTTGTTACCATGGTGATCTAGTCAGGTGAGTACTGCCACCAGCCTTCGCTGCACACCTCTCACTCATAAAATGTACTTATACTTGGTAACAACCTGCTGAACTGTCAGTTTCACAAAAGTGTGGCTTCTTCTCAAAGGAAGACAAGAGAATCGTCAAATGTCACCATCTTATCAGCGACGTGTCGTAAACAGCCTTCTCTGAGCATGCTCTCGGAAAATGTGAGATAACAAACAGCTTGTGGTTTTTTTTTTTGTTGTACTCACTGAGGTGTATGCCCGGCCACACATGCTACAGCAGTAGGCCTTAGCGTTTTTGATGGCATGTGCTGACAAGTGGATCTGCAGCGATGCAGAGTCTGAGTAGGCACGGTAGCAGTTGGGACATTTATATGGTTTATCTTTATTGTGCTGTCTCTGGTGGGACTGTGGGACACACACACACACACACACACACACACACACACACACACACACACACACACACACACACACACAATGTTAAGAAAAAAGGTCAGGTAAAGGTTACAAATGCACGCTAGCTTTTAGCAAAGAGGTCTCACTTACCTGGAGATTAGACAGCTGAGTAAATGCTTTTTCACATCCAGGATGAGCACATTTATAAGGCCTATCGCCTGTGTGGATTCTGCAGCGATAGATAACAAAAACTAGTAATTATGAAAGATAACAGCAGTTAAATCTTTTTTTATCAAGGCTTCTGCAAGTTTCGGGAAGTTACATTTAAAACCTCTGAAGGTTAAAATGATTCCAGTGTTTACGAGACAAATTATGGACAACAAAGACGTTAGTGGATAATGAAGAAAGTTTTTATTTTATTTGCCTAAACAAACAAACTAGTCTCAGGGGCAGAGAAACCCAGGAATCTTCACGGCTGAATGCCTTGTTGCATCATGGGCTTTGTAGTTTTGTCACTTGAAATTCCTCAGATGGAAATGAACACATTTGTTAAATAAATACAAAATGTTAGCAGAAGAGAAAAATAAATGGATGATTGTCCAATTGAAGATCTTAGTAAATGTAATTCAAGACCCAGTGTGGAATTTCTGAACTAATTTGTTGACGTTCTTGGAAAAATTTGCTCAAGCAAGCTACGTTTTGGAAAAAGAAAAAAGGCCCAACCCACATTTTTTAGGCTCCTCCCCATCGTCAAAGAATCTGATGGTCGTAGAAAATGGTAGAACGCCAGACCCAACGGATACATAACATAGTGTTTTATTAACTTTTCAATCTGTAGTTGGCACCTTTCCAGCCATAATTCCTATGTAACACACAAACATAACAGTATAACAACTTAGTAGGTTAGATAATATAGAGCGCTGCTTTTTATAATTGCAGATTATTCCTAAATTCAAAATCACAGCAGCACAACCCCACAAACAACAAGTCAAAACTTCTAGGACTCGACCCCAACCTCCTCAGACTTGGTTCTGCTGGCCAACGACACACACACGCACACACACACACATACGTTGCTCTGCCAGCCGACAAAGGACGAGCTGCGTTCCCAGACAATAACCCCATCACCTAAAAGTTTCCAAACAGAACAAATAAAACAACTCCTTAGCTAGCTTAGCTCTTGCTTCAATTCCTGTTGAGCTGCTGAAAGCAGAGATTCGTGCACAAAAAGGGGTGTGTGCACAGAACACACACCACACACATCCAAACACACCCACATCAACCTGCTTCTCCTCCAGCTTCACTGGCTGCCAGTCAACATCAGGGTTCATTTCAAGATCCTGGTTCTGGTCTACAGGGCCTTACATGGACAAGCACCATCTTTTATTGGTGATCTTCTTAGTCCCTACACCCCCAGCTGGTCCCTGAGGTCCAGTGATCAAAGCCTACTGGTTGTGCAGCACCAGGCTAAAGACCAAAGGTGACAGATCATTTGCTGCTGTGGCCCCCAGACTCTGGAACTCTCTCCCCCTGAGCCTGAGATCAGTGGACTCAGTGGTCTCCTTTAAAAAGCAGCTGAAGACTCACTTGTTCAAAGTGGCTTTTGCATGACCTTCTTCACCACTCTCTCTCTATTCTGCTCTCCCCACCTATTCCACCTTCCTCAGGATCCACTGATTTCCCTCTTTCCTATTCACTCCCTCTCTCTTTCTTAACATTTTTTAATCACAATTGTCTATTTTGTGCTCATTTGAAATATATTTTTAACCATTTTCTAAATTCTTTTTTATATTTTTACATGTTTTGTTTTTGTGAAGCGCCTCGTGATTTTTATCTTGAGAGGCGCTATAGAAATGATACTTTCTTCTTCTTCAGAGGGGGGAGTGACGGTCAGAGGAGCAGTTTGATGGATGGATCAGAATCCATCATTAACAACAGGACGTTCACAAAGATTGGATCAGGTTTTCCAGAACTGTATGTTTTAGAGGTGATTAAAATAATTCAATTTTGACAGAAACTTTAATTCATTGGTTGCCATCGGTATGTGAAAACCATCTGGAGCACTATGAAGATCCAGAACATCACTGACCCTACCTTTTGAGATTTTTAAAGATCTTGATGTTAGATTCTTACTTATTAAAGACTGCAACGCAAAACAACACCAGAGTGCAGCAAGATTCATTCAGCATCTAAAACCACTAAGGTAGAAGGGACGATGCATTCATGCGTGCACATTTTACCGCCCATGCATGACCAACCTGGTGTGCTGCTGCAGGTGGGACAGCTGACGGAAAGAGTTCTCGCAGTAGGAGCAGTGGTAGGGTTTAATGCCTAGGTGGATGCGCAGGTGCTGGGACAGGTAGGAGGCGTTGGCGAACGTCTTGGAGCAGTGGGGACATTTGTGTGGTTTGGCCTCTGTGTGGGACTTGGAATGGATCTGCATCTCTGACTTGGTTAGGAAGGTGAGCGGGCAGACTTTGCATCTAGAAGAGGCAGGAGACAACAGCTGCAGAACGTTAAAGTTTTAAATGATCAACTTTGTCAGGTTGTCGTTTACCCCACTGGTTCCTCTGGAGACCAGTAAGCATTTCAGAAGGTGACAAACAATGCTAGAGTGGAAAAATATACGTCTCTATTTTTGTGAGCAGCCTAGAATAAAGCCTGTAAATAGGTATGATGTAGGCTGAAATGTGGAAGTCAGACCACTATGATGCAACACAGCAACAACACATCCGCCCGGTTTCCACAACTAGAGTTTTCATCATGCGTCCGGCAGCTCTGTCTCACGCCAACTTCATATTGACCTGAACCGGTTTTATCACCTACTTGTGACCGGGTGATGATGTCACCAGTAATGGCACGTCAGCATGTTTAATAGTCACTGGTGAGTCGTGGAAAAAGCAACTAATCCAAGTAAAGCCCAGTCCATGATCACATAAACAGAATACTGAATATACAGAGTTATTACACGTTTAACGGCATTTCTAACATACAAACCCAACACTAAACATCCCACGGGCCATGAAGCGACAGCAGCGGCTTTGTGTGTCTAACCTGTAGGTTTTGCCCTCTTTGGGTGCCACAGTGACACAGTCTTGGTCGGCTAGGATGGGGTAGGGCACCACTAGAAGAGGCCCAGAAGTGTTTTCGGCTTTTATCTTCTTCCTCCCCCGAGGTGCCTTTGGTGGGGGACCCAAGAGCCCCGCCAGGCCGCCGGCCTTCATGTGGTCCATGCCGGGACCGCTCGCCAGCCCGGAGATGATGTTCACAGAGGGGGCACCGCCGAGGCGGTTCTGGCTGCTAGAGGTCGGAGTCGTAGGGGTCAGGGCCTCTGAGGTGTTGTGGCTGTCGGGTCGGGATGAAGGGGCCAGAGCTGCGGAGGGAGGAACCAGGACTTCTTGCACATCAAACGTAATTACTCAAGACTCTAAAATGTGTTTTGTTTTCACTATTTACGTATTTTCCCTGTGGAGTACCTGAGCGATGGTTGACCCGACCAGGCTGCTCTGCCATTTGTCTCATGTGCCAGTCTTCCCATAATCCTTTGGCCTTTACTGCCGACTTGTCGTCGAGATTTCCATCTGGAAGTTATGAAGACAAGTAAAAAAAAAGGTTTTAAAACATGAAAGTCAAACATGAGCCCAGATTCAAAATAATTAGAATGAAATCCAACCCCAGTGTTTAGAGCCGATCATTTTAAGCCACGTTTACACTGTGGTCAGCTCGGCCTGGCCCTCGAAGGGTCACTGCGTTCACACCGGTGTGCGCTGTTCGCGCGGGGCCAAACACATTTTTCGGTGCTGCTTCCCTGAGGTTTGTTTCGTGCTGAGCCCACCATATGTACCCACCTATGGACCTACTGTAGGCTGGCTGCACGGCGACAGACCGTCCCCACCTGGCTCAGGCCGAGCTGACGCCTTTAGATTTATTACATCACACTGATGTGAATCCAGAACCGGTGAGGGGGCGTTTGTACCTGGTCTAGAGCTGGAAGCGGGACGAGCGTGTAGAGCGATGTCCGGCTGTCCAGAGCCCTGCGGCTGTGTGGAGTGGTGTCCCGGCACCTGCTGCGGCTGAGGCTTTGGCAGCGGTATGCCATGCTGGCCGCTGCCATCAGGGGACGAGGTGGGCACCAATAGAGACTGCTGAGAAGGAGTGGAGGTAGGCGGCAAGTGCAACGGTCGAATCTTCTCAGCCATCAGCTGCTCCTTGATCTTGTTAATGAGGACCACGTTATCCAGCTGAAAGGGTTAAAGGGTCATGCTCATCAGAAAACAGCCAAGTGTGTGTGAAGGTCTTTTAGCCCCCCAAAGACAAAACGCACAACAGACAAGAAGGTGACAAGAAGCTTGATTTATTTTCATTCCTAAGACGACTGTGCTTACTGAATGATGCAAAGGACATCCACACATGGACACAGACAGCAAATCAAACTGGAGACGCAACAATTACCCAACGCCGTGAACAGACTTACCTGGCTGGGCATGGATGGAGGAGGTGGCCAGAAATACGGGTTGTTAAATCGAGGCTCTGCCATCCTGAAATCAGCAACAGTCATATTTTAGTCAACATTACAAGGCTTGAGCTGTCGTTTTGTACAGCCAGGGTGAAACAAATCTGTAAAGATCACGGCTACACTTGAATGAGGAATTGGTAAAAGTCGACACCTTAACCACATCCAGCTACTTAGTTTCGTGTTTTTGTTTCAAAGCTTTTTCGTTCAGGTCCAAACTTTACACTGGCTTCTGTTGTAAATGAACATATGTGCTGAGATTTGTCATTTTGAGTTTTTAGACAAACTTTAAACCAATAAACATTACATTTTTTGTTTTCACTTCCTATGAGCAGATATCAGCACATATGTGCTGATGCTACTGCTTTGCTAATGTTTTTAAATGTATTTCCTCACACTTCAGTCAACACATAGTGTTTACTACTTAAAGAGCAAGTCACCCCCTACCAGGGTATTACTCCACTCCCACTTCCTGTTTGAAAAACGCAACAAATGCTGTTGCCTAGCAGACCGAGAGGGCGGAGCCACTAACCAATGCACACACAGGCTCACAACGACATTGTGACATCATATGGTACCAGCTAACGTTCTAGGGTACCTCTTAGCCAATAGCGATGGCAGATTTAAATTTAAATACAGTGAAGAGTTTTTACCTGACAACGGCACAACACTGACAGTTTTAGGCAGAAATTTTTAATTTTAACTAAAATGCACTAAAGTGCTAAACTATTGACTATACGTGTCTGCAACACGATTAGACACATAATTATATAGTTTATCAAAAAAAAAACAAGTTGATTTGGGGGTGACTTGCTCTTTAAAGAAAACGCTTCTACACATTTTGTCTAACAAACTAGACGCATTAGATCTGTTCTTGTTCACACTTTTTTTTCAGTGATCATAAATGAGTCAAACCTTTGAATCCTTATGCGAAAATGTTTGGTGCATGCGTGATAGCAATGCAGTCCTGGAGTGTTTTCACATTGATTTGAACACTAGATGGCAAAATATGTTGCTAGTCATAATTATGCTGTTGCATAATTAAATTATATCAAGCATAATACGTGACTGACTGTGAGGTGACTGACAGGATTCATTTATATAACTATGGCTGAGAAGGTGTAGGAAAATCACTTGTTTGCATAAGGTCTTATCTCTGATAAGCAAATGAGCCCCTTTACATTACAGATGTCTAGAAAAATAAGTGAAAATCGCCGAGTGATGGACGTCACAATGCAATATGGTCAATGTAGTGTCCAACTAGCATACGCTACCTTTACTGAACCCTACCATGGATTATTAGAGCTCTCTATAGCGAGAGGAAATTACAGTCAAGAGTTCATTACAAAATGTCACTTGTGAAATAGTGCACCAATATATAAGTGAAAAATTAAAATGCAAGTCATGTGCACAGGAGTAGGAGGGACATCCAGCCTCATGACCCAAGTGTGCAGGATCAGAACAACAGCCTCAACGGTTCTCCAGGTTTCCGGTTGCTTTGTAACCTTGGCTGCCTTGTCACTCGTTTTCTACAACCGTGAGAACATATTATGAAACGTTTGTTTAAAAAAACATGTTAAGAAGCGGAGGACAAAAAGTGTCAGACCTAAAAGTCAGAGATGCACCCAAATTGGCTAAATTGATTAATCTGAAATGAATCTGTTATTACACTTTAATTATAGTTCCTTCATATAAATCAGAATTAACCTACTGTACATTAATATCGGCCCTCAAAACTCAAAATTTGTGCATCTCTCCTGAAAAATATAGCAGATGAAAAGCGTCTGTTATGTCAGAAATGATAGGAGCTTACTATCAGACATAAACAGGACCTGAGACATGTTTTATTATCCTACTGTTTTCCAAATATTCAGTTAATAAGACCTTTCTTTTGTTTTTATTCATAGATCACATTTTACAGTTGTTTACATTTGCAAAAACATACATTTAAGAGTTGACAGTAAATTTACAAAAGTAATACGGACAGAAAGATAACATGAGAGAAAGAAAAAAATACAAACATAACACTTAGGGATCTGCTGCGTCTAGATTAAAATGATGAAATAAATTGATAGTCTTGGTTAATTTGTTGTTTTTCTTTTTCAGATTTTCAATGCTGTTCCAATATTTCATGTCTGTAATTTTGAAGTTATAAAAGGAGGGAATATTTCTGAAAAATCATTTTAAATAAATAATATTTAGCTAAAATAATGATCAAATTAATTATATATTTTTCATTGGATGATAGATGAGGGTTATTAACAATAAGGAGTATTTCAAATTTGCTTAAAAAATATCTTTTTGTAGCTTTTTGGAAATATATTTTTGGAGATGGAACCAAAATAATGTTGCATGAAAACAATCAACAGAAATATGCTCAATCGTTTCTCCCTTACAACCACAAAAAGTACAGATGTCAGATACATTTGGAAAAAAAATACAGACGTTCGCTTTTGACGGGTAATATATGTGTACAATTTTGAACAAGACTTCTTTTATCTTATTACAATAACGTATTGGTGAGGTAGCAGAAAGATCCTGTTCCATAGTTTTCATTAAAGCCCATCGGTGTTTACATATCGGTGTTGATACAGGGTCAATTACTTTGTTAATAGACCTTTCTCCTATCGTTTAGCTTAAGGTTGCCCAAGCTGCCTGTACAATTCAACCATCACCATTACAAAATAGTAGAAAATAATAATAATAATAATGCTAGCATAATAAGAATTTGTCTTATTAAACTTGCATGCTATTACTAATAAACAGGCATGTGCACAATTATTCCTAAAACGTGTTTGGATACAGTAAACATTTTCAAAGAAAGAGTGAGACATTTTGTTTTTGGTTGCAGGGAAAAAGACATTTTTCAAGGCTAAAAACAGAAACAACGGACAGGCTCACAGATTTCCTTCCTACAGCAAATTACAACACTTCCTCATTTTCATTAATATACAACACATTACTTAGTAAATGTTTAAAATATTTTTAGTATTTTAAATAACAAAATTGTGTTTTATTATGACCTGTGAGTACTTTCAGCTTTCAATTTTTATAGGCAAAAAGTTAGGACACCCCTTATTTCAACAGGACCCCTTCCTCAGGATGTTTGCTCTTTAAAGAAGCCCCAACACCATGGCAACTGACCCAACTCCATCATATGAAGAGGAGGAGGCAGAATAGACGTGAAACTAACCAATAAGTAGTTCTGGAATAATTTTACTTTAAAATCAAAAAAAAAATTGAGATTTGAAGGATTTGCATAAATACTGAATCTATAAACCAGTTATAAATTAGGCCCACGGAAGGAGAGGTAACATTTCTATTTAATACACCCATTTTATCTCTTTTCCTGTGTAATAAAGCTTTAGCCGTTTAGCTAGGAGCCCTCCTCTGCTCCTTTTGTCTGAATTCTCAGGTAGAAGAAATTTAAGTAGCCGTCGCTTTAAATTTTCAGACAAACGCAAAGAGAGGAGAAGAGGGGAAAAAAGCCCAAAACTTTGACTTCTTTGACTTTTCGGACACGTCGTATTGTCTGGGAGCTGCTGTGGGCTCGGGCCGGTGGGAGGATCGGTGCGGTTCGACCCTCCCGGTGCCTCTCAGACATTCTCAGACAGTTTTCCTAAAACATTTCCAGACAAAAGAAAAACAAAAATGGCAGCCTTATTTTTATAAGGCGGGACGCCATATTCTGCAGACCCCAATTTTTTTAGGCGCGTTAGCGTCTGTGTCGCGAGGAGGGTGTTGCGGATGAAAAGGCGTCCGGGAGACACAAAGACCCGTGTTTATTGTGTGAAAGGCATGAATGATTGTTTACGGCAAATTGCAGGTTTGAATAGCCCGGCCTCCCCACCTCTTAAAAAAAAACCGACACTTCCTACAACAACCATGCCCCGCGAAGAGGAAAAAAAAAGCCAGCACGGACAAGCTGGACTCATTTCGGCGATTCAAACAACACATCGATGCACTAGAAGCTAAACATTAGCTGCACACAAAGGCTCACCTCCCGAAATCCGTTAACAAAATCCCACTTTTAGGGCTGCTGCGGTTTCCCTCCACATTCTGTAACTTTTGGGGCGAATCAAAAAGAGGGAAATTGTGCAGAAATCTGCACACATCTGGGACGCGATGGCTGCTCGGAGAAACGCACAGCGGCGAAAAGACAAAACACACATGCACAAATACCTTGTGTCCTGCTAGCAGATATGCGAGTAGAGCTATATAAAAAAAAAGCTTGATGTTCTGTCTGCCTCCAGTCGGACCACCGCTTCCGGGTCGCTTTGTTCACTTCTGGGTGCCGCTGCAGGCTGGGTACAGTAAGCCACAGAAACACGAAGGGGAAACCTGCTCACCTTACTTTGGGTTTAAATCCTACGAGTGCATTTCTGGTGCGTGATATAAGGTTATTTAAAGGCGTGTCTTTTTCAATTTAGCCTGCAGAATCCGCGCTGCAACAAAACCAAACACCCCAAAGCACAGCATCATTAGGACAAAATATATATTTGACTGCAATTAAAATGCTGACTGCAGCCTTTAGTAATCAATTAGACTCTTTAGTTAGTTAGACCTCAGCAAACCTGTTCAGGGTAGGCGGCAAATAAAAAGCTAAAAAACTGCAACATTTAAGAAATATGAAAAATATCACAGACGCAGATTATAAAATACAGTAATATTTTGGTAATAAAATACTTATTATAGGAGAACAGGTTTCAGCAAAAGAAGATGCAATCCATGAATAATGATGCAAAACAGAGAACAAACAATAAAAGACCTAAACATCTGCATGAGGTTTGCAGGTTCAATAAAACATCCAATTTTGTTATTGCTGAAAACATCCTAAGGTGTATTTTAAGATCAAAAACACAGAAATCCAACCCGATAGATAAGAAGTACAAGATTTTGTAGAATCTATGTTTGTTTTAATATTTTAATGTTGAGCAAGTAAAAAAAACTACAAAAAATATGTATTTCACTTTTGTAAAATCTAAATGCTCTTGGGTAGTTTTACACACACTTCCAGCTGTGAATTACTCTAAATAAAAAATTGACAATGTGGGAAAGTTTACAAAATCACTTTAACATGAAACGTTTGATGATTTTGTTGTTTTTTGTGTGTTTTTCACAGAACTCAGGTTATTCATTGAACCATTTACAGCAGACATTGTTTATAACCTTTTAACAGAACACCCCCCTCCCCCCAAAATAAAAATTGTAATTGTATGTATTTGGAATTTTTGAATTTTTAATTTTTGAGCATTTTTAATATTTGAAGTATTTCTGTTTTATATTTACTTGTTGCTTACTCTTTATTCTTATTTTTCACTCTCCTTTTTTTTTGCTCCTGTCATAAATAATTCACAATAAAGGGATTTTTTTCCATTAAATTTTTATTATTTTCTTATATCTGTAGCCTTTTGAGTTCCTTTTACTGTAGGTTAAATCCTTTTTCACAGACCATCAACAAAAAACAAAAAATAATAATTTCCTTCATTGTAAATGCTAAATATCTGTCACAGCCTCTGCCTCTTGTCACCCCTTTATTTGAGCACAACCAAAACTCTACTTGGCAGCATTCCTCTAACCAGAACTCATAATGTCCACGTCATCACGCTCAGCTATGAGGGGAAGTCACTTCCTTCTGCTTTCATCGTTTCATCAGATTCACGTCAAGAGTTTTGAGCTTCCTAGCTCCACCAATCAACCTACATCTGAGGAGTTCCTAGATCCAATCACATGTCAGCACTTCCCCACTCTCGTGTCTCCGTGGTTTTTTATTAACCAGTCCATGGCCTGGAAGTTGAAGCAGACAGAAAGGTGGATCTGGGTAGTTTTACTCTACAGCAAGAAGGATGTGTGATATTACTATTGTAGTCTTTATTATGTTTGTGGCAAGTTAAACCGCATTTGCTCACGCACCAGAGTGGATAGGCAGGGATTAAAGAGACCAACACAAACGGAAAGAGCGGGAGGGACAACACTAGAGAACGGAGAGAGAACAGACAGTATACAAAAGTCTACAAGAATAAATGGAATAGGAACTGTTCAATGGTACTGGTCATATTTAGAGTAGCATGTACCTCTGTGTGTGCATCTATCTTGTAGAGTGTGTTCATTCCTGTGTGTTTGTGTGGTTAACAGTGGAGCAAAAAATATTTAGTCAGCCACCAGTTGTACAAGTTCTCCCGCTTAAAAAGATGAGAGGTCTGTAGTTTTCATCATAGGCATACCTCAATGAGACAAAAAAAAAAAAAAATAAACCCCAGAAAATCACATTGTTTGATTTTTAAAGAATTTATTTGCAAATCGTGGTGGAACATTAGTATTTGGTCCATGATGAAAGTCCACCCCAATGCTTTGTTGTGTAACCTTTGTTGGCACTGACAGAGGTCAACGTTTTCTGTAAGTCTTCACAAGGTTTTCACACACTGTTGCAGGTATTTTGGCCCATTCCTCCATGTAGATCTCCTCTAGAGCAGAGGTGTTGTGGGGCTGTCGCGAGGCAACACAGACTTTCAACTCCCTCCGAGATGTTCTGTGGGGTTGAGATGGAGCCTGGAGAGCTTGAAAAGCTTCTTAGAAAGCCACTTCTGTGTTACCCATGCAGTGTGTTTGGGATCATCATCATGCTGAAAGACCCAGCCATGTTCCATCTTCAATGCCCTTTGCTGACGGAAGGAGGTTTTCCCTCAAAATCTGATGATGACTCCATTCAGTCTTTCCTTTACACAAGTCAGTCATCCTGGTCCCTTTGCAGACAAACAGTCCCAAATCATGATGTTTCCACCCCCATGCTTTACAGTAGGTAAGAGGTTCTTTAGATGCAACACAGCATTCTTTCTCTTTCTAACATGACAAGAAGAGTTTTTACCAAATAGTTCTATTTTAGTTTTGTCTGATCATATGACATTCTCCCAATCCTCTTCTGGTCATCCAAATGTTCTCTAGCAAACGTCAGACGGGCCTGCACCATAGTGGCTTAAGCAGGGGGACACGTCTGGCACTGCAGGACTTGAGTCCTGTTGTAACTTTGGTCCCAGCTCTCTGCAGGTCATTCCCTTGTGTAGTTCTGGGATTTTTGCTCACCGTTCTTGGGATCATTTTGACCCCTGATAGAGGGAGCTTGTATGTCTTCCACTTTCTAAGCTGCTTGCCTATTGCAGATTCCGTCTCCCCAGCCTGGTGCAGGTCTACAGTTTTGTTTCTGGTGTCTTTGACAGCTCTTTGGTCTTGGCCATAGTAGAGTTTGGAGTGTGTTTTTTATAACGAGTTCCAACAGGAAATGAGTGGAGGACAGAGGAACTTCTTACAGAAGAAGTTACAGGTCTGTGAGAGCCAGAAATATTGGTTGTTTGTAGGAGACCAAATGCTTATTTTCCACCATAAATTGCAAATAAATTCTCTAAAAATCAGACATTGTTATTATTTATTTATTTATTACATTTTTATGATCTCTTGGATTTAGGTCATTCTCTTCACCAAATGCCCCCACACCTACATGACCTATCACCGCTTCATCGTGTTGTTGTGACCAACCCTGCACAGCCATGTCAGAGATTCCTTCTCACGTTAGAAATACTCCTACTGTTAACACAAAATAAAATAAAAAGTCCCTAAAATGTGTCAAATAAAACTGGCCACATTCCTTAAGATGTAGACTCAGAACGAAGAAGAGAAACTAACCACAGTTATCCCCAAAATCTCAACCTGCAGATTCCCTCACAACGTTGGAAAAAATATTATTTGAAGGCATATTCATTTAAAACAGTATAATCCCATAACGCTGCTGACTTTGTCCACATTTCCATTAAGTCTTCATACATCGGTCTTGCTGTTGACCTGTCTGAACCACACACACGATTCTGTGGAATTATAAAAAAGCAGTCTGAGCACAGGAACTGGAGAGCTGACAGTTAACTGCTACGGTGTGTGTGTGTGTGCGTGCGTGCGTGTGTGTGTGTGAGGAGAAAGGGGGGTGTTAAGTGAGCTCATTGCTCTTCCTGTTTGTCAAACCTTTCTCTAAAGAACTGACAGCCCCGACTTACCCGTACACAAAAAGACAACAGTTGTTTTCTCACAGTGTTTGAGTCAGAGTCAGGACATCTATGGTGGAGACATCTACATCTCCAGCAGACGGACCCAGAAGGGACAACTGGACAACCTGCCATGCTTCTTCTTTAGGTTTTATTTCTAATGCGTAGCTGTAATTTATCCCACATTAGTTCTTCATTCATCCGACCTGCGCTCCGGACATGGCCTTGATGTGGGTAAGTAACGCAGTCTGATTTAGAGAATCTGCATCTTTTATCAGGAAATGAAAAAAATATATACTGAGAGAATATTTGGATGCTTTCAGCTGAATGAGACCAAGCGAGAAAGTAAGATCTTGTCCAGTCGTGTTCAGGTTTAATTTATTCCACAGAACACCCAATCAAAGAGGGACACATCTTTATTTTTTAAATGTTATTAAAAACGATGTTCTGTACATTGAATAACTGACTCACTTTATTGGTTTCATGTTGTCTACTAATATTTATTACAAAGTTTTACTCAGATCAGATCATTAAATACAATTGTTTCACTAATTTGATGGAGTTTTGCTTTTCTTTGGGGAAAACTGTCATCACAATTTTTAGAGCTACCAAATCACACACTAGATTTGAGTACGAGTGAAACAAACCAATACATGCATAAACATCACAGCTCTGTTGTACTGTTATAAGCCTTTGGGCTTTCGCTTGCTGTCATCAAAGGAGTTTCACAAACAGCTTCTCTTTCTGGAGGAGAAACCAAATCCTCACAAACAACGATCGTAATTTTTACAGCGTGAGGAGTCCGCATGGCCTCACCAGCCCGGGTTGTGACTAAGCCACCTACAAGGATTAGAAAAACAGTGTTTTTATTTGGATGTGATGGAGAATTGTCCGGAGGAAAGTCATGGCTTTCTTGAAAAAGACCGGACAGATTGATCTGTTAGCAGGTCCAGCAGCTGATCATTAGTTGTCCTTCACTGATCACCAGGACTTTCTTACATCAGTAGGACATCAGATCAGACTGATAATCTAAACATTGGCCAATCGAGTTTCTCCTTTTCATCAGCATAGCTAGTCTTTTGCTTTTTTGATGCAGCTTTTATTTCTTAAATATGTTGGCACTGACGGACGATTAGACGTCTCCTTGACCTGTGACTTTGTCTTTTTCTGTGCAATGAAATCACTAAAAATCCTGATTCGAAGCTTCACGTACACCATGCTGCACCTTTAATGCCCAGTTACCTAGAAAGGATCAATTATAAAGCTTCTATGTGGAAAAGTGCACTAAAGTGTCGATTTTACACACACACTCTCTCTCTCTCGATGTGTGGAAGGTTGTATACATTTCTTCCTCCATTTTTTATTAATATTTCAGGCTGCTTCTCTGATTTTTGTCCTCGTCTTCACTGGACTGGGTCAAAGTGAGACGATAGACCAGCCATGTACCAAAATTTGCCCAGCCGGTAGGTGGTAACAGCAAAATGCTTTCTTAATCATGTCTTTAAATCTAAATTCTTTTCTTGTCTTTTATTAAGGATATTATAAAGTTGGTGTATGTGGCGATGCACAGTACCGATGTGAAAAATGTAAGCCTGGCACGTACACAGCAATAAATAACACTGCGAGCAAATGTCAGCTGTGCAAACGTAACGTCGGTAAGTATCGTGGTCAAGTTGAGGCACTAAGAAAGATTTTGAAAGAGATGGTTAAAATCCTTAGTTAAACAGAAGCAACAACAACAAGCTGATGACGCTAAATAGTACTGTAAATCTGTTTTAATCTGCTCTGCTTGTAGCTTTCGCCTTGCTGATGTTACAACTAAAAACCTGAAAGAGTGTTTTTTATTCTCAGGAAACGAGGTGGTAGTAAAGGAGTGCTCACCTGACAGTAACAGAGAATTTAAATGTAGAGATGGTTATTACTACAGCGACTCTGATCAAACTTCTGTACACAGGAGTTGTGTCCCGTGCTACAGTGAGTAAACTCTTCCTGAACAAGATCAGGACTGATCTGATCACTGAAGAGAACTGCTCGTCCTGATCATATTTTTTTTATCTACAGGTACTAGTCTTAAGAGATGCCTGGACTGCCAAAGGTGAGAAATATATTTACACGCACGCACTCACCCACTCAGGTTCATTGATTAGAATCAGTTGATATTTAGCTCATTTGAATGTTTTAGCCGTTACTGAATTGGACAGCATTTCAGATTTGTTAAATTGTATTTTATAGGTAAATTCTCCTGGTCCATACTGTAAAAGTGCACAAGGGTAATGTGGTTTCCGTCCTGGCCGTGGCACACTGGACCAGCTCGGTACCCTTAGGGGGATCCTGGAGGGTGTGTGGGAATTTGTCCAACCAGTCTACATGTGTTTGTACCCCTGAGCGGGGTGCTCTGGGAGTATGCGGTTCCAGGCCCTCTGATAGGGGCTGTTAGGTCCCTGTATGACCGTGTCAGAGCTTGATCCGCATTGCCGGCAGTAAGCCGAGCTTGTTCCCAGTGAGAGTTGGACTCCGCCAAGGCTGCCCTTTGTCACGGACTCTGTTCATAACCTTTATGGACAGGATCTCTAGGCACAGCCAAGGTGTGGTGGGCATTCATTTTGGTGGCCTGAGGATCAGCTCTCTGCTTTTTGCAGATGATGTGGTCCTGTTGGCTTCATCCGAACGTGATCTCTGGCTTTCCCTGGAGTGGCTCACAGCCGAGTGTGAATCAGCTGGGATGAGATTCAGCTCCATGGTCTTAAGTTGGAAAAGGGTCGAATGCCTTCTATGGGTCAGGGATGAGGTTCTGACACAAGTGGAAGAGTTTACGTATCTCGGGATCTTGTTCACGAGTGAGGGAAAGCTGGAGGGGTGGGTGGATTAGTGCTGCATCAGTGGTGATGCAGGCGTTGTACAGGTCTGTTTTGGTGAAGAGAGAGCTGAGCCAGAAGGCGACGCTCTCGATTTACCGGTTGATCTACCCTCACCTATGGTCATGAGCTTTGGGTAGTGACAGAAAGAACGAGATCACGAATACAAGCGGCCAAAATGAGGTTTCTCTGCAGAGTGGCTGGGCTCTCCCTTAGAGATACGGTGAGAAGCTCAGTCATCTGGGAGGGGATCAGAGTAGATCCACTGCTCCTCCACATCGAGAGGAGCCAGTTGAGGTGGCTCGGGCATCTGATTAGGATGCCTCCCTGGTGAGGTTTTCCGGGCACGTCCAACTGGGAGGAGACCTTAAGGTAGACCCAGGACACGGTGGAGGGACTACGTCTCTCACCTGGCCAGGGAACGCCTTGGGATTCCCCCGGAAGAGCTGGTCCAAGTGGCTGGGGAGAGGGAAGTCTGGGCCTCTCTGCTTAGGCTGCTGCCCAGTGACCCAACTCCAGAAAAGCGGAAGAGAATGGATGGATGTACGTGAAAGTGCTGAATATTATTGAGGGAATTTAGATTAAAGACTAAAAACTGACTTTGTGCTAAGGAGGTAGTAAAATAACAAGGATTCTCTCTCTCTCTCTCTCTCTCTCTCTCTCTCTCTCTCTCTCTCAAAATATTTTCATTTGCTTTCATCAAAACCTAATTCTAAAACCAATATCAACCATTATAACTATTTAGTTTGGATATGTTTTATATATAAAAATTAGTCATGTAGATTTAAAAACCAAATATTAAATCGGGTGTTTGTGTGAAGAAACCTTTGATGTAATTTTCCCTTCTTGCTTTTTTAAAGTCATCTAAGTTTTCTGGGTTCAAAGAAGCCTGACCTGAGTTTCAACAGGAAAACAGATAAGACCAGTTGGATTACTGACCATTAAGTCCAAGTCTGCATGACACGAAGACTAGACTAGTTATGAGCTGCCCTTATGAATGAATGAGTGTGTTGCTAAAGGAGGAGTCAGCCCAGCTTTTAACCCGTTCATTCTAGAGTCCCATCTGGTAAATGTCAACACTTTTTAATTGTTGGTCTATCCTATCAGACAGGAGTGTGTGAACAGCTCACAATGCAAGAAGGACTGCGGAAGAGTCCCAACTCCACTAAAAAAGAATACAACTAAAACCCCAACTTCAACTACAAATACACCTTCAGTGACTTCAGAAAGTAAGTGAACCCCTTGTTAAATACATATTTATGCTCAATTCTCTGCTGCGTCCAGCTGAGGCCGCTTAAACAGATTCATAAATCTTTGCATCTGAGCGGAAACCATTAGTCAGACTGTGTGCAGCTTATCAAAATGCCAAATACAAGAACGAATGTCCCCAATCATCCAAAATACAAGTAAAACAGAAACCTGGACGGGCAGGTCTGGGGGGTGTGGCGTGGTTATTTGGAGCTAAATGGCCTTAATTGCTCCGAGATTTCCTTTTCAGGCCTGAGCTGCAGCAACTGAAACCATTTGGGGTTTTTGCTTACAGCAAACAGATTTTACCACCAGTACCTTAAATTGTGTCATGTCCATTTTTATGTCATCAAAACATAAAAGGTGAGACTTCATCTTTCATTTGGAGTAAATGATGAATGGGTGACCTTCATTAATTCAGTTGAATTTACACAGTTTGAGAAAAAGTGTGCAGCTACGATTTGGTTGTTTTTCCATTTGTTTAGTTTGAAATGAAGCCTTGTGGAGTACGTCCACAAAGTTAATGTACAGAAATCAGAAGAGAGTCAAACTGGAGTCTGGAAACCAAGTTTTTACCATGTTACTGACTTTGAGACGTTGCTGCTTCGACTTCAACTCCAGAGCCAAGACCCAAGTCTACAGTCTTCTCAGCAAACCCTGCAGTAGATCCAGCCCCAAAAACACGTGAGTTCCATTAATGGGATTTATGTGTTTTTGTAGCCAAACCAACTTCCTAGTAGCTACACCTCAGGTAGTTCAGCATGTCCCTTTTGTGTTGGGTTTGGAACGTGGTCCGACGAGCTGCATGTTGGCGATTGTGATTTTTTTTGAAGTCACATCACTGTTTCTTTTGTTTTTCAGCATACAACCCAGAGACCTGGCTCTTCTTTGTTGTGGCCCTTGTAATATTTCTGGTGCTCTCTTGGTTCCTGCTGCTCTTCTGCAGAACCCTTAACAGAAACCAGAACAGCTTTCTCTGCTGCAGCCCAAACAAAGTTGTGGAAACACCAGCTCAGGCGGCGATGTTAAACGGTGAGCATACGTCAAATTATTCCACGTGCATTTCCCTCTATGTTGCATTTATCTGCTAAATCAAAAGACCATGTTCTGATGCTGATGCTGCAGTACAACCATATGAAATGCATATTTATTATTGTCTAAAAAGCAGGTCTAACAGTTTTCAGGTAATTGTATTTCTGATGTCTAACGGTGTTTCCTGACTGAATGTGTTTTGACACTAGCAGGAAACTCACTGATTCTATCTTCTTTCCTCCTCACAGGGCAGCACAGTCATCACGGCAGCAGCCCGGCCACACTGGTGTGTGTGCAGCTTCATGTACTCTGTGTTATGTGGAGATGACATTTTGGCCTGTGGTGGAACTGTAGGAGGGAAAGGAAGATCTTAAGAGAAAAACATATAAACAAACTATTTCACCACAAGGAATCAGACAATGGCCAATTAGAGAGAACGTGCAACACTGATAAGAGTTTTTCCAGTGAAACGGACAGAAAATACTTTACTTCATTTTTCTTCTTTGTCTTTTTCAAGGTTCCTATGATTTCTGAGGAAACTCCGATGATCATTCAGCAGCCACCCGCTCACATCTGTGGGCAGGTGCCAGACGGAGCTCGTATGGGTAAGAGTCATCACGTCATCGTGGCTTTTTTGTTCAATGTTTCGTACTGCATAAAACATTTCAGGAGACTTTAGAAACAAGCTAGTTAGACACGAATCGGAGTTGTGACACATGGTGCCAGTGAACTTACACAAATGTCAAAGAACAGGGACATGTACTGTTCTATTTTTGATTAGAGATCATCTCCTGACACTCTCTCAACTTCTGCAATATGAACAACCACCAAAAACTGTTAGATGAGTCGGGGGACGACACAAAAAGAAGCTGTTAAGTAACGTTTGCATCTGCCCTCACACAAGCCTCCTTTGTTTTAGAAAAATACGATAAAATGGTTTTATTATAGTTTATTGAAATAGGTAAAACCATTTCAAGAGAGACTTTGACAAGAAGGTCATAAAAAAATACAACAAATATAAAACATAACAGGAATACAAGTGATATTTGACAAAATGCAAACAGCACTTCCCCAGAATCCTGACCATATGACATGTTCAGAGTTGCCTTGGGACCCATATGCAGGCGAGTAAAGCTGAGAGGCAGCAAATACCTTAATCTGTTTATTGTAGGGACTTGGGGTGTAGAAACAGGAACCAAAGCACGTTGACTTGTGAAGCCGTAAGACAAAGTTAACAGCCGAGCCGACAAAAGACACAGGACTGACAGAGCTTAAACACACAGGAGCAGGTGATCAGGTTAACAAGAGGCAGGTGCAACCAAGAAACACAACAAGGGGAGACGAGAGGCAACCAAGACCGGGAAGCAGAACGTGACGCCGTACTGGTGAACAAGCACAGAATCGTGCATGGAAACATGCCACAGATCTGACAGACATAATGTGTGTCCTGCATGAAAAAGCTGGTTTTCCCTGAGGTATTAGACTATAATTCCTCATCATGGCATGGTGTGCAATGTGCATTAGAGGCAACTGAAAATCCTAAATAGCTTGAAAAATCCATTCATTTCAATAACTAACCAACTGCTTTCACAAAATCATCTAATTAGGGCAAAAACTAAATCACTCCTAGAGCTCCTTTTTAAAAATAGAAACGAAGTAAAATTAAAAATGAGTTTGGATCCACTGAAGTTACATATAAGGAAATGCAGATGAAGTCAGGGTTTTTACACAGTCCTGAGGCCGTTAATACTCGGACAGTTTCTGAGTATTAAAAACTTTGAAGAAACTAGAGCGAGAATCATTATCGGTTGTAAAATGTTTTTCTTAAGTGTAATAAACTTTCCTACTGTTTAATTGTCTGTGTGAGGCAACACCAGAGGTCTCACCTTTACAGCTTGTTCAACACAGCTTTAATCTCTATAATCAGTCGAGCGTGCAGAGGTGGAGATAAGCATTCAGCGCTTCAAGCCCTAACGGGAAAAAGGAAATCAGATAGCGACTGTAGGCCTCTGTTACCCAGTTCATTGTGGGTAATCTGCTAAATACTAGCTGTGATGTTATTTCCCAGCTTACATGTTTCCTACACCACTTAAACGTTCTGTATTTGTGAAAGGTTGTTTACTTTTAACTAAACTAGCTGTTGTGCAACTTATTCTCCCAGCTGTCTGGCAGAAAGAGCAGTCAGAACGCTGGCCCGCCGTCGTGCTCTACGCCATCATCAAGGAGGTTCCCCTGCGTCGATGGAAGGAGTTCCTGCGCCTACTTTCGGTGCCGGATCAGCAGATGGAGCGAGTGGAGCTGGATGCCAGTCTGGGTTCAATAGAGAAGCAATACCAGATGCTGAGGCTGTGGAGCCAGCGCTCTTCTGCGAGTCTGAATGAGGTCTTCTCATCTTTACACAGCATGGATTTATTGGGATGTGCTCAGCTGCTGCAGGAAAGCCTGGAGAAGCTGCCCTGGAGGCCCGAGGCATTGCAGGGACCCACAAGATGAGGAGGGCACGCAGGATGGAGCATCACAGAACTTTATTTATTTATAATCCAGCAGGAAACATCACTGTTTTGTATTTGGGTGTATGCTCCTATAAGATGTTACTAATAGTTTCTACACCCACAGGCATGATGTCATAGATGACACCTACTTGAGTTGTGCAACTGAATGACTCAGGGGCACAGAGTTGGTTTTCTAAATGCTCTATAAAATATTTATGGAACCTTAAAATGAAGCTCAGCTCACTGAAGAGTTGAACTTTGTTCATGTTTACATTTAAAATCCGGGAGAGTCCCCGTCGTCTACTGTAACCTTCAGGAAAGGAATCTCACAAACACCGCTCTACCTCCCACCCTCATGTAGCATCTGTTTGGGTTTCGCTTGAGAACTTGTGGTTTTGCCTCCCACTGCTGTCACGTAAATAAGAGTTTAACCACCGTTTACGTTTGTAGGAATCGCCGTTCCTGTGTTTAATTGCAGCTCCTTGTTTTGTTTCTTAGGAGACTTTATCAGTCTTTATCAGCAACAGCTCAGCCGCTGCTTCTTCTTGCTCATCTTTGCAAACTGAAATCCCCGAGGGATGTCAGAGTTTCAGTTTCCTGCAGCTAAACAAAGTCGAGGGTGCAGCAGGCTGGGTTTTTCCTCACCACGTGTTTCGTTGGAACGGACGGGTTTCACTTGTGGTCTCCAGGTATCTCACTTTGACAGTGTTTCTTGTATCACTTCACTTCAAGGAAAAGGACATTCCAGTTTGTGGAATTTATTTATAAATGTTTGATTCCATGTTTGATCAGGAAGTCTTTGTATTTATATTTAGAGTTGTGGTATTTTTTTGTAATTTGTGGATTTTTTTTACTTTGTTGATGACTTTAGAATTTTTACTCCTGTTGCACGCAAGTATGATTCAGTGGTATTGTAATAACCACATTAAAGTGTCATGGTGCAAATAAGCAGAAAAATAAAGCTTTTTTTCTTTTTAGAAAGAATGGTTGATTATTTGTTCAGCAGAATTTGTTGTGCAGGTGTCTAGTTGAAAGGGAGTCTGTTCAAAGAATTTCAACAGGCTTCAGAGAGAACTTTTATTCTTGAGGCAATGGAACTCGGTCTCATGAATTGCAAATTTGGGCGCAGTACAAAAAGACAGCTGCCCTACACTTTTTGTACTAAGAGCATGAAAACAAATAATAGATGACATTCTGGAGGGAAATTATCACACGTGCAAAAACTGTGATTTTTTGTTATTACAAATGGAAATGTGAATGAATTAATTATGTTTTGATAAGCACCTAAGAAAGAGGCACCTCAGGGAATCAAAACACCAGATTTCTAAGTTAGTCGTTTAAGATCTTTATGTGAGATTTTCTGTAAAACTATGAAGGAAATTATGTTTCAAAAATGTATAATAATGATAAAGTCCAAGTTACAGTACATGCTGACCTACTAAAAATAGAAGAAGAAAAAGTGGTAAAAGAAAAAGAAGAAGGAAAGATATAGAAGAAGAAAAAGAAGAAAAAGCACATGTTTAAATATAAATCCAAAAACTAAATTTAAGAGGAGCGGTTGAAGAGCAAGTGACCCCCTACCAGAGCCTTCCACTCCCACTTCCTGTTTATAAAATGCAACAAATGCTGTTGACTGAAAGAGCAGAGCCACTAGCAAATACACACACAGGATCACAACAACATTGTGACATCATAATGTACCACTTACTGTAGCCAATAGCGATGGCAGATTTTAATTCAATTGTAGGGCAGAATTTGTACCTGAAGATGGCACAACACTGACAGTTTGAGGCAGAATATTAAAATTTTAACTAAGATGCACTAAAGTGCCAAATTATTGATTACACTTGTCTACTGCGCGATTAGACACTCATTTATCAGTAAAAAAAATGATTTGGGGGTGGCTTGCTCTTTAACATAACATTCGTAAATACAAATGATGTGAACTATGCAGAAGAAGCAGAATTTGAACATATTCAACCAGAACTCTGTTGTAAAAGTTAATTTATTTCCTCCTGAAACACAAAGGATAAGATGTAATCGTCATTTTTCGTGGTACCACAAAAAAAAAAAAAAAAAAAAAAAAAAAAAAAAAAAAAACAGGTATGAAGATCTTTCAGCGTTCTTCCTGTGAGCGCGAGCGTTTGCGTGGTTTCCATTGGCAACCACGCCGCTCTTGCCAGAACAACTCCGATCGCCTCGAGCTCGCCTCGCTGCCGTTAAGAGAAGCAAGGAGGCAGAGCCAGGAGCGCTTTACCGTCATGTGAAGCTTATCGCGGTCAGTTACTTTCTGCCCTCTTGCAGTTTTTGTGTTAGTGTGTCTAACACGTACATAGTAGTAAGTAAGTAAGTGGTTCCTGCTATTTGAGCTGACCGAGCTGACTCGTGCTGTCATGGCAACCCCGAATCCTAAGCGGATGAAATGACCAAAAAAGGCACACGTTGTCGGTCCTTAACACGTTTATGTTTATTAAAACACATATAATCTGAATTAAAGCAGCTTTTAGAGATTTTTCATTTCTAAATGACTCGTTTTTTAATGTCGCAGAAAAAAGCTAAAAAAGACTTTTAACAATAGCCACGAAAAGACCACATGGGGGCGCTAAAACATATTTAACACGTAAACAAAACTCCTTTTTATTCTGCTGCTATTACAAACTGTGGTAATTAATTGTGGTAAATAATAAACTATCGGTTTTGCAATCGTATCGTTGCAGCTTCTTCTGATTTTTGAGATGTTTTGTAAAATTTTTAACAAAATATTTGCATAAAAATGTGCTAAATATAAATAAAATGCCTTTATCTATGGAGTTTAAAATCAACCATTCCCCATTTTATTGTTCTGCAGGTTTAATATATGGTTTGTCAAACTTGCTTGACTCAATGGTAATGCAAAAGTTGCTTCAAATATCATAGCAGAGGCAAAAACAAACATAAGACGGCTCCACAGTGGGCCAAACATGAAGAAAAATAGGTTCACGTCATGTTTTTAGATCCTTTTTAATTTTCATATATAACCACATGTCTGTTTCTTCAAAAAGCGCTCATTTTAGTCTGATATTAGAAATACATTGTCAACAGAAGTTATAGGTTTTATGAAAATGTTGTGTATCGCTTTAAAATACACTGGTTTTAACAGTATTCCTGCAGGTTCAAATAAACATAGTGGAAAATGCATCAACAACAAACATTTCTTGTAATGTAATGACTCAAAACACGAAAGTCTTTGAAAATGTTGCTACTGAAAACAACCAGACTGAAAGAAAGGGACTTCCCAGCTAATAAGGTACAAGAGTTGACATTCAGGTTCTCATGCACATGTACTTGTATCATGGAACAACTGGCGTACAATGAAAATAAATCATTTTACGCTAAACATTGTTTGTACATTTTTGTTGTTAAACTAAATATTGTCACTTTTTAACAGGTATGCGCTGAGCTACGAGCCGAGGAGATGAAACAAGAGGGAGGGCTGCTGTCTGATCATGACTGCTTTGGTTCGACCAGCTGAGCTGTGTGCAGATGGGGACAAGTTTCTTCAGGTCGGAGACCTGGAAAAGGCCACTTCCTTCTACATGTCTGCCTTCAGGACTCATGCCACTTTAGCCGTGTCCCACATGAGGAGCCTGGACACGTCCAGCTGTGAAAAGGTGATCGCTACTCTCGAAGGCTGGCTGGACAGCAATGGGGACAACCCGCCCAAAGAGAATCTCCATAACGGTCTCACAGCTGTTTTCCTCTCCACGCTGCGCCCCAACAATCTGACAGCCACCGTTTTCAAAATGGAAACTCTTCTCCGGAGCGACGGACGTAACTGCGAGGAGATTTTTGCCCGCTGCACGTCTCTCCTTGAAAGCAAGCGTGGCCCTCACCCAAAAGGGAGGATGCGTGTGTTGTTGGAGGTAACTCGAGCCTTGGCCTGTTTGTTCTCACAGCGTCACAGCTGGCAGGGCCTGAGGCTTTACCTTCAAACGTACCAAAGGAACAAACAGGAAACAGTTGAACTGGTTCAGAAAAGGCAAACTGCACACCTACCCAAAATAAAAAAGGCCTTTACCGACAAATTAATGCAAACATTTCCCTGTCTGGGACTGGACCATAAGTGGACAGAGACCTCAAAAGAGACTAACAAAATGGATGTAGAGGACTCCTCAGCAGCTATTGAGTTCTTATTGGCTCTGTCGCCTGACGACAAAGACATTCAAGAACTTCAAGCAGCATTTTTGTTTTTAACAGGCAGGTTTGTGGACAGCTCAGAGGTCTACTCTGCTCTCTTAAACCAGGGCGATTGTCAGAAAACCTCGCAAAGCTCCACGGCCGCAGTAGAGAGTCCTGAGAGGAGAACCAGGCTCCTAGCCAGCAGAGCAGCCGCCTGCCTGTCGGCAGGTGGGAAAACAGCAGAGGAGTGCAGAGATCTGGAGGAAGCATTTGAGATCCATCCTGCCTCTGCCCGTATTTACTTCCAAAAACTCTTCACTGATTGTGGCACTGGACTGGCTGCTCGAAACCATCTCCGTCAGCAGGCGGAGCGAGGTTTGTCTGGGTTCAGGGAGAGGGTGCTTAGCCGTGCAGAGCTGCGATCCACTGAAGGAGTTGAACTCCTTGACCCCGTGATAGCTGCATTACGGACTCTTTGCCATTTAGAACCTGGTGGAGGAGGTAGAGAGCTGCGGGTGCGGCTGACCGACTGCCTCCTCCTTAGAGGGGAGCACAAAGAGGCTCTCTCTATCTGTAGCCAGCTAGCTGCTGCCCAAGGACAGCACAGCTATGAAAACACAGTCCAGGTCCTCTGTGGGTATGCACGTCTGCTCTCAGGTGACCATAAAGGGGCGCTAGAGGACTTCCAGTCTGTGATTGAACACAGCGCTCCTCACCCATCCAGCTGTGTGCGGGCCCTTTGTGGCAGGGGCCTCCTGCGTGTCATCGGTGGCTTTAATTATCTCACAGCTCTTGACTATGTGACGGCCAGCAGGCTGCATCCTCAGGAAACAGCGCTGACGGTCCGCTGCCTGGTGCCATGGAACTATCGAGGGCTGCTGGTGACCGTTCTGCTGGAGCAGGGGCGAGTCATGCTGGAGGAGAAGTCCAGTTCAGGTGAAGCCCAATCGAAGAGAGACGACCACAGATCGGGGTAGGGTTCTTCTTACATGTTTGTTGACATTTTCACTTAAAACTAATAAAAAAAAAATACATATAATGTGTCCTAGTAATTTTTATTTTTTCTCGACTAATCACTTTTACCTGCTTCATACATCAGGACTCCTGCTGGTGTCCAGGCCCTGGCCTCGCTGCTCATGGAGCTCCAGCCCAGTTCCGATGGGCCTCAGATCCTCGCAGCAGATGCCCTGTACCAGCTCGGCCGGGTGGAGGAGGCCTACAGGCTGCTGCTGGCCGCGGGGACCCCCAACCTTCGGGCTCCCATCCTGGCTCGTCTTGCTCTTCTGCAGCTGCACCGAGGCTTTCACTATGACACCAATCAGGTACGGCTTTGTGTGTAAGAAATTTGATCTACTTCATTTCCTTTGCAGACTTAAATAAACAAGAGGCCAAAAGATGTTGGAATTTTGTTTATGTTTAATAGAAGCTCTGTCAATTCTGTTGCCCCAATTAAGCAAAAATAAATAAATAATAAATCACTGTTTTCATGTCAGTAAACACTCAGATCACAAATACATTAGTTCCTGAGTTTAAAGCTTCGACAATGAGAAATAACTCAGGTTTGTCTCTTCTTTTGCCTGCAGCTGCTAAAGAAGCTGATTGTGTGCGGTGACACCAGCTGCCTGCGCAGCCTGCTGCTCGTGGCTCAGGAGAGAGATCGAGCTCTTCTGCAGGGGCGTTGTCACTCAGCAGCAAAACACATCCTGAACGCCTCGAAAGAAGAAGGCTCTGTCAGGGAGGCCGTGGCGTATTTATCCATCGCTGTTATGGCCTCTGGTAATGAACACTTTTAAATACAAATTAGGGTAGAAGAAAGTAAAAGTAATTCAATAATAATAAAAAAGAAGTTCTTGTTTTTTAAGGTGGTGGAGCGGCTGACTCCCTGCTGGAGAGAGCTAGGTGTTACGTGTTACTGGGCCAGCGAAAGACAGCCATATTTGATTTTAGTGCCATTTTGAAGGAGCGTCCAAAGCACATGCAGGCCCTGTGTGGACGAGGATTTACGTACCTCATGCTGAATCAGCAAAAGGTACCTTACAGCACACCTAATTAGCCCGAACTTCTACAGGAATGATCCATGCTTGAGTAAATAATGTAATGCAGAAAATAAAACAGATTAAACTTCATCCTTAATAGCAGAACATATCACACCATCACTGTTAGAAAACGACGTAATACTGGTTGTAAAACTGAAGAAAAACAAACGCAACAGTCATAGTTTTCGCTTTGCCAGTCAATCTGACAGCACTAAAATAAAAAATACCTCATTTTTATTATTTGTTCTCAGAAGCTCTTAATTAATAAAAAAATAACATAATAAAATAATAAAATCAATAAACAATTTTTTAAAATAATAAACAATTGGATCAGGTCACAGCAAACATCTATTATCGAGTTAAACAAATCATTCACATGAAAATAAATTGAGTTTTAACTTGTGCACTGACTCAGGAGAGCGTCCACGATATCCTCGCTGCTCTCCAGATACGAGCCGATGCGGTCGTCAAAGAGATCCTGTCACTCAAGGACCGAGCACGGACGCTCGTCTGTGATTGGCTGCACCAGTTCTGTCGCAACAGCCTGTCAGACGCTGTGGTCACCAATCCGGTTCCCTGCCACGAAGAGCAGCTGAAGGATGCTTTTATAGTTAGTGGAGCTTTGATGAGGACCGACAGCAGAGACCCACTGTGGCACCTTCTGTACGTGGACACACTTCTGGCTAAAGGTGAGACGGGAGCTTTGAGATTAAATGTTTCTAAAAGTTAAATAAGAAGGAGGTGAGGGTTCCGGCCTGGTAGAGAACATTTTAACTCATCTTAACAAGCTTGTGTTCTGGTTGGCGCTCTCTAGGAGAACGTACGGCAGCAGGAGCTCACCTGTGCCAGGTATTTGGCCAAGAGCCAAGAGACGCGGTGGCTCAGGCTCGGCTGGGGGTGATGGAGGCCTGGCAGCAGAACTACTGCAGCGCCGCTCGCAGGCTCAGCAAACTGAGTGAGAAAGATTTACCCATCCTGGACTTCCTGCTGGCTCTGCTCCCATTTAATCATCGAAAGTGCACCGCTCAGGTGAAACCTACGTGCAAGAGTCTGAGATGCAGCTGACACAGAAGTGCTTTAATCTGCATGTCAATGAGAGGACTACTTCATGTTTAAAATATCTTTGTTATGCGAATGTAACGTGTCCTCACCAAAAACCTTCACTGTGACAGGCGGCAGCGCAGGAGGCCAGCAGCGTGTCGCTCTGTGGCCAGTGGGACCAGGCCCTGGCGCTCCTGACCGTGGCGGTACAAGCAGAGGGCCACCTCAAACCCCAGTATCTCCGCCAGCGGGCTGCCTGCTTTGCACAGCTGGGCCTACATGAGCGGGCCATATCTGACCTGGACAAAGTCATCCAGGGACATGGCCGTGCGAGCGGTTCTGATGACCCAAAAATCCGGGCGGAGGATCTGTGTCGGCGAGGTCGCAGCTTGGTGCTCTGCTCTAAAGAGGGAGCCGCTCTGGAGGACTTCACCCAAGCCCTGAACCTCCACCGGGATCAGACCATTCAGTGTGTGGAGGCTGGTCTGGGGGGGCCGCACCTGGCTGAGTGTTTTCTACGAGGGGCGCTGCAGCACTACGGAGAACAGCAGCTCACTAAAGCGTGGACGCTGATCGAATCTGGACTGACTGTGGACGGAGAAAACGCAGAGCTGCGCAGACTGAGAGCCAGAGTCAAACGAGAAGTGGCCATCCCGTGCATCGTCAACTAGTGGATGGCCACTAGTGGGGGCTGCAGAACCAAGACGCGGCCCTTACGTGTAATCATGTTTTGAATCAAACCAGTGTCTTTTAATCAAAACAGCACATTCAGATCCTTTTTATTATATAAATAATGAATCTAATATTAAAAACAGCCTATTAACACCTTAAAAATCACTGAATGTTTTATCTCACACTATCACACATCGATATGATATTTAAGAAAGTGTCAAATGTGCAGGTTTCGTGCTTTGAAAATGCAAGAGGCATTTCTTTAATTATTATTGTGGCAGAAAACACACTTCAGAATGCTGGAGTACAGAAAAAGCATCTACAGGTGCTGGCCAGTAAATTAGAATATCATCAAAAGGTTGAAGATATTTCAGTAATTCCATTCAAAACGTGAAACTTGTACATTATATTCATGCAATGCACACAGACCAATGTATTTCCAATGTTCATTACATTTAAATTTGATATTCATAAGTGACAACTAATGAAAACTCCAAATTTGGTATCTCAAAAAATTAGAATATTCTGAAAAGGCTGAATATAGAAGACACCTGCTGCCACTCTAATCAGCTGATTTACTCAAAACACCTGCAAAGGCCTTTAAAAGGTCCCTCAGTCTTGTTTTGAAGGCACCACAATCATGGGGAAGACTTCTGACTTAACAGCTGTCCAAAAGACAATCATTGACACCTTGCACAAGGAGGGCAAGACACAAAAGGTGATTGCTAAAGAAGCTGGCTGTTCGCAGAGCTCTGTGTCCAAGCACATTAACAGACAGGCGAAGGGACGGAAAAAATGTGGTAGAAAAAAGTGTACAAGCTCTAGGGATAACCGCACCCTGCAGAGAATTGTGACGACAAACCCATTCAAAAATGTGGGGGAGATCCACAAAGAGTGGACTGCAGCTGGAGTCAGCGCTTCAAGAACCACCACGAGGAGACTCATGAAAGACATGGGATTCAGGTGTCGCATTCCGTGTGTCAAGCCACTCTTGAACAAGAAACAGCGCAAGAAGCGTCTCGCCTGGGCCAAGGACAAAAAGGACTGGACTGATGCTGAGTGGTCCAAAGTTATGTTTTCTGATGAAAGCAAGTTTTGCATTTCCTTTGGAAATCAAGGACCCAGAGTCTGGAGGAAGAGCGGAGAAGCACAGAATCCACGTTGCATGAGGTCCAGTGTAAAGTTTCCACCGTCAGTGATGGTGTGGGGTGCCATGTCATCTGCCGGTGTTGGCCCACTCTGTTTCCTGAGGTCCAGGGTCAATGCAGCCGTCTACCAGGAAGTTTTAGAGCACTTCATGCTTCCTGCTGCTGACCAACTTTATGGGGATGCAGACTTCACCTTTCAACAGGACTTGGCACCTGCACACAGTGCCAAAACCACCAGCACCTGGTTCAAGGACCATGGTATCCCTGTCCTTGATTGGCCCGCAAACTCGCCTGACCTTAACCCCATAGAAAATCTATGGGGTATTGTGAAGCGGAGGATGCAATACGCTAGACCCAACAATGCAGAGGAGCTGAAGACGACTATCAGAGCAACCTGGGCTCTCATAACACCTGAGCAGTGCCACAGACTGATCGAGTCCATGCCACGCCGCATTACTGCAGTTATTGAGGCAAAAGGAGCCCCGACTAAGTATTGAGTGCTATACATGCACATTCTTTTCATGTTCATTCTTTTCAGTTGGCCAACATTAGAGAAACAAACATTTTTTCATTGGCCTTTAGAATATTCTAATTTTCTGAGATACCAGATTTGATGTTTTCATTGGTTGTCACCTATAAATATCAAAATTAAACGTAATAAACATTGGAAATACATTGGTCTGTGTGCATTGCATGAATATAATGTACAAGTTTCACGTTTTGAATGGAATTACTGAAATATTTTCAACCTTTTGATGATATTCTAATTTACTGGCCAGCACCTGTATAAATACTCAAATCTAGCCTGGGAACGAGTATTTAAACACAATGCCTGTGCAGAAATGCTCCCTGAGGAATGAAGCTTCTACTGTTTGCATCATCAGTGCAGTGGTCTGGAGCTAAGCCAGCACGGTGATGTACTGCGGCTCCATGTTGCCGAAGTAGGACTTCTCCCACTCACTCATGAGGTCAAAGTGCAGCGGGCGGTCGCAGAAGGTGCAGGAAACCGTAGCCGGGCTGTTGAGTGGCAGACCCACTTCCAGCCACACCTCCACCAGCTTACCTGAGGGAAACAGACAGTTATCTCATTTTTAATAACAATCCCTAAAGAGCTTTAAGATTTTGTGCTGACTTTAATAAAATTCCTCACATTTTCTAACATGAGCCTCCTGCTGTGTGCTTATTTAACATTTATAAAATGTTTACCAGCTCAGCTCTGACCTCTAACGACTCCCACACTCACCCGCAAAGTGGTCCATCATGTCAGGATCGTGATGGGGAGACGGAGCCAGACGCAGCAGCTCCTCACCACGAGGCACCGTGGGGTAGTTAATGGCCTGGACGTAGATGTTGTGTCTCTCCAGGAGGATGTCACACACCTTAGTGTTCAGCTCGGCATTCCCAACCTGGAAAAAGGGGGATAACTGAGACCTGAGAGGATTTATTTACCCAGTAGATTCAGCCTGTGTCCAAAAACCTGAGCCAATCCTAAAACTTCAATCCAAATTAGAGTTGCAAAAGTATCCCATTTTGTCTTTGGTGATGAAATTTTCCAGAGAAAATTCAGAATATCTCAGTGAGGGTAGATGTCGTACCCGTATGGGGATGATGTGGCTGGGACAGTTGACCACAGGCAGGCCTTTGTCCATCAGCAGCTGCCTCATGTGTTTCACATTCCTCTGGTGGGCTCGACGCAGCACCTGACCCTCGGCGCTCTTCAGGACCCGGACGGACTCCAGAGCTCCCGCCAGGACCATCGGAGGAAGAGCGGTGGTGAAGATGAAGCCGGCTGCGTAGGAGCGCACCGTGTCCACCAGGGCGGCACTGCTGGCGATGTAGCCTCCAACGCAGCCAAAGGCCTTACCTGGAAGGTTACATGACATCATCAGGGACAGTAAAGCAATGATAAAACGAGCATTAACAAAAAATGTACAAAAATAGATTTTAATTATTTTTTCTAAAACATTTCTCTAAATAATAGAAAGAAACAATAATCTGGAAAATCAAGCAAGCCTTTAAATGTATTAGTTGGGTTTGATGTATGTTATCTTAATAATTTGTAATCTTAATATTTTATTTTACACATTCTGCAAATATTTCTAACTTTCTTTTTTTTATTCTTGCGACTTCTTGAAAAATCTGAGATGATATTAATATTTTATTATAATGCTTAGATGGATTTTATTTTTATTATTTAGACTGCAATAATTAAACAGAAAAAAGTTGTGTTGTTATTCTGCTTTAGACTACAGCAGGCATTCAAAGTCCACCCCGGGGCAGTTTGCCCCCCGCCACCACCCCCCACCCCACCCCCGCATTTCTTCAATGATAAATTGTTTCTCCAGGCTGTTGATGTAGAACGACACATCCAAGCATTTTTATGTTAATTGTCCTATTGTGCTTATTTTAGACGAATTTTGAGGAGTAAAATGCAATAAATCACCATAAAATAAATAAAAAAAACATATTTTTTGTCGCTACATTGTCCTGACGTTTTTAGCCTTGATCTAGGAATGTTTGCACAGCTCTGGTCTATAGGGATTGTTTAGTAAAGTATTTTGATCACACAGCAATAAAATGCATTTAGAGAGTTTTATCGGTGCAGCCAGAGAGGGAGGAGAACCGACACCCAGCTGATAACACTTCTGCTCTGGTGAAAACTCACTACTGTCCTGCTCTCACTCAGCCAACTGCAGACTCGTATTTGTAGAATTATTGTTGCAATTTTGGCTTTAGAACCATTTCAGTTTGAGCACAAGTGGCCTAGCTAGCCTGCATAGGTGAGCCCCATATGGATGTGTATGGGCAAACTGTACAGGTGCCAACAGGGTTTGCCCACATAAACTTACATGGGCTTTCTGAGGGACCCAGATGGTATGACTCATACATGGGCCTGTTAAAATCTATGTGGGCAAATCCTTGTGGGGCCACCATGGAAACCGCAGACAAACCCTGCTGGCACCCGCAAGGTTTGCCCATATCCACCTATGCATGCTGGATGTGGGCTTCACAAGAAAAGAAGTGAGCCAAATAATCCAGGATGGGTTGACGTTTTTGCTACCGATAAAAAAATCATGACTCACCTAAAGTCCCAGAAACTATGTCTATCTTGTTCATGATGTTGTCTCTTTCGCCCACCCCGGCTCCGTGGGCCCCATACAGACCCACGGCGTGAACTTCATCCACAAACGTCAGGGCTCCATAACGGTGGGCTACGTCACACAGCTCTTCCAGAGGGCAAATGCCACCTGGACCCCCCAGACAACAAGAAGAAGTGTTTAAATAGTGTGCCATAGTAATTAAACGGACTGTTGACCCAAGTTAGAGGGTGAAGTCCTAATGAAATGGTCAAACATCTACTTTAGTCATGTCTGAGGACTCACCGTCCATAGAGTGCACAGTCTCAAACGCCACTATTTTTGGAGAGTTTGGGTCAGAGCGTCGCAGCAGTTCCTCCAGGTGTCGACTGTCGTTGTGACGGAAAATGAAGCGTTTGGCTCCGCTGTTCCTAATGCCCTGAATCATGGATGCATGGTTTCCTGCATCAGAGTAGATCTCGCAACCTGATGACAGAGAAAACATTTCTTAAAACAGAGAAGCACCAGTTTTGCTGCTTTAAAAAAAGAAAACAGTGGAAAGGCCTCTACAGATTCTTAAAACCAATCTTTCATGGATAATTTTTCACCAGGATCCATTCATATGGATTTTCCACCAATATTTACTCGGAAGCATTTTAGCCAGAGTGAAGAGGGTTGAGTCGTTGGCCACGAAGCAGGAGGAGAACACCAAAGCAGCATCTTTCTGGTGAAGCTGGGCAAGCTCCTTCTCCAGAGTCACGTGGAAGTTACTGGTGCCAGAGATGTTCCTGGTCCCACCTGCTCCTGCACCATGGTTCTCCAGAGCATCTCTAAAGACAACCACAACCAAAAATATAAAATCTGCTCTTCTGATTTTAAATGCAGGTGTTGTAGTGTGGGCGTCCTGTCACAGTGTCCCGATTGATCATGCGCCCTGGCTGCTTGGCCACGGGGATGTCCCTTTGGCTGACTGGTTAGCGTGCATGACTTTTTACCGGGAATCTGGGGATCGAATCCCGCCCGGGCCCTCAATTCTCCACCTTGCCACACAGGAATTACAAGAGACTAATAGATTCAATTAACTTGCTGCAAAGCTATTTTTGAGGCAAATGTGCCAAGGTGGAGAAACGAGAGCCCGGGTGGGATTCAATTCCCAGACACCCGCGCTAACCAGTTAGCCAAAGGGACATCCCCTTGGCCAAGCAGCCAGGGTGCATGATCAGTCGGGACACTGTGAAAGGATGCTCACACTGTCACACAAAGAAGGGTTAACTGTTGTAATATGCTAGCATTCTTTTAAGCTAACGGTTAGCAGATACCATGCTAACTATTTGTGTACAGAATGCTAGCAGGCTAACACGAGATTAAGTCAACCTCAGTCTGTTATTTGAAAAGTTAAAGTAATGTCAAAGTTGCAACGTTTTACACTAACCTGTCTAATAGAAGCTCAAAGATTATTCTAGATCCCTCTCTGGCAAACCCAACCTTTCTAGAGCCTGACTCATCTTCATCTGACAACTTCGTTTTAGCTACTTTGTAACTTCAAAGCAAGATCTCTTCTTCACAAAAAAAACATCAACTCATCCATCTGAAAACATTATTTTCAAATCGTCAACTCTAGAGACCATAAAGGCCAAAATTAGAAAATTTTTGGATCATCTGTTCTTACTTGATGGCATCGAGGACCCTCGGGTGGCGACTCATTCCCAGGTAGTCGTTGCTGCACCACACTGACACTTCTGAGACCCCTCGTCCAGAAACAGAGTAATCCTCAGCCAGAGGGAAGGCTGTGGCGCTTCTGTTCACCGTCTTGAAGACTCTGTAAGTGTGGTCCTTCTTTTTCTCAGCAATCTTCTCGATGAAGAAGTGATCATAGTTGTAACTGGGGCCAACTGCAGGATAGAGTGGATAGAGGGGACATCAGTTGCAGAAGTTTTTGGGGGACTTTTTTTGTAATTGAGGCCACTAGATCTTACCCATGTTGTCTCTGAGGTGGTGGGTGGCTGTGTTGGTTTGATCGGATGTTGGGAACACTGATTCTTTTAAACCTTTCAACAAGGAGGTCATCAAACCTAAAGGAGACAAAATATTTTCAGAGGTGGCTATTTTGGATATCACGGATCTGTAGATCTCACTACTCATGGTGCGTACCTTCTTGGACATCTTCTTGTACTTCAGGGCTTGCCTGGACCATTCCAATCTGAGAGGCAACAAAAGGGCAGCCCTTCGATGCAGAAACGGCCACCTGAGTGGCAGTTTGAGCAAACAGCCTCTTTTGGTCCACAATGGGTAGTCGGTAACTACTGGGTTCAGTGGAAGACAAAGTCACTTTGTTCTCCAGAGATGCCAGGCCGCTCACAGAGATCTGACGAGCGATGATGGGGCATTGGTCTGCCAGAGACAGCAAAGAAGCTCCTGTTCTTCTTAAAGCTGGCTTTGGAGCAGATCTTAGGAAAGGACAGTGATGAAGGAAGGCGGCCATGATAACGAAGCTGTTCTTACTCTGAGTGGAGAACAGAAACACGGGAAGGTTGAATCTATTGAAACAAATACTTTCTTTGCTTGGTATTAAGAAGTCAGCCCTTCATAACCTGAAACTGATCTGTAGTTTTTTTCAGATTTCTGGAAATATTTCACTGTTACCTTGGATGTGGGCTGACCAGTTTTATTTGCCAAGGTTGAATCTGACCTTTCAATCATTCCAGCATAAACAGGCTCCTATGTCACCAGTTAACAAGCCAATTAAAAGTCTGTTTTTACTAACCTTTTTATTTAGACACAATTTATTCCCATTTCTTTTGTCAAATCCATGTAAAAACTCTAAGAACAACCCACGTTTGACACATATAACAGTATAGTAGCAGCATCAAAGTGCTGAAAACTTCATGCACAACATGAGAAAGATGATGCACCTCTTCGTCACCATTTCTTAAAGACAAAACTTTCAGATGATGCAAGAGATGTAATTTTTTTGTTTTCCCACAAACTATCACAGTGTGTGCGTTCATTGTTGGTACAAAAACTGGACATAAAACTATGGAAATGAAAAGTCCAAAAACCTTCAGAAAGCCTGAAAAACTGTTGATCAAGATAATTTTATATTTTTACAAGAATTTCTGGCTGGTTGAAAGCCAAGTATAAGGGGATGTCAAGGTCCGTCCGATCCCTCACTTGTTTGCCTGGAGACCAGGTTTTACGGCACCATTAGTTGTTTTTTTATGATCCGCAGAGTCCGATCCATTGCTGACTTCAGACCGGGAGGACCCTTTGTCCGGCCCGGTTCTTTTTCCCCAGGGGAGGGACGTACAGAAAAACTCCCTCAAACCTTTTGGCTGTTACTTTGGACAGTAGATAAAGTGAATAAAGATGTTTAGGTGGTAGCTTCGATTTTAAGGTGATTTATATAGAAAAAACAGGAAAAGGACACAGTAACGCAAAGGCCCGGTCTCTCAGGTGCATAGCATTCAAAAAGTAACCTGAGCATCTGCTGACATATTTTTATTTAGCTGTGAATCAGCACATGGGAGTGTGTAACAAATACTATCTTACGTGAACAACAGTGCAAGAATGCAAGAGAAAAACACGAGTGTTGCTGTAACTAGTCTGATTGTGTAAAGAACGAACACTCCAGCATACTTTTGTATGGACTGATCCAAAATGTGAACGTGGCCTAAGTCATGTCTCAGAGTACAAATACATCATCAGACACTTCCAACACAGTTTTTTTAAACTGAAGTTTATACATGCCTCCTTACCATTTAACTAACACGTCATCCAACTAGGATGACTAAATGTTTCAGGACAGATAATAGTGGGTCGGTTTAGCTCCAGAGAGCAGGGGCTGTCTTAGTGGGTGTGTCAGGTCGCTGCAGTTTATCTTCACTCTGCAGGTGCTCAAGAGCTGTCTTCACAGACATAGCTTCAAACCATTCTTCAGATTATTAACTCTTTATTTATCTCTGTGTTAAAAATATTCAAGCAAACAGAAGCAGGGAGAAAACAAGACATCTGATTCAATATTACAATTATTTTACCTGCTCATGAAATAAGAACATTTTATTCTATTATTCAGACAAACTTATTGTGTTCATTTTAGTGACCATTATCTTTGTGTAATTTTATTTTTCAAAAACTGGTCAGCTGATAAAGCAATTCTTAGCATTTGTGGCTTTTTCTTGAGGCTGGACGATTTTTCTTGTGTTTTTTTCTCTCAAACTTCCATTAAAACATCAGTTCGTCAGTTTTCTACTTTAATCATTTTTGTTATTGTTGATTGTGTTATAAGTGTCTAAAACAAGCATAAGAAGGCATACATCTGCTAATATTGAGTCAACAAACAAAGAACGGCTGTTTTTTTAGCCAAAATAGTTACATTTCCTCGAAATACAGAGAATTTTACAACTACGATCACTACTACTGTATTAATAAAAATCACTTATTAAAACAGGAAACTCACCTGTTGACCTGCACTGAGGACGAACTTCAGAACGGCAAATGGACAGAAGGCAAGGAAACGTCAGCTCTTGATTGTCAGCTGATGAAGTATATCAAGCAATCATCTGAGCTCCCACCCCTCTGAGGTGACGTGTGGACCCAAACCTGAAGGGGCCATGGGGGGGTGTTTATGGGAGGTGCAGAAAGGCTGAGTTTGGTTAGAGACTCCCTACATCAGGGTCATGTGATTCAGAGTTAGAATGGTGATGCAACGATGCTGGAAGCTTCCATGTGAGCACCAAAAGGGAAATTTTAAATCATACTTGTTCTGATTGTGATTTAATGAAACATTTACAGTAAAATTGGCATTAAAAAGCAAGATAATGACGGGCCTTAAGAAGGGACTTAAAACAAGCTAGACATGGAGCCTGCCTCACATGCAGAGGAAGCTCATTCCAAAGTTTGGGGGCGGCGTAAGAAAATGGTTGCTCCCCACATGATATCTAATGCACTCCGTCACAGGGTCATTTATCATTTATCATATGGACTGATACTGGACAGATGGGCCTGGACGTGACAAAAATGAAAACCTTGAATTTGACATAAAAGAGCACAGGTAGCCATTGCAAATCAGCCAGTAGGAGTCATGTGATTGCATTTGAATGTATTTGTAAGACACCGAGCTGCAGCATTCTGAATATTTTGGAGGCAGGTGTCCATTTGTGTATCTTCAAATTATATAATTAGTAACTGAGAAGCAAGTCAGTGACTAGGTGACCCTCTGTTTCCCCCCCCCCCCCCCCCCCCCCAGAGTAGTTGAACATATCCTTTTCACCTCTGACCCTTTTTCATGTGTGTTTTTTGGTGGGGTGCAAGCAATATTTTAAATGCACTTAAAAAAACGTTATAGGAAAATTGGGTTTGGTGGTGGTGGTGTTGGGGGGGGGGGGGGGGGGGGGGGTCGGCATACCCCTCCGATAGCGGTTGCGTCCCTGAGAATGAAAATAAGAACGCCTAAATGATACATTAACAGACTTGGTACTTCATGAAGATCATAAACTAATATTTCTATCGTTCTACGTCTAAATTTTGTACATTTTAACAGAGAAAACACGATCGGGTCGCTAAAAAGGGATCAGTTTTCAACGTGGAACGCATCTCGACGTAACATCCGTTTGCCAGTCAGCAGCAGATGGAGCATTGATGTGCATCGGTGTCGTGAGGAAGAAGACCCCCCTCCTCATTTCTGCATCCACCGACGTGCAGACAGAGGGCAGCAGCAGCAGGGTTCTGACCACGCAGGACAACCAGCAGCATCATCTCCATCATCCACCATCCTCGCCCAAAAGGACAACCTCTCCAGGAGCGCAGAGGCACGGACGCTCGTTTCTAAAACAGTAAAAAAGCCACAACCTCTTCATCTGAAGCAGCAAGATGCTGGCCTGCACGGAGCTGATCACCATGTGTCTCCAGTCCGCCAAACACGAACACCTGAGAAAGCAGCAGCAGCAGCTTAACCACAACCAGAACCAAGGCATCGCTCTCTTCAAGGATGTAAGTACTCACACATATTTGAGCTGAATTCTCTAGAACATGCTCTGCCTGTGTCCGTCTATTCGGGGTGTCTTTATTCCCCATCCCTCTCGTTACGAGTGTTAAAAACACAACCCCTTCACGTTTTTGGTACAACAGCTTAATTTAAAGAAGGCGAGTGCACAAAAACACCAAGAAAAAAACTGAACAATCACAAATTTTTATCTAAAAGTGTTATTTATTTATTAGGCAGACGCTTTTATCCAAAGCAACTTACAATTTATTACCTATAAAAGTGAGTTAAATGAAGTGATTTTCAAAAGAAACAAACAAAAAAGGCAAATCATGCCTTTAAAAAACACAATATGATTTATTTAAATGCTCTTCTTCTTCAAGGCGCTCTAATAGAGCAGCTTTCTTTATGCAGAAACATTTTTAATTATTCATTCGAAATGGTATACGGCTGAGCTTGATTTCCTTGAAGGGTTATTACTGAGAACATCACATTCCTGCAGGATCTAAAATCAGTGCTTTGTGGCTGTTGGTGTGTTATTAGTTGAAGCTGCAGCATCATTTCACATCTTTGCTTACAGCTGGCAGCAAGTTTAGTTCGTTTTTCTCACCAAAAGGGAAATCAGGCTGCACCAGGCATTTTGTCTAAATGCACTTAGCATCCATTTCACCTATCAAAATGTACAACCTCCACCGTGCAATTTTTCTTCTCACTACTTCATGTCAAGTGGCTGCTGGAGGGCGTTATTTCCCTTTAGTTTAGCAGACGCATAAACTGAATAGTCTCACTGAAAGAAACCCTATCTGACTTTGTTGTCGTGATTACATACCCACTCCAAAAATAATGCCATTGAGCTGCACTGAACACATCTCCAATAAGGAATCTTGCAGACACACTCACTTGTGTTTGTCGTCCTTCACAGGAAACTGAGACTAATTTCTGCTTTTTACTTCCTGCTGCAGAGTGATTGGATCTATTGGATGCTTCCCCCCCCCCCCCTGCTCTCTGTTTAATTACGCCCATTGACCAACTCATAATGGTGCAAATCAAATACTTGAAAAAAGATCCATTTAACATTTTAATGGGATTATAATTGTCCTGTGTGATTAATTAACAGATCATATATTCTGAATTATGTATAAAAAAATTAAAACCCAACCACACTTAGCTTTATTGTCCTTTGCTTCCTACGACCAACGACCAACTACAATAACAACTGGTAAATGTTCATCCCAGCTTACTTTCCAGGCTGTTTTCAAACTTCCGACTGGCTTTCTGAGAAAATGGTCTCGGAGCTTGTGAGAGTAATGGTGCTTCCTGCCTTTATCCAAATGCCATCATGCCAGCTTGTCAGCTCCCACATGGCTAAAAGTAGCACCGGCTCCTCTGCAAGGTTTAGTCTAAGACAGTCACAGTGACAGGTTCTCCCTGCATGGTTTTAGAGGCTGTAATTGTCATCAGTAAATGTGGAGACAAGTTCAAATGAAGGACGATGCAATCAGCGTCTGACTTCAGTAAAAGGATGTTCTCTCAGTTTGCAACTTTGGGAATAAAGATGAGGCAGAAAATAAACAAAAGAAAAAAATTAATATATCTTCATTATGTTTATGTGGTTTTTGACCCCAATTTTGAACATTTTCACACCACTCTCACATGAAAATTTAATCATGATCGAAAATGAGATTTTTGATAATTATAGAGACAGATTCAGGAATTAGATGAACTGTTTAAAAACAGAAGTCATTTCAGGTTTATAATTTAGCTTTTATTTCATAGGTGTAAAGGGCAGTGGCGCCCCCAGAATAATTTTCACAGGGGGGCCAGTGAAAATTTTGGGATGGCACCAAATTGGTCCATGTGATAACTTTGGGAATATTTATCTTGTAGCCGCACACTGCATTGCTCCATCGTTCTTTTTCAATAGAATTATGCAGCAAATACATTTACCTCGGATGTGTGAAACGCAAATATTTCAGAAGAAAGACAAATTTTTAGTTGTTTCAAATTCTGTTATTTTAGAATTCTAAAACAGTTTCATTTGCCTGTTGCTGTTTCAACAACGTCCAAAAAAACTATTGAGATTTATGCTTTTCTTTCCCAATGGTGAGCCTAAGTGACATTGTTACGGCCGCCGCCGTTTTGAAGCCCAGTGGTGTGCTGCGCACCGTTCCCTGTGCAGCAGCGCAGCACCACGGACAGCTACGCCGTCCGTGGCGTATATATATATATATATATATATATATATGCTGAGTGAATGATTTGTGTGAACCTGAATATGAAGGAGGCTGGTATCTATGAGGCCAGAACAGTCTCAATAAGAATTAAGTCACACAACGTTTTCCACAAATGCACACGTTCATTCGGAAATCCACATTCTGTGTTTCACAAATAGAATTCGGAGGAACACAAATGCACACGCTCATTCGGAAATTCACACTCTTTGACTCATAAATATAATGTGAAAAAATAAGTCACGCAACATTTTCCACAAATGCGCACGCTAATTCTGAAGTTCACACTCTGTGGTTCACAAATATAATTTGTAAGAACACTTGTAATATAAACTCAGATCATGCGAATTGCTGAATGTGCATTTACGAACAGCTTCTCATTTGTGAACCTTTCTGCGTTTGTGAGTGAAATCTGTGTGGTGCATTCACGGACAGCTTCTCATTTGTGAACCTTCCTGCATTCGTGAGAGAAATCGGTGTGCTGAATTTTGAGACTCTCCTAACGTCGCAGGTATACAAACGTCCCCATTGGCTAATGAACCTGTCAATCAAATATATGCTTCTGCCAGGGCTGTTCGCTTTCAGCCAATCATATGGCTCCTTATGTCACAGAACAGATCTGCTGTGCGCATGCGCATTGCAGTTCACACGGCAGAGCAGGATGGACCGGTCACGATCTGTGAGTAATAGTTTTATCTTATTCCCTCGTTGTAATTTATGCAATGTTATAGAATTATGAGTAGAAGCGTTCTTCATGATCAAGTAAAATGTTTTATGTTAAATTCAGTCCAGACGTTACGTGAAGTCTGGTCCATTCTTCATCTAGTTTAACATCAAGCTAAACTCAAGTGAACATTTGTTTAGTTAGCGTATCTAGGTACCATTTTTTAGGCCACGGTTGTCAAACTCAAGGCCTTGGTCTATTTTTATTTGCCCCGCGAAATCAAATATCAAATATATAATATTAAACTGGCCCGCCGGGCGATTTTGCTAATAAGACTACTAATCCCACAGTGCTTTGCGGCGTTAGCGCGCGAGACGAAGCAAGCCCTCTTTTATGTTTACATCATTAGCATCCATGCTAGTCGAATCAGCGTGTGCAGCGTTACCCTCAGTCTTAAACAACTGAAGATACTCCTCTAAGCACCCAGTTTACTCAGCGAGTTTCCGACTTTGAACGCCTAGAAAGAAGGTATCTGGCTGGAACAGGTGACCATCAGAGTGGAGCGAACTGAGCTTGAAATATTTGTCATGCACTTTTTCTGCTCCAAAGCATGAACGTTAATAACTGAGATATTTTCATAGAAGATAATTGCTATTTTTGGTTTTCACAGATCTTAACTTATTTAATTATCTAACATGTTATTGTATGGCTGTTGTACCTTTCATTTGGTAATTGATTGTTTTGACCCCTATAAAAATGTGTCATATGAGAGTGTTTGTGCTTGAATTACATAGATCATGTACCTGAAGGTAGCTGACAACAACCGGGCAGACACCCACCTTGCCTTCTTCAGTGAAGCTGTGAATGAGCATGGCTTTCCTCTGAGGTATTCATGTTATTCCCAACTTTACCCTCTGTTACCCTGTTACAAATCTGCTTTTGCCTAAAGTGTGTTATTGACCAAAGATAACATGCCATTTGAGGTCATATAGTAAAATCTATGGGGGTGGGGGGTGGGGGGTGAACATTTCCCTCTTTCAAAAAATATTTCCCCAGCAGAGGGTTAATAATGCCACATTGTTTACTCACTTAGTAGCAAGGTACATAAGGAAATTTCTGTGAGACTCAAATTGATGTAGATTGTTATAGATGTGCATTAAAAATGTTTGAAGCAAGATTCTAATGTTTTTTTTTTCATGGTGAGAGGAGATCATGGCGGAGAAAATGTAGGTGTTGCATAATTAATGTTCTCAGTTCGTGGAACTGACACCAACAGCTTCATTGCAGGAAAAAGTGTACACAATCAACGGTGAGTTTAACCTAATTTGGAAGCTTTGCGTCTGTGCGCGCGTGCCTGTGCCTGTTGATGACCTGCCCAGGGTGCACCCTTCGTCTCACACTGTGACTGCTAGAGATAGGCACCAGTCCTCCTGCGACCATTCAAAAGATAACTCAAGTTGAAAACGGATGTATGGACATGTAAATGTGTGTGTGTATATTATAATTTTCTTTTATTTAATCCCCCTCCAAATCCAGGATCGAGCGCCTGTGGCGTGATGTCTTCATGAGTGTTACTGGTCTATATTACAACATCCTGCACTCTCTGGAAGACCAAGACTTGCTCGACATCAGTAACATCCTTCACATGTTTTGTTGCCACTATATTTTCTTGTCTCGCATCCAGGCCAGCCTGGATGTCTTTAGAGATGCGTGGGACAACCATCCAATCAGGACAGAGGAAAACATGACACCAAATCAGCTGTGGCATCTGGGCCAGGCTCTGAATCCTGTTTCTGATCCAGGGGCAAATGTATGTTCTGTTAAAATGACTGATCACATGTCAAGTTGATCCTTAACTAAAAATCAAATGTTCAACACTTTGATAATCTACCTCTGCTCTATGCTTCTTGGATTCAAGACAAAATGGCTGTTGAAATTACAGTTCTGTTTGTGTGCACCTCTACTGAAATGGACACTCAACTATAATGTCATGACATTACAAAGTCATGACACATCTGCAAGTTCAAAATGCAAGGCATTAGACCTTCCAGATGTGATATTCTCACTGCTGTTTTAACATAAAAGTAGCCCATTAATTAAAAAAATAATAATTTATGAAATAATGGAGATGCTAGGTTCTGCCTGAAATCATTGATGTTAAGTAATTGTTAAAAGGTCATGATAGGGCTTTATTAAATGTGTTTTCTTGAGATTCATTATGCACAATGCTCATACACACTTTCCTTTTCCAGGGTATACCGACACCAGAGATTGAATGGGAGGAGAATGGATACATGACTGAACTTCATCCTGGGATCAGTGTCCCTGTACTGGACAGTCCTCTTACAGATCATGAAATTTTGGAACTGCAGGACAACATTAATCCGTTGAAACATTCAGACTCTTTTGGGAGTGGACATATATCTTCACACTGTCCAGTATGTTGAGAACTTACTTGAGGCTAGATGATTACATGTGTGAAGAAGGAAGGAGAGAGAAGGTAGGGAGTTAGGAAGAAAGAAAATAAAGAGACAGGAAGGAAGAAAGTTAAAAGTGAAGGAGTGGTCCATTTTAAGGTTAATGTACTGTATATTGTTATTCAAGGGATTTGCCGTTGTAAATATGAAATGCTAAAGGATAGACCCCAAAATAGATTTCTAAATTCATTTATAGTTGTGTATTTCCTTAAAGTCTTTGTCAGCCTGATTTATTTTAGACCAGGAATGTATTTGAAAAGGCTGCTGTTCACTTCATCTATGCTACAATTCTTCAAAATGTAAATGTGCTATCATTGCTAGAGTTGGTTTAGTAACATGCATCTTCCTGTGTATCCAGCTCTAATAAAAACATTTAAAGGTGAAGCACCTACTTATCAGGAGATCCATTTATTTTTACATGTTATTGTTTGAATTTTGTCTCGTTTCATAACTTTTGCTCAACATTTAAGGGGAACTGTGTTACCCTGCGATCATCTTCATTACACTTGAAAACTTGTACTATACCTCCGTCCATCTACTTATTAAATGGAATAACATGACAAGATTCTATCTACTGGTTTTTTGATCAAGGGATGATTAGGTGTTGTGAGAAGATTCTCTATGCTTCTGAGTCTGTGTTAAGTTGCAACTGGACACACATACCCACACACAGTTTGTTCATTTGTTCTCAGAATGAGAATAATGTCTTTTACAATTAAAAAGTTTTTTTTCTTGATGTCACTGAAGGCTGTGTTAGAAATATATGCAGCTCATTAAAAGGAAAAGTAACTGATGTAACCAAAAGCCTGAACACAGGAGAATAGAGACACCTGCCAAGATAAAGAGCTGGAGCTTTTGCTCCTTTTCAGAGTCACTCCCATGGAATAGGCCTGATGATTTACTAGCTTCTCTTACCTTCTCTGCAGACAATGTTTAATATGAGCTTCAAGAGGTCTCTGCCCCTAACGGGTTTGCTTTCACTTAGTAAAAATGCATAATTTTTCTGAATAAGATTATTAAGAGGCCACCCATATGGTGGAGCGTTGGTAATGTAATGTAACCGGTTAGATTTGTGTCCGACTTGACGCCGACTTGCTCTGACGTCATGCATACGTAGGCAACGATAACCACTTGAGATCAAGGCGGCCGCAGATTTTGGAGCAAGGCGCTGCAGTTGTTCTCCCTTGGCTGCAAAACCTTGGGCATGATGGGAAACGCCTGGCTCTCACCTGATCTAAGATCTGATTGGTTCATATTTTGATCCAAACATCCGGTGGTAGAACATGAAATGTTAGTTGGTCACATGTATTCTGTAAATCATGTAACGTTAATGATGACAACTATATAGGCCATAAAGAGAAATGTGGTTTGTGTTCTTTTGTCATGTTTCCTATGAGCACACTGAAGCTACAGCTGCTAACCTTTACTTATTATTACAGTCATGTTTTCATATTCGATATTTGATATCCACAAGCACGTGATGATGTGTTTCAGCTGCTAACAGGCACCAGAATTAAAATTGAAAATTAAACAAGTATGAACGCTAACGCGATATCTTCATCCATCGTCACCCCCGAGCTACACATGCAGGAAATTGTGTCCGACTTATGCGCACAGCAGATCTGTTCTGTAACATAAGGAGCCAGTGGCTGAAAGCGAACAGCCCTGGCAGAAGCATATATTTGATTGACAGGTTCATTAGCCAATGGTGACGTTTGTTGACCTGCGACGTTAGGAGAGTCTCAAAATTCAGCACACCGATTTCTCTCACGAATGCAGGAAGGTTCACAAATGAGAAGCTGTCCGTGAATGCACCACACAGATTTCACTCACAAACGCAGAAAGGTTCACAAATGAGAAGCTGTTCGTAAATGCACGTTCAGCAATTCGTATGATCTGAGTTTATATTACAAGTGTTCTTACAAATTATATTTGTGAACCACAGAGTGTGAACTTCAGAATTAGCGTGTGCATTTGTGGAAAATGTTGCGTGACTTATTTTTTCACATTATATTTATGAGTCAAAGAGTGTGAATTTCCGAATGAGCGTGTGCATTTGTGTTCCTCCGAATTATATTTGTGAAACACAGAATGTGGATTTCCGAATGAACGTGTGCATTTGTGGAAAACGTTGTGTGACTTAATTCTTATTGAGACTGTTCTGGCCTCATAGGTATCTTTCTGGGGGGCCAATGGGGTGGCCATGGCTCCTGCCGGCCTCCCCTTGGGTGCACCACTGGTAAAGGACTAAATCAATCAATAATTGTTATTTTATTATAAACAAACTCTTAAAACTCTCACAAAATTATAACTAAACCAAAAAACCATTATTCTTTATGCAATATTTGTAATGTCAACTTTTTTTTGTTCTATGAGTTTTTATTTCTTGCACATTGTGATTTGTTTTTGTGACAATTTGTTGCCACGCTACTTTTCAGACTCGAGCTTACGGTGCCGTTTGGACACATTGTTTTATGATCCTTTTTTCTTTTTATTTTTAAGGAATTGTTTGTTTTTTAATAGTTTAAGATCTGAAGCAGAGATGCTGTTCAAAATAAAAGTGAGCAGAACACGTTTGAGTTTTTGAAGTGGGACATGTTTCACAACACTTTGATATAAACAACAAACCATTTACTCATCGCTTGTGAAGGATGGAGCTACCAGCTAAAGCTCAAAATAATACATGAAGAACACTTTGATGTCACCACTCACACACTCATTTTTTTTAATTTTTTGCGTCTTGAGATACGAGGAGTTATTTTCCGGCCAAATGTGTTCACAGCTAAGATTCATGCCACTTCCTGCTTGTGCAGGTTAACACCAGAAGTTGGGAGCTAAATCTGAAAGCAGTGGGAATGCTTTCGGTGCCTGGGGTGACAAGAAAACATGAAAGTTATCAGCTTCTCTTGGGTGCATGTAAATGTCAGCGTTTCATTTCCTCAGACGTCTCCGTGGTGATCCAGATGAGGAATGTTCCCCTTCCTCTATGAGTCTAAACATTGTGCATGTTCTTATAATTTCTTGTAATTGTCATTTTTGAAAGTCCTCCAAAACCCAAACATCTAAATATGATTCTTTTCTTTTTATTGCAGATTTTTCGCCGGGCAGATAAAAATGGTGAGTATGCAAAAACATGGATAAAATGTCGTAAACGGCTTTATTCCAAAATGAAGTCATTTATCGACTCAGGGGAGATTTTTATGACCTTGGTGGACTCAGTCTTTCCCTGTTGTTGCCTTTCTCGGGAGATACGAAGCGTATAAATAACCAAGGTCAGGTGCGGCTTCATCGTTTTTGGCTTAGTGATGTGACTGGATTTGACAGGATGAACCCCTACGGTTCACCCTGCAGTCATTGCTCACTGTGGCACACTGCCAGCGGCAAGGCACTGCTCGTTACAGCGATAGGCAGGTGAAAGGCTGTACAGGTGTAGCACTCAGCCCAGTGGACTGATAGCATGACAGCACATTCACCACTATAATTGACACACAATAGCAACAGTCTCTGGTGTATTTTTAGTTAGAAACCCTTAAAACATCACTCTAGTCAAATACTTCTACTCACATCCTTAAATATTCACCTCGCAGGAACTTTTAAACACCTCCCACAGTGATACAAATTCTTTATCCTTCATTCATGCACTGCGTCCACAAGTGACTGGGTGAAAAAATGCAAAAAGGGTACTTGATTAATGCTTGTAGAGCATCTATGAACGGTGAGCAGTTTTCTCTGGAGAAGGTGTTGCATAAGAGCGAGATTAATGATTCAACATGTGCTGCGATGAGCTGAGGTCGTCTGGGGCACCTCTTTAACTGAAGGTGAGGATGCTCTAGTTTCCGAATAATAAATAAAAAACAACTATGAATCTTTCTTTTCCACTAGGGCTAAAATGAAAAAAGAAAGAAAAACGGTTGAAGATAAAATGAGAGGCTGGTTCTGAACCGTTTTGGTGTCAGCAAACCAGACCCATTTCAAGAGGAAAACCACTTTCTGGGTCATTTCAGGAACCAAACGAGCACTTGCTTGGAGTATGTACTCTGAAAGGGCCTGGCAGAGTCTACTTGGGGGCAAATTCATTCATAAACTGGTAGGAAATGGAATCAGTAGATGTCGTCAAACAACCGGCATGTAAAATCGGAGGAGTTGCTGGTGAAGCAGATGGAAGGAAAAACAAAACCGCATCCTTAAAATCGCCATTTCTAAACTGTCAACACCAAAGGATGCGTTGTCGGTACCAGATCTGCTCGGGCAGCCAGATCTGCTCGGGGTCCTGCATCTGCAAATTACGGGGGCTGAACGTAAGACTTACAGAAGTTACGATACCACGTTTGTAAAAGTTACGTTAGCATGTTGACAATGATGATTTTGATAGGTCAAGATGAATTTACAGTTGTAGTCTTAGCGGTTGAAGTCCTGTAGTCCAAAAATCAACACTTTTTGAGAAAATATGTTGGAATTTCCAAAGGAAATGTAAAATAAAAGCAAAGATATCAACTGATAAACGGTGACCCTCAAAAGCTCCTGATTTTGATGTAATGGGGCAAAATAAAATATAAAAACTTTATTGATAAGACACCAAGCAACATTTTGAAAGAATGAATGAATGCATTTACATAACAACTAAGGAAACATACAGACGCATTCCACATTAATATGAACAGACATGGCTTCACATATAAGAACTGTTGTCTTTTTTGGCAGTCTGATGTTGGTTTTATGCAGTTTCACATTCTTTACAAAACAAAGATAATATGGTGTTTTATTAACAAATTACAGTTATAAAGAAAATACTTAGGTGGTAACAAACAAGAACTAATTAACAAAATCTGAGTGAATTTGCCAGAATGTGACATCATCAGCAGGCGCAGGACCCCGAGCCAATCTGGCAGCTTGAGCAGATCTGGTACCGACACCGGCAGAAATCCTTCCACAATGCTGTTTGTTACGCCGCTTTGTTGACGCCTACAGACTGTCATGAAAAGCAACATTTCCTCTGGTCATTGAATGCCACTTTTTATGTTAAACAGTAGGGCTGTCGCGGTTGAGGAATTCCCCCTGCGGTGATTCAGGGTGGCTTAATATTGCGGTGTGCGATATTATTGCAGCCCTTTTTTTATTGCAGTACTATCTAAACATAATGTTTACACATTTAAAAAAGGTTAAAAATTGCCTTGCCTTCTTTTATAACACTTTACTGAATGCAGATCAAAGGGCAGTAACAACACAGATCGCAGTAACGTTTGTTTCTCCGACATTCGGAGTCCGACTGAACTTAAAAACAAAAACATTCAGGAGAAGGTTAAACTTTTAAATGCAAATTTGGCTGCAGCATCTAACAAATAACAAACAAGTCCCCATTTTGTTTAGTTGTTTAAAATCGAGCATAAAAAATTACATGTACCGGGCGCGCATTTCACTTTCACACACACGAATGACGGTGATTTATAGCTCGGTCACGTCCTTGTTGCCCACAAGGAAAACCAGCATGTTAACCATGTACGGTTTGAGAGAGGATCTGAGAGGGGTGGCAACATTTCCAGCAACACTGAAAACCCTCTCGGATGGTGCGCTCGTTGCACTAACGCACACGTACTTGCGTGCGACTCTGGCGAGCAAAGGGAATCTCTCCCGGTTGTTGCTCCACCATGTCAGGGGGGTTTCTTAGGGTGGATGCATTCCTCCTGCAGGTAGCGAGTGAGCTCCAGCTCGGCTCAAACTCTCTTCAGGACGGTTGCAGAAGCAGCGCTTGTCCGGGACTTCAGCAGGTCTACGAGCGTTTTTTTTTTTTTTTTTTTGCTGCTGGTGGCAGCTCTGTCTCGGCCAAGGACTCTGGCTGCGCAGCAGCTGACGTACTGAAAACCAAAGTGCTCCCAAAGGAGCGAAGTAACGTTTCGTTTTGATACCAGTGCAGCCATCCTTCTCAACATGCATCATTGAGTTGAACCAAGTTCAGTAATCGCGGTGGCCCATGATGCAGCGCGGTGGGTTTCTTCATATTGCGATATTTCATTTTTGCGGTTACCGCGACAGCCCTATTAAACAGCTGCTGTCTTAATGCGTCCACTGAACAGCGTAAAATATGGCGTACCTTCAACTGAATAAAATGTTTCATGATTTCTGCCCGTTTACATCTGTGGACGCTTTGGTGCTATGTTGACCAAAGTCTTTAAAGACCAAGTTAACCGAGAAACTGTTTTTACTTGTTATGTTTTAAATATGATCAGTCACTCAGAGTTTAACATGCAGGCAAATGCAGGAAATAATCTTCTACGCATATTTTCTGCATTAGTCGCCAATAGAAAATTGGCGGGGAAACTCACGGACTAGAAAAGTCAGACAGATGTGTGTCACACTAAAAACTAGCACTCAGAGTCGTCCATCTTGACTTGTAACGAGGAAGGCTGCTGTTGATTTAGCATCCAGGAGAGAGCAGATCGCGTCTTGGCTAGTAGAAGCTACCTGTTAGCATTAGCAACTCCACCGCACAGCAGAACCCCTCCAGGGTTGTGTTATTTGTGGAGATAAAACATCAACGTTGAAGAACAAGCAGAGTCAGTGGTAGAGTCATGTTGCTGTTAACCAATCATAGATGAGATTTCCAAATATCAGGAAACTGCAAAACCTGCTGTCTTCAGCTCTTCTTTGCTCTGGCTAACCTTTAGTTCCTGAAAACAGGAGCGCCAGAGCTTGTGTTCCACAAAGATCGACCCACAAGGCATTCTTTTATGGAGATCACTGCAGATGTGTTGAAATGAATGAACTTTAAAGGCCTTTAAAGGGACAATGGCTGAGAGGACCCAGCCAACGTATTTCATCTTCTCCTCCTCCCAGAAACGTCCCAGAACTGGTCTAGTGAGGTCAGCTATTGACTCAATCTCAGTGATTAGAGAATGTTTGTGAAGCCTCTTTCAACCCTCCCTTCAGTTCTTACGCCAAGCTTTTGTGTTCCTCCTGGTAGAATAAGGAAGAATCAGGCATAAAGAATTAAAGGACAGCAGCTCGGCACGTTCGTGTTTGTTATCTTCGGTTTGCAGCAGGGTCATTCGGCCAGAAACCGCCTTCTTTCAAGCTACAGTGGCGGCTAGAAAAGCGCCATGCATTTGTGCTGTAATGGTAAATAAACTCCTCTAAGCCACAGTCATTGGATTTTTAAAAACAAAAATGATCTTTAGGCGTGCATGGGTAGATAATTTCATCCAATGCATTGTTGTTCTGATCTTGCTGCTCTGAGAGACTATGGTAAAATCTCCTCAGTGTGTCGTCAGACTAAAACAATGTCAGACTTTGAAGTAAAAGCAGGACAAGAGAAGTAAAAGATGCCACAGAAATAGACTTTTACACTAAAAAAGACTAAACCGCAACACTAAAGCAGTTATATAAATTTATGCTTAAGTTAAGTTGCAGTCCATTAGGTTTCACGCAGCAGAGGACGTGCTGCAGCTCCAGACGGGGCATCGACGCAGCTGCAGAAATTCAGTTTTCAAGTGTCCAAAAATGTTTCAGTTTACATTTTCAGACATGAGATAATAATTAACCTGCAGATTATTATTAGGATTTGTTAAAAACAAATCAAAGTATATTCATCATTTTGCAGCTCAGCTTTTTTTTTCTGTTCACGTGATTAAAAACAAGCTAATATTGTCACACCCTGTCCTGTCTCCCCTTTTGGTTCAGTCCTGTGTCCATGTTAATTTCTCCCACCTGCCTCTCGTTTTCCCATCACCCAAGCTCCCAGCCCTCTTGTATTTAAACCCCTTCAGGTCTGTGTCTCTTGTTGGATCATTGTTTCTATGTGGGCGTGTTCCCTATTAAAACCTTTAATCGTTCCTGTGTGCCTGCTTACCTGCTTCCCTCACCCGCATATGGATCCTTGCCTCCGCTTCATTCACCGGCACGCGCTGACAAATATTTACCGATAATTATTCCAACACCAAAAAATTAGGGAAAAATGTAGTAGAATTGATTTAATGCAGAAAGTCTAAGAATCAAAATAGTTTTTGTTTTTTAAATTAGTTATAAATGCAAAATCAGATTTCTATAACATATTTTTTGGTCCAAAATAATTTATTACTAAGTAAAAAATACATTTATTACTAAGTAAAAAATACATTTATTACTAAGTAAAAAATACATTTATTTAAACACCAATGCGGGATAATAGTGTATCTCTCATTGTACTGCTAATTCTTCTATTATAATTGTGTATGTGAACATTTATGCAGTTGTTGTTTTTATTATTATTTATTTAACCATAAAAGAATTTTGATTTGACCCATGCATAATTAGGAGTCTTTAATTATATTAAGACATACAAATTTATGTTAGAAAATTAGCTAATTAAAATAGCTGATGAATTTATTTACATTACCTGATTACGTTTATTGCAGTCGTAAATCACCCCGTTTCTGTAGTTTGTTCTTAAATTACACACATGTGCTTCATGATTTACAAACTCCCCCCAGATTCCAGCCTTAAGGTTGTTTTTCCTTGGAAAAGCATCAGTAAAAGAGCCTTTTCTGTTCAGGCCTCAGTTTGAGCTGCAATATTATTCAAGTTTATTGTGCTTGCTTTTGTAAATTTCCCTAAAGAGGTGATGTTTGGTTGTCTCTAAATCCGGGGATTGACTTTAGTTAAATCAGCACATTTTTCTTAATTAAACCTCTCAGCCTGAAAGCTGAATATTAACTAGATTAAACAGCTCTTTTCTGCACATTGTGACAAACTCTGGAAGATTAAAGCATTTGAAAGTGTGAATATAAACTACGTTGTCTACAGAATTTCAACTCCAATCGCAAGGAGGAGCTTTTGATTGCACTAAATGTGCATTACTGGAAGTAAATGTTTGTTTTGGCTTTGCTTTTACTTCTAACACTTTTTAATTTTACATTTTTATTAAACTTGACAGGAAATCAGTGAACCTTTGAAAGTCAAAAGCATAAGTTTGCAAATTTAGCCCAATCTACTTAATCTGATGGAAAATAAACAGCTCTGGTTTAATCCAGACAATCATTCAGTCATTTCCTGCTTCATAAACATCTTCTGACTGAACACAACTTCAGCCCACCATAGAAGATGAAGCCTCCACTGTTATATTTTTGCAGCAAATCAACAGCGAAAGAAGCCAAATTTAAAGTAGATTCTGCTATTTCTCTCCTTCTCATGATGCCGACTGCAGATGCTGCTGTTTGCCTTTTGCAGTGACATAATTCAGATAATCCTGCAGCTCAAAGTTTCTCCTGCTTCTAAGAAACAGCGAACTCTTGCGTAACACGAGTATTTAATCAGGTGTGAATCGAAGCTGAAGCGGCACTGATGGAATCAGACGATGAGTCAGAAATGCAGCAGCTTGTGTTTACTACATCTTGTGCAACAAGATTTCACAGAGAGGTTTGGGAAAGAAACTAAGATTTTATCTTTAAAACCTTCGTATTTATGTGTGGTTTGACTCGGTCACTGAGTCCAGTCCTGAAACAGCCATTCCCATGAGTCAAAATGTGCCTTACAAGCTACCAGATGATCTGATTAGCAGGGAAAGTGTCTCTGGGTGTCATGGCTGCTGGTGTGAGCTCGTTAAAACGTTCATTTGGCTTGCCAGACTAGCCCCTGCTAATGAGACGTGTTTTTGTGCCTGTGGCACTGCAGAATCCACCACTCAGACTCATAGGACAAAAACAGTTCCAGCTTCGGTGAGGTGTAACTTTTCTCCCGTTTGTCTCCTTTCAGATGACGGGAAGCTGTCCCTGGAGGAGTTCCATTCATACTTCAGCGACGGTGTCCTCACCGATGAGCAGATGCAGGAGCTGTACTACTCCATCGACAGGCAGCAGACAGAGTGAGCTCATCTTCCTTTTAGGCAATCCTCCAGTTCTGCTGCCATCTGCAACACCTCCTGCTGCACAGCAGAAATATTTTAACTCCTCACTTCAGCGAAGAATGTCCACAGAAAACCTTTCTAGTCTAAAAGCTGAGACAAGCAGAACTATTTATTTTTTCAGTTTTGAAACGCAACTTCTCTCAGCTGGTATTTGTCTTTGGCTCCACACAGAGAAAAACTGTTAGACAAACTTAAAATCTGATAGTAAATGTTACTGAGACTGAAACAGATTGAGACAGATGAGTGCATCGTGATGAATACTGATCGGAGCTGCAGCCGTGAGTCTGAAAGGACACTGTGCATGGATATTTTCAAACAGATGGAAAGCTAAATGAGAGCTGGCAGAGACGAAATCAGTGGAACTTTACTGTTTGGCCTCAAAAATTCATTTTATTTACTAAAGAGAATCAAAAATGAAAGATTAAATCCTATTTTTTATTAACTCATCACATATGCTTTAATATTTAGTTATAGTTTCCATTTGCATTTGAAGTTAACTTGATTTCCTTTATTTTTCTGTTCTTTCAATTAATAATAATAATAATAATAATAAATCAAACTTATATAGCATTTGCTTAGGACACTCAAAGACGCTTGCATGCACTCTCACATTCACACACTGCTAGTGATGGTAAGCTACTTTGTAGCCACAGCTGCCCTGGGATGGTCTGAAAGAGGCGAGGCTGCCATTTGGCGCCGTCGGCCCCTCTGACCACCACTAACACAGGCAAGTTGGGTGAAGTGTCTTGCCCAATGACACAACAGCACTGGCGGGAGCTGGAATCAAACCCATGACCCTCCGATCATGAGGCAACCCACTCTACCACCTGAGCCACTGCTTCCCCAATTAGTTTTTGCCATAATAAAGGATTTCTACACGTTTGCTCAAATTAATCGAATCGCAGTTTCCTTGCCTGGATTAGATTGTGTTGCATCCGCGGGGAGGAACGATTTTGCTACAGATGGCAAGTTTCAAGCACATAAGGTTTTTAATTTAGCTCCTACAGTATACCTAGACCTCAAGATGTCACCATATCAGACGTCAGCAGCTCCGGCTGCTCGTCATGCTGCTAAGCAGATCAAATTATCAAGCCAACTTCAATCACTTCACTAAGGGTGTGTGTCCCATGCAGATCCTTCCCTTCACATCTTGTTAGAAGTCTCCTCCACTCTTTATGGTTTGTGAACCTCAGCAGAGCAGAGGGTTTTCACAGTAGAAAACTGTTTTTGAACTTTGCAACGATTCTGTTTCAGTGTCATTTCTCATTTTGTTCTTTTTCTGATCTTCACAGCAACCTGGACATAAACGAGCTGTCAGGTAATGATGTGTCCGTCTCTTTTGGGGTTTTAGTGAAGCTGATAGTCATTATGAAATGAGTAAACTGAAGCCACAACAGAGGAGTGAGTGTGAACAAAAAAAAAGTGTTTATTTAACAGAAATCAGGATTGAGTTAAGGACATGGGAAACCTCTCGAAGTTCAGAGTTCCTCTTGAATGCCACAGTGAAACTCTAGAAAGGCAATGGTCATTCACAAAAACAGAAGTTTAAAATTGCTCCTTGGACGACATTTTTTTTACGACTGGAAACTGTTCTTTGAGCCTCTGTTGATCATAGGAAACTTTGTTGGGGCTAACAATGGCCCAGGAGCCCTGATAAGCCCTGATAATAAACAGCCTCATAATAAAGCCCTACAATGGAAAGACTGGTTTTCCCCATCCACTCAGCCACTTAAATGAGCTGCGTGCTGATTGGCTGCTTTACCCCGATGGCTACTGTTGTGTACTGTTGGTGGTGTACATTATCCACTTAAAACTGCAATGCTAAAATTGGAACACAAATTAGTTTAAAACATTTTTTCGTGCCTTTTAACAACATTCCAACATAGCATAGCTATAAAAACACTGTGGAAACAAAAAAATAAAGAAAAGAACAAAGTGGTTATTTTGCATCTGTCAAAAAATCTCTGCCAATAGCACGTTTTGGACTGAAAGCAACCATTGGGCCATCAAGTTGTCGGCCTCGCCGAACTGCCGCACTTCTGCACTTACCTGCATCCTCCACTGATTACGCACTTGCGTATTTAACAACACAACACCACTGGTGTGAGATGTTCTCGGCTCAAAAAAATCAGAGAAAGGAGAAACAGCCGGCTGCTGCCACTTCAACTTTAGGTCAAACTACCAGAGTCGCAAAAAGAAAAACACATTTTGAAGTCCCGGACAACAAAAGATGTTTGGAGCTAGAAAACCGTGACTGGTGTTTAGCTCTTTCTCGTTCCCTCTTGAAATGCAGACGTCTGGTTCAGGGAAAATATCCGAGGGGAGGCGGGAGTGTTCAGTGACGAGTTTGCGTTTGAAACCTAGCTTGTTCTGTAAATTCGCTATAGCAGTTTTAACACTATAGGCAAGCTATTGAACAATCTGGCATCCATTAAAAGTCTGGAAATTCCCAGTACATCCTGAAGTGTAACGTGTGTACTCTGACATTCCTAGTTTCCCACCTGTCTAACAAGAACATTGGGAGTAGATCAGGCTAGGTGGTTAGCATATGCAAATGTTGTGGTATGTTTGACACTCCAAGTTGCCTGTATTCAACAACAAGAAGGTAAATGAGATAGTCAACTCTTGGACCCTTTAAAATACTTAGCAGGAGGGTGTGCTGAGAGTCAGTGGCCATGGAACATAGCAGGGGTCAGAGTTCAGATACAAGAAGAGCTCTAGGGATCGTTGTAGGCAAAGCAAAGAAGTAATTATTGGTGAGACCTAACCTTATAGGCAATAGGAGCATCGACAGACAAGAGCTTTTGTAGTGCCGTGCACAGGTGGAACTGGGAGACAAATGTTGAAACAGATGTTGATACTGGACAGACAAGACATCTCCTAATCAAGCATTTTTAATCCAACAGAGTACTTCACTCCACATCTGGGAGAATACGTTAATGTTCTGTCTGCACTGGAAAAGCTGAACGTGTCCATTCTGAAGGCCATGGATAAAACTAAGGAGGTGGGTGGCGATGGCGTTCAGGCTAGGGCTGTTAGCTTAGCAGCATTGGTACATTTCCCAACTCCCTCCAGTCATTGTTACATTTATGTGAGAATCTGCTGTAAGATAGCAGGGCTATATTTGTAAAAACTGTGCAGACGCTACGCAGGAAATCCGAAGAATTCATCCCCACCCACGGTACAGAAGGTACAGCCTGCGTGCATCTGCTTCGAGATCAATTTTGCCCTGAAGCAAAATAAATGGACCTGAAAACTCATTTGTTCCTTACCTCTTGTGTCTTGGTGAATAACCTCATTTAATGTTCCGATCAACTTCTATGCTGTTACCATATCAGCTGTGTAGAATAAAAAAAATCTAAATGTCTAATTATCTGTTTTAATGGCTGCTGGTATCTAAAAGATGGTAAAATGAGTAAAATCTTAGTTTATTTTTTCATACATTTGCTTAACTAAGCTTGTATTAGCTTATATAAAGTATAAAGAAGCGTGTCCTTTTTAAGCCCATGATCAATTATTTTAGCTTGCCATATTTTATTTCCAGATAGGTTAATTCAGCTTGTCGTATCTTAATTTAGTAACATAATTTAGGTTGTTTTTGATTGTTTTGGAATGAATTGTCTTGTTTTATCTTTCTCGTCGTTATCATTCATGTTGGCATTAGTAAAGCTGCAGCAAACAGATGAACGACGTGAAAAATCTGAAACCCCTTGCCATTGGGATTACCAGAAAGGCTTCCTACCAAAACACCTGATTAAGGGATTACGCATCTAAAGATTGATCTCAGATGGGACTATGGAAGTCCCATTTGACACAGTTCGATTGGTACACTCAGCCTAGTTCATCACATAGGAGCACAAAGAGACACGCTTGCTACTGCAGCACTGAGCAGCCTTGCAGCACTAAATGTCATGTGAGATTAACAAGATCAGAAAGCATCAACATCTACTCAGAATTTAAATGTTTGCTGCATTCCACCAAAGGTTCTTTCAACACACCATTGCAGAGATTTTAAGCCATTAGATGTTGTGGAGCCAATGGTGTTACTCAGACACACCGTTCTTCTTTAAAATAATAAGATTCCGTCTCTCATAAGATCTCCAGCCTTGAATTGCGTAACAAACGAATGAGTTCTTCATGAAATCCTGACGATGCCCAGTTGATTAGAACAGTAACTATTCAACGGGAGATTGAGGGGATTTACGTGTCTATTCAGGAAGCGTAATCATGCTGGTTACGGTGCACACAAAGGAGATTAGCATCAGAGGAGCTCGCAAAGATGTATTCAATAGCTAAATCTGTACTAATCCTATAAACCAGGTGAACATTTTTAATTATTTGGCAAAAGGTTGGTCAGATGTAGATTGTAATTAGATGTAAAATGAAGATAATCAGTGAACTATTACATAGAAATCCAATGATAGGTTGACGAACCCTTGAGCTGTTCGAATGATCAGCAGGACCGAGGTCACATTTCATAAATCCTGATTCTGTTATCTACCTGGAGGTTATTTTTCTTCTTTTTTCAGTTTTTCTCTGAATTTTCCCACATGGGTTCTCTCTCTCTCTCTCTCTCTCTCTCTTTTTTTTTCTGGCTGTTTTTCTTTCACAGCTTCCAGTTTGGTATTAGTATACCCGCAGCTCATGCATTTTTCATGTTACTGTTTCTTGATCGTAGAGGTTTTTATATATTTTTTGCCCTGAAGCACAACATATTTGTTAGCCTTCTTGAGATCAGTTAGTAAAAAAAATAAAAATAAAAGAGCTCTGGATCCTATAGGAGTACAGCATCAATGTCACATATTAATACGTGGAGGAAAATAATTTTAATGGACGTCAAAAACGCTTTACCATGAAACGAAAACAGTGTAATGATGAAATCCTCAAAATGGAAATTGATTTTATGCATTTATGCTGCTGCTGGATATAAAAAGGACATATCCAGTCTGTTGAGATAGTATAAATAACGGAGATTATTGAAGTAAAATGCATAATGTTATAAGAATCAGTGTCGGTGTTCACTTGACAAATATGTTTATCATTTTTCTGCAAATTTATTTTGCTGCACCATACGATGCTCGAGGACAGTGAAGAGCTTAAAGTAGCTTTTTTATGTAGGAAAAAAGGGCATCCACTAAAAGAACAGACTGGTATTATTTTGGATTACTTGCATTAATAAGTTTATTTCAATCAACAAATTTTTTTAGGCTTGTTTGCTTTCCTTAAAATAAGGGAGTAGCCAACATGTCTCAAAACATTCCCAGCAGTACTCAGTTCTCTCATGTGGGTTGCAGAGCCTTGCTCTTGTGCTTCAGGAATTTTTAACCTGTTCACAAAATTTTGCACAACACATTTCTTCCCTAAATAACTTCAGTTGGGAGTCTCGAACATGTCCCGAACCTTTCTTGAATCCATCCCAATTTAAGTCTTAGTCAAAAAGTGTTTGAAAAGTTGGATAGGTGTGGGATGGGTTGGTGGCCAAATTGTGAAACGGACAAATTGAGACACAATTGACTAATTTGGGACAACAAAACTTGCACGGTAGTTGCAGCTTCTTTGCAACTATTTAGCCCACGTACTTAAGCCATAAATTTGCAAAGATGTCCTACCAATTGCTTTTTGGCTTAAAAAGGCAGATAAACTGTAATAAAGTCATCCTTTAATGTAGCTAAACCATAGTTGATAAATAAATGTTAGTTTTGTATTCATCCATCCATCCGTTTTCATCCGCTTATCCGGAGTCGGGTTGCGGAGGCAGTAGCCTCAAGGTTGGTTTATGCTTGACGCGTCCGCGAGGTCAGCACGGCTCCACGTGGAAAAGTTGCGCCATTTTAACAACCACGCCCCTCCACCGCGCCTCCGCATGGCCCAAAATTTCCGCAACACGCACCTAGGAAATTTTCTAACCATGCGGACGGTCGGACGCGGAAAAACATGGCGGACTGGCAAGAACTAGTATGGCAGAGGTTCGCAAATACAGACATTTGTATGATTCAGCTCTCAGAGATCACCGTGATCAACATGTTGTTAATAATTATTGGAGAGAAATAGCTCGCACTGTCGGAAAAGACGAGGACGCTGTTAAAAAATGCTGGAATGCCATGTTGTAAACAACAGTAATTTTTACTTCTACTACGGTTTAGTGTTGGATGCATGCCGTAGAGCTCCATGCTGCCCCGTTCAGTTTGGGAGAATATTGGCTCACCGCAGAGACAAGCCGCATGAACCATAAATGCTGCGAGTTGTGAAGCGCGTTCCATCCGCAAGCCGGATCACCAAGCGGAAAGTAAATGCGTCAAGCATAAACCAAGCTTAAGTCAAGAGGCCCAGACTTCCCTCTCCCCAGCCACTTGGGGCAGCTCTTCTGGGGGAATCCCAAGGCGTTCCCTGGCCAGGTGAGAGACATAGTCCCTCCAGTGTGTCCTGGGTCTTCCTTTAGGTCTCCTCCCGGTTGGACGTGCCCGGAAAACCTCACCAGTGAGGCATCCAGGAGGCATCCTAACCAGATGGCCGAGCCACCTCAGCTGGCTCCTCTTGATGTGGAGGAGCAGCGGGTCTACTCCGAGTCCCTCCCGGATGACTGAGCTTCTCACCCTATCTCTAAGGGACAGCCCAGCCACCCTGCAGAGAAAACTCATTTTGGCCGCTTGTATCCCCGATCTCATTCTTTCAGTCACCACCCAAAGCTCATGACCATAGGTGAGGGTAGGAACGTGGATCGACCGGTAAATTGAGAGTTTCGCCTTCTGACTCAGCTCTCTCTTCACCACGACAGACCGGTACAACACCCGCATCACTGCAGACGCAGCATCAATCCGCCTATCGATCACACGCTCCATCTTTCCCTCACTCGTGAACAAGACCCAGAGATACTTAAACTCCTCCACTCGGGGCAGGACCTCATCCCTGACCCGGAGAAGGCATTCTACCCTTATCCGCATCAAGACCATGGTCTCAGATTTAGAGGAGCTGATTCTCATCCCAGCTGCTTCACAGTTTTGTATTTATTTCTTGAAAAGATATAATCAGACACACACAAAAAAAATCCTTTAACAATATAGTTAATGTACACTCTTTTTAAAAGCATCCTCATAATTTGCCTAATTGTTTAAAATCTCCCCTTCCTTCCTGACTCCAGGAGTATCAGGGTTCATCTGTGCTGGGTCAGTTCGTGACACGGTTCCTGCTGAGGGAAACCACCACCCAGCTTCAGTCCCTCCAGTCATCTCTAGATTGTGCGATGGAGGCCGTCCACGACCACGGGAGCACAGAAAGGAGGACCCTGAAGGAACCAGAAGACCTGTCGATCCAGAGAGTGACCAAGAGGCCCAGCCGACGCATCCAGAAGAACATGTGTCTATCCCCGACCGACCCCTACTCCGGCATGCTCACCACAGGTGCTCGGTGCATTCACAACATTATGAACAATGCCATTTACGTTACAAGCTTTGGTGATGTCACACTGCAGTGTATTGTTAGATAAACTGTCTGTGTTGTGCTGATGTTTCTGGGGTCAGGGGTCAGCGTGGAGCCGGATAATCACTGGGGCTCCCAGATCAACCAGATGGAGCAGCATGTAGACAAAATGGAGTGTGAGGTTTGTAAACATTCCACCTTAAACTGCAAAATGACTGTTCACAAGCTTCTGACTTGGCAACATAACGTTTTCATGGAAAGAAAATCCAAGTGATCTAAATTAGGATTTCAGCTGAAACTACAATAAGTGACTTCAGTGAGACTTTTAGTGTTCTTAGTCTAACGAAGGCTAGAGAACAAGCTTGGAGGACTCTGATTTCAGATTAATTGTAATAGTTTTGCAGGTTTAACTTGAAAATATGAATCTAAAATAATAAATGAAAACATTCTATGATCCAAGTCAAGACTTTAGTACAGGAGGCTGCAAAGTTAGTGTGAAAAAGAAAAAAAAAAACGTGTTTTGTCGGATCTTAACGCAACGGTTTCTGCGCCTTTTTCAGAGTCCACATCTTGAACCTCTCAAAGAAGACACGCTGGCAGGGACGTATAAATCAGTGAGTATAGCTGCAGTAGTCATGGACCCATGGAAGAGCAAGTTAGGGGGTTGATTATTTGATCATTTGAATATTTTCTTAGACCTAATATTTAAAGGGACTATACGGAAGTTTGACAGCCAAAACATGTATAGAAATAATAAATGTCTTCTTCATACATTCTCCTGCAATGCCCTGGCCCTGTAGAATGAGCCCTGGCATTTTTACTGTGATTGCCTGTTTTTCTGTAAAATCACAGAAAAAGAGAGCTGCTCGGGTCGAGCAGGCTGCTTCATGCGCGTTCACGCTCAGGCATAGCCCGTAGCATTTGCTATCCGTAGCTTTAGCAGCAGAGAGAGAGGTGACTTAGTCGCTGTTCCTAATGCCTAGTGATGAACCTAGCTACATTTCTGAGGACCCTTAGCTACTTCCTGTAGAACTTTCTTCTTGATATTTCCTGCAAATTAGCAACAAAATAGCCATTTTCGCTTCGAACCGTTCTTTGGATTGACGTTGTTTCAGCTGTCATCAAGGATATAAAAGTTACAGATACATTTAATGTTACTGGTGATTTAACTCACTTAGTAAGATTGACTCTCATGTAGGAGACCTGGTTTCGATTCCAGGTGTGAATAAAGTTTGTTATTTGGAGTTTCTTTTTTACATTAATGGTGAGACTCGCCGAACGACATTGAATTCATAGATAAAAAAGATGTGGGTTCAACTTTCATTTTGGAACAAATTTTCAAGCAAGGGAAGGGAATGATCTGAGCATGCAGGACTGACCCATCATTAACCTTTGTCAGCTGTGCTGAAGAGAAAGGTACAGAACCAAATAATTTAATTAATTAGCTGCATGTTCTCCTGTCCTCTGGCCTCCAGGCCACACACACACACACACACACACACACACACACACGGGACTGTCTCAGCTGTTATTTTCATTAAGGAGTGTGCACGTACAGCATGCACGCCTCGTGCATGAGCCTACTGTTGAGGCTGCCATTACACTTTTGGCCTGAGGGGGCAATCGCGAGCTTAAAAATTCAAAAGTCCGAAAAGTCCCTTTAAGTAAAAAAAATCAGTCAATAACTTCTTTGCTTTTACATCTCTAACCCTTTGTTTACATACATAAATGTTCATATTTTATTCCCTTTAGAACATTCTTCTGGTTCAGAGACAAATGTCTGTGAAGGAGCGAGACGTGGAGCAGTTTCAACAGGCTCTGAAAATCTACTCAGATGCCACCAGCAGCCAGCTGAACAACCTTCAGTACGTTCTCGTTTCTGTGATGTTTTTGCCTCAGGATCAGCTGTGATTTCATGCATCCTCTTCAGATTGCTTTGGTTCCCCTGGACATGCAGCAAAACATCACTCCCACCGTCCTCTTTTCCTCCTTCTCTATTGTTTTCCAGCATTTCAGTCCAAAACTTGCCAGACCGATCGTGCTTCATCATGTATGAATTTTGGCAGGATCGTCTCTCCTGGATGAGGTTTGCTCCAGCTCTACGGGGCTACTTACAAACAACTCCCATTGAAGAGTGTTGAAATACATAATTGTATCTGTTTCTTTTTTTCCCAGCTACCTTCAATCGTCCATCAACAAGACTTTCCAGCGCTGCATTATTGACTCCCTGGAGGAGCCAGAAATCGTGTCCACTATGCTTCTCCCAGGTAGAAACCAAATCAAATCAGTCCAGCTTAATGTGTCAGATAAATTGTTTTAATTAAAAGCATGTTGAAAAAAACAAGAAGATATTAAACTTTAGTTTAGTTATTCTCTCAAGCTGCTTTCAGCTAAATAAAGAAACTATTTTTAACTTGTCTACATTTTTACTTAGACTTTTTATTCCCATTACAAATGAAATAGATGAAGGCAACAACAAAGTAAACGCAGCCCTTGTTTTGATGCAATTCTAACTCTGTCTGCTAGGTGGCAGCAGTTTTTACCGCATTAATTCTGACACAATGAGATCTTGTGATATCACTGGTGTCTGTTTTGAGTTTTCCAAATAAATGTAGTCTTAAAAATAGCAAATATTGTGTTTTTAGTAATGCAATATATCATATCACCAGATTCTTGCCAGTAATCTCCCCTCCTCATTAATATTCACGATATGCAAAAGGGTAGAAGGCCTTCTCTGGGTCAGGGATGAGGTCCTGCCCCAAGTGGAGGAGTTTAAGTATCTCAGGGTCTTGTTCACGAGTGAGGGAAAATGGAGCACAAAATCGATAGGTGAATTGTTGCGGTGTCTGCAGTGATGTTGTACCGGTCTGTTGTGACGAAGAGAGAGCTGATCCAGAAGGCAAAGCTCACGATTTACAAGTCGATCTACGTTCCTGCCTTCACTTATGGTCACGAGTTTTGGGGTGGCCGAAAGAATGACGTTGCGAAAACAAGTGGCCTTAATGAGTTTTCGCCGCAGGGTGTCTGGGCTCTCCTTTGGAGATAGAGCGAGAAGCTCGGTCATCCGGGAGGGGCTCGGAGTAGATTTGCTGCTCCTCCACATCAAGAGGAGTCAGTTGAGGTGGCTCGGGCATCTGGTTGGGATGCTTCCTGGATGCCTCTCTGGTGAGGTTTTCCGGGCACGTCCAACTGGGAGTAGACCTAAAGGAAGACCCAGGACACGCTGAAGGGACTATGTCTCTCAGCTGGTCAAGGAACGCTTTAGGATTCCCCCGAAGGAGCTGACTCAAGTTACTGGGGAGAGGGAAATGTGGGCTTCTCCGCTTAGGCTTCTGCTCTCACGACTCGACCCAAGATAAGCAGATGAACATGGATGGATGGATATGCAAACATATTGCCTCTGATTGGCTAACAGCAACACAACTCTTCTACTGTTCTCGTTCGCGCTTCAGCTTTGGTAAAACATTGCGACGTTGATGTTTTATCTCCATGAATAAAACCCGGGTGTGTTCCATCATGTTGTGAAGTTGCTAAAGGTTAGCATCTGCTAGCTTAGACGTGCTCTACTCTCTCCTGGACAGCCTTCCGCGGTCACAAACCAAGGTGGGCGGGGCCTGAGACTGGCTTATTTTCACCTGATCGTTTTCCCATCTGTCTTCTTTCTGTGGTTAATGCAGGAGATAGGGGGTTAAGAAATTCTTCATATTCAGCATTCATGTGCAGCTCATATCTCAGGAGTAGTAAGCTCCAGTTTTATTTGGATCCAGCCAGAACTCTCTGCTTTGTTTTACAGCTTCTTGGTGGATTATGAACAACAACTGATCAAGCAACGCTTCAACATCAGAGAAAGCATGAGAAGGAGGTGTTGACGTAATCACCTCCGTCTCTTTTTGTTTTAAAACCTACTTTTCTTTTGTTCTTGTGGCATGACAGATCGTTTAGCAGTTTTACTTCAGATAAAAAAAAGACTGCTCATTAAAACTTGTTTTCTGTGTCAAAGTAAAACCTTGGATTGAAAGAACTGAGGTGAATGTTTTACTCCGCAGCCAGAATCCGATGTTCACTTCTTCACATTCATCGGGTCATCTAATGCTCCACAGTTACACGGAACAATAGAAACATAATTCACATAAAACATGAAAAGCATGACTTCTTATTTCTTTGTGCTTGTTTCTTTTTCTCAAAGCTTCGTCTTATGGTAGTCATGGCGACAGCGATGCATCAAAATCAGTCATCAGCTGTGCATTCAGGTTTTATTTTTATTCCTCAATAGAACTGAAAACTGAAAAAGTGGGTTGAGTAAATCTTCTTGTTCTCACTGTGATTATTGTGATTTATTGTCTCCTTTAAAGCTTTTTCTTTTTGCTAATGGATCTGATCGAGACCAGAAAAGTAGGAATCATCATGCACAAAGATAAATACTCGCTTAATACAAATATGTAGATTCTGTCTTTAACATAGAAACATATTATTTTATTTCACTGTAACTGCACACACTTCCACCTCGTTGCAATTAGAAATTCTATTTTTACTATTTTTCTAACTTGAAGTGCAATATCGGTTTCGTTTCTATCGCAAAGATTCAAAGACTATTAGGGCCACCCAGACGACACAAAATACTAGCTGTGTAGGTGTTTTTGCCCCTGATTGTTTAGTATTTGATTCCATTTTTAATCTCACAACTACACAAATGTGGCTTTTTTTTCTCAACTTTTTGACCTTATTCTTTATTTTCTTTGTCTTCTGAGTAGTGAGTGCTAGTTATTGAATCTTTCCACCCTTCAGCTGCAGGAAAAAAATATTTATTTTCACAATGATCTACTGAAATCTGCACACATCTGAGGCTGGAAAATAATTTAACAACAATATATATCAATCAATAGACATGTGGTTCAACAGGAAAAAAATGGATCAACGAAAACTTCAATAAAAGTTTCCTTTTTTCATTATAGCTTATTGGGTAGCTTCATACTAGAGACGTTACTCACACCCAACCAATCAAAGACAGTTATCGTCACCAAGCCCTATCCTCTCAAGCCTGAGCAGACAGCAAATGTGACTAACTAGATGTTGCAGCAAGGAAAGGTGGAAGAAATTGTCCAGAAAAAAGGTTACAGTACCTTACCGGGGTGGTGATTTCGTCATTCTGACAAGTCTGACAAAAAACAAACAACGGTGGTTTGCAACAAACAAGTCTGGTAATGCAACCAACTTGTTTTTTCATAAAGTAATGGTCTCAGATGGCCTGGGCTCTACTTAAAATGTATTTTAGACTTTTTTTTCACATATTTTTCAATAATTATTGTTATCGATCAATATGATTTTTTTAATCGATAAGCTTTTTTTCTGTATGGTCCAGCCCTAACTTCCCCAATGGATTCCTACAGTTTGATCAAAACAAAAAGCAAGCATGCTGATGTTGCTTGTGAGTCTTGCTTAATCCCTTCATATGCATTTGGTTTAATGCATATAAAATATAAAAGTTAAAGTCATTTAAAAGGATCTCGGCTTTAGAGAAGCTGCAGCATTAAACGTGTCACTCCTGCACTTTAGAAAACGACTAAAACATGGACCTTATTGTGACGAATAGAGATTTGATTGTTTTTATAATTGAATGTAGAATCAAAGTTATGAGATTTGCACTAGTAATTAATAATATTAATGATTATAATAGTCATGCAGTTTGCCTGTACTGTTTCTCTACTACATAGACGTGCAGCTCAGAAGCCATTATCCTACATTTGTAGCACATAATCAGAGATTGTCTGTGGAGCACACACATAATGTTTTAAATCTAAACAGAGTCTACTCTGTAAAGAACCTGGTGTTAAGAAGATGTAGGACTGATGTGATTGTTGATACTTATCTGCTCAGTGTTTATCTTTTTTATGTGCGATGTTATGTGGGTATTCTGTAATGTTTTTTCTGGCATGAAATACAATTTCAGATGTTGATGGCAATAAAAATTGAAGAGTTAATGGTTGAATTGTCTTTTATGTAAAGACTTGGAATGGTGAAGGAGGATTATTAGCAGACTTGATTATTATTATTATTATTATTATTTTTGCCTTGAGGCTTGAAAACTAATTTCAGCAAAAAAAAAGCACTTTATAAAGCCTTTAAATAAAATACAGTTAAATTAGAGAGTGAATAACTCATCTTTTCATCTGGAACATTCTGAGGAACGCCTAAAAAGCAAGATCACAGGTTGTGTTGGAACTGATCCAGTTACATGGCTGAGTGTTTAAATCCAGCGCCCACTTTTATTAATCAGCTCTCTCACTTCAAAAACAACCTCAAACACTTTAAATGTTCACAAAACAGCATTAGGTAATTAACTGATAAAGCTATTTCAGCTATTTCACCTTTTCTGTGTTAAAAACACACTTTACTACACTTTTATAAAGCTATTTTAATAAGATCTTTATCTTTAGTGCATGTTTGAAAGAATACTTTCTTGCATTTGCGAACACGCTGCAAGATGCAAAATCAAACTGATATTTGTTCCATTAAGATGAACAAATCAGGTTAAAATTAATGATGCTGAAAGAGTTTTCTCCTGGAATGAAGCTAAAGGAGGTGAAGATGATGCAGCCACAGGAAGATGAGCAAACAAATTAGCTGCTGTGTGGTGTTAAAAGCATCCTGCAAGCTCTAACGTGCTCAAATTATGTAAAAATGTAAACTACTGTTGAGAATTTACTTCTGAATTTATATGTTGAAGGTTTGTTTTAAAACAGCCATTTTCAAGTGAAGCTGATCATCCACAGAGCAGCAGATCTAGGAGGGGGTCGTGTGTTTGAAGAGAGACATCGACAGAGGAGAATCGAGGTCAGCTGTCAGGCTGCATTGATGCTGAAAACAAAGCAGTCAATTTGAGAGCGTGTGTTCTGATTTTCACCAACAGAAAACACAAACGCGCACACACCAAACCAGTAGGCATTTTTGTGATGTCACAGAGAGACAGTTGGAGGCAGAGAGTGTTTCATGTTGATCAATGTGGGATTCCTGTCAACCTGAGGCAGAAACTCTATTTCTGGTCCCATCGCATGGCTTTTGCATTCATGGAGCACACATTTGCTGCAGCAAATGACTCAAAAAGGGATAAATAATGAGGAAATGCATCAGCTCACAAACAGAAGAATGGAGCTTGTGATCAGATCACCATCAAAATGATCATAATGAAATTAGTTTTAGCAATACAGATGCTTAATTCTGCTGTAAGTAAATGCCATTTACATTACTTAAAAAAAAGCAACCTCTGGGTTTTAGTTACTACATGATGAAAAGTGTACCCTAGTTTAAAAGCGAAGGATTAGTTTGCCCAGACAAAAAACGGCCTTTATCAAACTAAAACGAAAGAGGACAGAAACAAAGGTAAACGGTCAAAAGCACTCTGGAGGATGAGGTCAAATGAAGAGCAGAAACAAGGAGAAGAGCCTGCAGGTGGAAAATGAAATCTGAATAGCTTGGTGCAGAGGTAGAGTGGTGCATCATGCAGAAAATGGGAGGTTTTGTTCGAGGAGGCTGTAAATGAAAGCGAATGATGAAAAGGAATGCAAAACAGAGAGTGCCAGTGGGTGGTAGAGACAGGCTGGGTTTTTGTTTTGGGGAATAAAAGAGACTGAGCCCATTAAATGAAAGGCGAGGAAGCTGAGAAGAAAACTTTTGGAAAAGAATGATACAGAATTACAAAACTGTGTCAGACATCAAACAGAACTACGTTCAGTATATTTTCAAACTTAAAAAAGTATTATGGATATTTTCTACTGGCACTTGTGAGCATCATTAATGACATTGTTCTCTGAGACAAATATAAAACATATTATTAATTATTCAAAATGTGGGAGGAGAGTAGTCTGAATTGGGTTCTGGAGCAGTGCCCCACCTCACACATCGCACTCATTCCGCCAGCCGTGAGCGATTCCAAGCCGGCATGCAGCACATCCACCTGGGGTGCCGGGAGCGGCGTGTCCCAGGCTTCTCCTGCGTGAGCCTGCACGCGGTGGCCATGATTTCTGTTCACTCACTCGCCTGAATCAGGTGATGCCCTGCAAGGGCAGCTATTGGCTCTTGTCTCAGACCTTCCCCGAGGTGATTGGACGAGTGACGAGCACTCAGATCGTGACCTCTACAGTGAGCTTCCTCCCACACCAGGAAGTGCACACATCTAACTAGTAGATATATATGTCCATTAACAAGAGCTGACTAGAGTTACGGTGCAAATTTATTTATTATAAACCTAATTTTAAAGAACAAACTGAAACATTTTTTGTCGTAATAAGCCGCTCAAACAATGTTTTCGGTCGTTTTAAACTCAATAAACAATTATACTGTACAGCTGGAAAGAGCAAACGAACGCAATGCATGCTGGTAGAAAACGTCACAACTTTGACATGCAAATGCTATTTGAGAATAAATGCTATTTGAGTGCGTATTAAACTTCCCATTTTACTGATCTTTTTAGTAATAATTAATAATTTTACTGGAATTCAATGTAAAATTCAACAAATAAACTCGATTTTGATGAATCTACGGTAAAACACAACATTTATTTGAAGAAATACACAGATTTCTGGGCAATTTTTCAAGATTATGTTTAGCCCATAGATATGTATATAAACATAGATACATACGTGTCTATGGATTAGCCCACGTCACGTTATATAAACATATGTACGGAAACACAGCTGTTTTGGTTAACTTTATTAAGAACAAGCACAAGCAAAGTACAATAATTTATCAGTTGTAAACTAAATAAAACTAAATAATATTAAAAAACTGGGCATTATTTTTTAAACAAATTACAAAATAATAAACAAACAAATGTTTTCTTTGAGCTTGTCAAGATACGTCATCTTAAATTGTCCCATGATGCCTTGCGGTTTCAAAAGTGATATTTTTCTACGTTTGTACTTAAGACTAGAAACGGTTTTCATTAAACGTAACTAAAGATAAAAGTAGCACTAACTAAAGCACAGCGGTGACGATTTAGAGCCACAAGCAAATTTTACAACCATTACCTAGAACAAGTTCGTTTCTTTGTCAATTAAAGTAACTGGAGTGAGCCGGGTACATCCGGGCATTCAGAAGGCTTGCTGTCTGGGCTACTCACAGAGAACGTCGTTTCTCCTCACCCGCCCAGGGGAAAGTCCCCGGACCCGTGGCAGAAAGTGCTCTGGGTTAATCCAGCGTCGGTCTGCGTGCCCATCAGAGCAAAGACGTTCGTCTCGAACAGAGCTTGGAAACTCAGATCGACATTGTCACTGTTCATAGAAATGCAAGCGATGAACAGAACGGGGCTCATTCTCTGAATGCACATTTTTATAGATTAAAACCTTTCATTACCCTAAAATATCTACGTTATCATTCCTACTTAGAACAAGTTATTTCTGTTGCAATCTTTTGCACAGAGTTGCAAAATGACGAATCTAAGATTTATAAACGTGTTTACGTCTCCAGCTTGTGGTGAAAAGGTAGACTTGCAGCCTGGCCATCAGTAATTTTAGCCATTTATTTTTTCCAAATCTATCACATCTGTACACTTATTTCCTGTTAAAAACACGCCACCTCACTTTTTAATTAACCACTAACTTTGCTCATATTTGAAAACATTTAACCTTAAAACCACAGCCTAATGAAAATCACGTAGTAGCTGAAGAATACGCTGTTGCAGAAAAATAACATGCATTGTTAGTGTTACAGTGTGTACTGAAGTGACTGACACCTGCATATCAATTTCCTGTGGTTTCCTTACCCTGAAAACAAAGAATGCCACAGTTTGCACCACTAGGGGGAGCAGGATCCCAGCAGCATCCACCCCAATTATCCCAGTACACCTTGTAACACACTCACACATGCTAACACATTCAGCCACGGGATTAGGCAGCACACATGCAGATTACAGTGTCACATGACTGCCCATACAACCTATTAAATCTTTTAACCTACATCCCCCTGTGAGCTTTCCCACAATCCAGTTGGAGTGGGCGTAAGCGCGCGCAGCTGCAGCATCACAAAGGTTCAGCTCCTCCCTGCTGGGTGCTAGGAGGAAGAGAGATACTAGGGAGGATCAGGGTCAGATTCATTTCAGCCGGGCTGTTGGTGGCAGTGTGTGCGTGTAAATGAAGCGTGTGCATGTGTGAGCGAGAGGACAGATCAGGGAGGGCTGGGGAGAGAGTGTGTGTGTGTGTGTGTGTGTATGAGTGACACAGAGAGGGAGACAGTATATCCGGGCAGGAGTGGACATAAGAACGTGGTGGTGGTAGGGGGAGAGGTAAAAGAGACATTTGAGGGAACCCAGACTTAGATGAGAAGATGGCTGAGCCGGAGCTGAAGCTGAGAAGCAGCCGGGAGAGCGTTGCTAAGGGAGCAGAGAGCCAGGAGAAGATGGAGGGTGAGTACAGTGCATTCTCCTGTAAACACCACATGGTGCAGAGCTGCATTATTCCCCCACACGTTCAGATTCAGTGCTCCCTCGTGCAAGAGTTATACTGAAGGGCCGTGTGGCAACAGGTGGTCCAATGCTAGGGGCTGGTATGTGGAACAATGAGATGCTGTATGAACAAAGCAAGCAGACGGTTGGAAGAGTCAGCATGCAGTTTAATTCTTGCAGAATTGGTTATTAAATTTGATCTGAGCAGCTTTTTTAGATGTTATGACTCAGAGGAGGTGGAAGAGTGTTGCTGTAACCAAAACATTTAGGTTATATTCTGTGAAATCAGTTTGCCTGAAACATCTCAGCAGTTAATGTCCTTTTTCTTGTGTAAGTAATTCCTAAAACATGAGTGCAACCCAAAAATAAACACTTTCCTGTCTGAATTTACCCAGGAGCAGAAGCAGACTCTAACCAGGACATCGTGGAGCATCCAGCATCCCCAACAGCGCCTATGGTTTCTGCTCCCACTGCTTCCAGTCCCAACGGCAGCCTGCCACTCAAAAGCGATAAGATCGTGCTCAAACGCAGCATCACCCTCTTCAACGGCGTGGGGATGATCATCGGAACCATCATTGGCTCGGGGATCTTCGTAACTCCAACAGGTGTGGTGAAAGAGACCGGTTCCGCTGGCCTCTCTCTGATCATCTGGTCTGCTTGTGGGATCATCTCCACCATGGGCGCCCTGTGCTACGCCGAGCTGGGCACCACCATAGCTAAGTCCGGGGGAGATTACACCTACATCCTGGAAGTCTACGGCGAACTCGCAGCCTTTTTGAAGCTGTGGGTAGAGATGCTGATCATTCGGCCATCGTCGCAATACGTTGTGTCTCTGGTGTTCGCCACCTACCTTCTGAAACCCCTGTACCCGAGCTGCGCCGTGCCCGACAGCGCTGCCAAGCTCATCGCCTGCCTCTGTCTCAGTGAGTCGATGAGAGTATCTAATTTTCATCATTTAAAACAACTAAACTCTTAAAAATGTCTGACTTACTCCTGTTCTCCACCACAGCCTCCCTGACATTTGTGAACTGTATCAGTGTGAGGGCGGCCACTAAGGTCCAGGACTTGTTCACAGCATCCAAACTGTTGGCTCTGATCATCATCATCCTCTTTGGCTTCATCCAGATTTTCACAGGTAAGATCCACTCACTCACAGGTTTAGATTGCCCTAGCCCCAGCCCTAAAGTTACCACAGCTTGTGTTTAACCCTCAGAAAAACCATCTTAAGTCACTAGAACTCCCTTATTTTAAATATTTTTCTGATTTAAAACTTATAATTAATTACATAAACAATAATGCAGTTTGTGCATTTTATATCAAACCGTTTTATACCTCTACTGCATTTCATATTTGAGCAAAGAGTTCAGAGGCTTCGTATCTTTTGTCTCTAATGATCGGCAAAATGTTGATGAATGCTAACGAGCCTAACGAAGCGGGCTGCTCTCCCTTTCCCTTCGTTAGCACAGTTGCTGACTCTGAACACAGGGCCCGTCTGTCCGGAGCCTTGTGATCCCGCTGGAGAGTGCATCTGTGTGCTGTGGGTTTATTTGCACGTGGCTGTGCGTTATTATCGTTACATGTGTCTCTTCAGAACAGTGTTCATATAAAAACAAACATCGTGTCAAAGTGCAAATAAAAAGAAAAACAGAAAGAGAGAGAGAGTCAGGTCCAGCAGCGCGGGAAGACATTGTGTTCCTCAAAAGCTGCATCTGCTCCTCTCCCTCCTTTCCTAAGGCCACACCCACAACCATTGTGCCTCCATGCTTTGTTACCATGGCAACGGGGTGGCAAAGCTTGGCGGCTGTCATCATACTGTGGTCTTTGAGAGCCCACGTGCAGGAGAACGGAGAGAAAATAATGAGATCTTTTTTTAAAATACAATGAAAAAACAAAAAAAAAGTCATTCAGCTTGAGAGGAGATATAACACAATCTATTACGTTTGATATTAGCTGTATGTTAATGAGTGGATTTAAGTTTATTCATCATACATCTGCTCATTTTGAAATGTCAGTCAGAGCTGAGTTTCTTGGCTCTGGGGGACATCAGAGAACATGCTGGTGAGACGCTGGTGGGAAATATCAGGAGACTTAAAGGGCAGGCGGCAACAGACTGGTGGAGCTGGAAATAAAAAGTGGCAGCAAGCCAGAGACAGTCTGTCAAATGTCTGGCTGCATAACTCTCAAGAGCCATGTTTCAGTTATTATTACAAAGTCTTTTCCTTCTGTGTGTGTGTGTGTGTTCAGGTGACGTGCCCTATCTGATGCCCGACAAGGCGTTTGAAGGCAGTAAAATCGGTGTGGACAACATAGTCTTGGCTTTGTACAGTGGTCTCTTTGCGTTTGGGGGCTGGTGAGGCATTTCTTGGTTGTTTTGCTGGTAGACTAATAATTTATGCCTCGTTTTTGCATTATATGTGTTAATCTATTTCTGCGTCTCTCCAGGAATTATCTGAACTACGTCACCGAGGAGATGATCAATCCAGAGAGGTGACGTAACAGTGGTGAAGGTTGATTTCAGGAGACGATCCTGTAAATAGAAGTCCAATAGCATGACGTCTCATAAGCTTGATCAGATCAGATGATTGCATGAAGAGTAGCTATTGAACATTTGGTTTTATGTTTCTGAATGACGGGATTTGGCACGAACTATTGCGCTGAGGTTTTCTGTTGAAGTGCATGAAGGTGGACGCAAATTTCATCACTGATCTAAAGTTTACAGTCCAGCACAGCATAGAAGTTTCAGTTCTTGGATTGTTTTTGATGTTTTTTTTTTAAACGATTATGTCTTCTGTCTCGCAGGAACCTTCCCTTGTCTATTATTATATCGATGCCTATAGTAACGGTGGTGTACGTTCTGACCAACTTGGCTTATTTCACCACAATTTCTCCTCAAGTCATGATCGACTCAGAGGCTGTTGCTGTGGTGAGCATGACCACAGACAGATCATGTCTTAATCCCAGATTCTAGCTGTTTGTCACACCACACGAACCTCTCCAGAGTTTTGGGGAGTATCATCTTGGCGTGATGTCCTGGTTGATTCCTGTTTTTGTGGGACTGTCCTGTTTTGGAGCCGTCAATGGATCCCTCTTTACCTCAGCACGGTGAGTGGATAATAACTTCGGTATCATTTGTGTGGAGAAGGGAGGACTGGGTCTGTTCTGAGATCTGAGGCTGTTCATGGGTGGAAATGTTAAGTAGGAAAATAACTTCTCCCCTCTAGATTGTTCTACGCTGGAGCTCGAGAAGGCCAGCTCCCTGCTGCTCTGGGACTGGTTCACACAGACCTGTTTACACCAGTGCCATCTCTGATCTTCACAGTAAGACTTTGCTGATCTCCTAATTACAGCTTCTTTAGCTTTTTTTTTTTGTCATGCTCATTTTAAATTTACCCAAAATTTCCCAAAAAGAGAAGGAAAGTGGTATACTCCAATTTCTAGTCGTAAAAAACAGCATCCAGATTTTTGTGCATGTTGTCTCATGAACTAAATAAATGATTGTGTCTTTTTTCAGTGTCTCCTGTCCATGATGTACGCCATCTCCCAGGACATCTTCTCTGTCATCAACCTCTTCAGCTTCTTCACCTGGCTGTGCGTCGGGATGGCTATCGGCGGCCTGGTGTGGCTACGTATCACCAAGCCGGATCTTCGTAGGCCAATCAAGGTAAAACCTGATCAAACCGTCGCTTGTTGTTGGCGTAAATCCATTTTAGCCTCAATGAGAGGCGACCCTATGTAGCCCAGACCACAGCCAGTCTCTTTGTCTCCTGCAAAACATCAACATGTCTGCAGCTTATGCCAAATAATCCACCATTTTTATTATTTTTTAATGAAAGCACCATTGTATCACTGCTCTTGTTATTAGTTGGAAATGGAGCCACACTGTGTTTCCATTACAGGAGGGAGTGGTGTTTGAATGAACGCACGATTCTTTGTTTTTCTTTCATCGTGGGAATATTACCTTTCTGGACAGCAGCCTTTCATCTTTACTTTGAGCTAGAGTGTCCTCAGCCTGCTTGTTTATAGGATAAACAACCAACAAATAATAAACAGAGATCTCTAAATATACATGGAAACCAAGCGCAAAACAAAAGCTGCAGCCCTCCATGTCTGACCTGACCTCAGAGCTTTAGCCGTCAAGTTAAGTTTTTTTTCAATTGTTTGCATGCAATTTTGAAAACTGGGGTCATGTTTTCAAAAAAAGAATCAATCGTCCAAACGCCACGCTCAATATGCATAATTCATAGATTGTTTGCAGTTTGACACAAGTCAGTCAAAACATACACACTTCAGCCAGAACCTTTACACTCATTTGTGAAAATGCTATTAGTTTTCATTCAGCCAACCCCGTTCTCAATAATCAGACACCATTGCAGCCAGTTCCACACCGCCATGATAAGTAAAATACACATTTGGAAACAGATTAATTTTGAGAAATAGCATTTTCTAGATATTTGTCCAGACGTTGTTATGTAAGAGATAATGTAGGTGAAAAAAGTTAAGTACTGGTGAAATCACATTCTTCGTGATTAGTTTGAGATATAAAGAGAATCGACACAGACATGTTTGCCATGAACTACCAGGCACTGCACAACTCTGATGTTGCAGAATAAATATTTCAAGTATTTACAGTATTTCAACACAGTATTTACCGTAATGAGTTACAGTAATCAACCAACAATGAAACAAAAAATCTGTAGACAATTAAAAAATCTCTGTATGAAGAAAAAGTCTTGTAAAAGCAACAAGAAAACTGTAACTATACATCATCTCTCCGTCTGGCTGCATCAGGCCATGAGATCTCATCCACATCATAGGACATGTCTTCATTGGTAAGGCACCAGTGGAGGAACTGCCTCGTGTGATGAATCCCCCCCCCCCCCCCCCCCCCTGCACAGAAGCAGCTTCAATCTGAGCACAGGCCTGCTCCATGGCCTGAATGAGGGGCATATGGTCTCAGGGCCGCAGGTCGCATACCTTCCACCGCCATGCTTACAAAAACTCTTCTAGCAGATTCAAAAAAGGGGGTATGGGGGTAGGCACAAGACGTCAAATTCAGGGTGCTCATGGAACCAATTCTGGACTGTAGCAGCCAGATGGAATGAGACATTATCCCAAATGACAACGCACCTCATCTGGTCCACTTGGTGTCATGCTGTGGCATTCACGTGCAATATGTCAAGAAACAGATTTTCATTATAGGGTTCCAGATTTGCATGGTGGTGGATGACCCCATTTTGGGTAATAGATCTTACCCTCTCGCTGCCCTGCCACATTGGTGATTTTCTTGTGTCCAACTACATTTCCCACTCTTCTTCTTGTTTTTGCAAGGTTAAATCCAGCCTCATCCACTCATAAATTCATGCTGAATTTCTGCAGCATCCATTTGCAAGACTCTCTGGAACACAGTAAAATAGTATGCTATTCAATATCTATTGCACAGTATTTGTTTGTAGACCATTGTGCAAAGTACCACACCACAGTAAGATGAATACATACCTCCACATTGTCATTCTGCAGATGTTTCACTGTCTGAATTTATGTCAAATGGTACCCGATACAGTTGCTTCATGTATATTTGATTTTTCTTGAGGGTTCGACCCAGTGTTGACAGAAAGACTCGTTGAATGTTATTGAAAATATAGTCATCGTTGATAATATCAGTTTGGATTTCTCTCAGCCTGATGCAATTATTGGTCAACACAATGTTCACAATGGTGACTTCTTGTGCACGAGTGAACTTAGGGCCCCTTCCATCTTGGAGTCCTCAACCCTCGATCCAATGCAAAAAAAAATGTGTATATATATATATATATATATATGGGGATCTTTCTACATGGAGTTTGCATGTTCTCCCTTTGCATGCGTGGGTTCTCTCCGGGTGCTCCTCCACAGTCCAAAAACATGACTGTTAGGTTAATTGGTCTGTCTAAATTGTCCTTAGCTGTGAGTGTGTGCATGATTGTTTGTCCTGTGTGTCTCTGTGTTGCCCTGCGATGGACTGTCTGTCTGTCCTGGGTGTGCCCCGCCTGATTGCCCATTGACCACTGGAGATAGGCACCAGTCCCCCCGCAACCCTATGTGGACAAGCGGGTTCAGAAAATGGATGTATGGATGGATGTAAAACAAATCCACATGCAGCCTAATGTCACAGGAAACAATATTGATGATGGGTACGGCAAGCTTCAGTGTCAAAGTACTGTGAGTATAGCTTACCTCTTGATGAAATGTCCGAATTACAGACGCAACAGTATTTCTGCTGAGATTTGGTTGAACTTTTTGTGCAGCTTCCATCAGTGTCAGTCCATGGTTGATAACATTGTCAGTAAGCGTTGCACGTATTTCGTGAGTCAAATTTGGTTCTCTTCAAACCCCCTTCTCCTCTTCCTCTACCTAGGCCTCTTTCTCTACCCCCTGCTGCATTTTCAAATTAGCACGTGTGAGCTTCCACACCTGGTGGATGTGATTATCCAATTTTTCATTGTCATTGGCGATATGGGGCTTTGTAATGACAAGGAAGTAACCTCACAATCTTTATCTGTGTGTAAGGTGTGAAAATTTAGCAAAAAGGACGAAGAAGACATTGTGTGTACCGTTGTGCAAACGTGCGGAGGTGTTTGCTCACTGGAGTAGAATTTTGCCAATTGTGTGGAAGTGCTTTTTTTTTTAGAATATAAACAATCGTAAAAACTTCAATCTGAAGCAAAACCCCATATTAAGAGATTTTTATGATTATTACTTTGCCTGGTCATTAATAAATGGTCAACACAACCTATCAATCAAATAAGAAATTCTAAAATGATGAAGAATCTCCTAAATTCAAAGTGAATTTTATTTTCTAATTAATTTCTACCATCTTTCTTTGCTAATAAATGACAATAAATTGCTTTCTACTTCAGAATGGACAAACTTCTATTATAGTGCATTTTTGGGAAAAATTATTTAAAATTACATAAAATGAATAAACATCCATCAAAAATATGTTTTGTAGCTTTTTTCCTTTTTGGATGTTTTAAAAAGGAGTTCCATTTGGATTAATGTAACCTTTTGTTTAAAAAAATGTCTGTGTGTAACTAGAAGAAGAAGAAAGTATCATTTCTATAGCGCCTCTCAAGATAAAAATCACGAGGCACTTCACATAAACAAAAAAAAAGTAAAAATGTAAAAAAAGCATTTAGAAAATGTTTAAAAATATATTTAAAATGAGCAAAAATAGACAATTGGGATTTAAAAGAAAAATTGTTAAGAAAGAGAGAGAGTGAACAGGAAAGAGGGAAATCAGTGGATCCTGAGGAAGGTGGGATAGGTGGGGAGAGCAGAATAAAGAGAGAGTGGTGAAGAAGGTCATACAAAAGCCAGCTTGAACAAGTGAGTCTGCAGCTGCTTTTTGAAGGAGACCACTGAGTCCACTGATCTCAGGCTCAGGAGGAGAGAGTTCCAGAGTCTGGGGGCCACAGCAGCAAATGATCTGTCACCTTTGGTCTTTAGCCTGGTGCTGCACAACCAGTAGGCTTTGATCACTGGACCTCAGGGACCTGCTGGGGGTGTAGGGACTAAGAAGATCACCAAGGTAAGATGGTGCTTGTCCATGTAAGGCCCTGTAGACCAGAACCAGGATCTTGAAATGAACCCTGGAGTTGACTGGCAGCCAGTGAAGCTGGAGGAGAAGCGGGGTGATGTGGGTGTGTTTGGAGGACTTCACTAGACACACACACACACACACACACACACACACACACACACACACACACACACACACACACACACACACACACACACACACACACACACACACACACACACACACACACACACACATGCAAAAATCTTGTTACACACGCAACTCATTTTCTTCTAATTATTCTCTTAAGTGTTGGTGCTGCTGTAACAAGCAAATTTCCCCGCTGTGGGACCAAAAAAGTATATTCTATTCTATTCTATTCTATTCTATATTAAATCTAGTTACACATACACAGATCTAGTAACATACACAGATCTTTTGAGACTAGCTTCTCTTCATACTCCAACAAATAACTTAATGTTGCGTTCTTGTTTTTTGAAGTGCGTTTTCATTTCCTTCCTCCAGGTGTACCTGTTCATCCCCATAACATTTGTGTTGGGATGCGTATTCATGATTGTCGTGTCCTTCTGGGCTGCACCCTTTGAGAGCCTGGTCGGCGGCAGCATCATTCTCACGGGCATTCCTGCCTATTTGCTGGGCTACAAGTGGAAGAAACCCCATGTGGTGCAGAAGATGCTGGGTGAGTGAAGAGCTGGGTTTGTTTTGCTCAGCAGAAGCGTCCCACGGTTTGTTATAAAACCCCTTGTTAGAGTACTCTTACACACGCTTACATTTTATTTTGTTTAATTAGCTGCTGGTGCTGTTCTCAGTGTGCTGATGCAATATTTATTTGACTCTACTGTCCTGGAAAGAAAAGAAAACAGCTTATTTGACAAGTTGTTTCCCCCACAGAAATCTTCACCATGTTCTGTCAGAAGATCTTCATGTCCGTTCCTGAGGAGAAGGAGAAACCACAGGCTGCCGAGTGATGCCAGCAAAACAAATTTAAGGCTAAGTCTGTGACACTCATTCAATGTTTACATGCGTTCCCTTGTAATGTAATTCATTCTTTTGTCATCATTTTGAAAAAAAAAACCCTATTTACAACATGCAAATCGGGCTTTATGGCATGCCCTTGTGCACAAAACTAAAGACATTCCCTAATTTTCTGTGTAGAGGTCAAAACTCAACCCAAATTTGACATTTAGACTCAATTACTTTTACAGCTGAATGATAAAATGTTAATAAAATAGACTTGATATAACCTCAAAGGGAACACAAACCTGCAAATACACACTAACTCACAGGAATCCAGGTTGATTTCCTAACTGAAGAGTGCAAATAGATAGGCTATAGAGAAGAAAAAACATGATTTCGATCGTTTTACTTTTTGTATAACTAACAACAAACACCAAAACAGTATATTATAGTTTACAGTCAAACAGAATAAAAAGGTCAGCAACCTGTGTGGTAAAACCAAAGCTGGAGCTGCATTTATTCATGTATTAGAAAGAAAGCATGATTTAAAGTAAGGGTTTGTAAAGTCTTCTTTAAATGTGCTTCTGTCACGCATTTCTTTTGATTTCAGCGTTGAACCGTGTAATCTCGTTGATGCAGGCAAGAGGCAAAAGAATCTAGAGCCGTACAGGTAGAAACCGCTGTAGCTGAGTGTATTAGTGTTTGTATAGAAAGTATTTATTGTCTGTGCCGGCCTCCTCATGTCTCATATCACATGTTTTATGTCACTCCCAGGCCAAAAAGAATGTTTGAACTTTTAGAGAGGAACCCCAAAGAAAGTAGCCTTGAAAAATAAATAACGACCGACCTATGTGTCGCCCTTCAACTTATTAAGGTAAAATCCAGGTTTTATGTGAATAATCTGATGCTAATGCAAACCTATGAATTTGTTTTTGCCTCCTCACAGATTTTTTCTCAGTTTTTGCCTTTTATTGGGCATACTTAAATGTTTCCAGTCAGCAATTTATTATTAAAGATAACCTGAAGTATACAGTTTTTGAATAGAAAGAGCTAATCCAAACCACCTTGTCTCCACTGAAAAAATAATTGTCCCCTTATCTTAATTACTGGCGAAACAGCATCAAAAGTGATCGAGCATTGGTTATGAATCTCTGCAGAATTGTTTACGTAACTGAGCCACATTAGAGAGTTTTCTAGCATAAACATATTTTCTTCACCTTAAAGGTCAGACTTTTTTTTTTAATTTACAGAATTTTCTGGCTGGGCAGAATTCATGGCTCCATCACCCCATCCAGCATACAAACAGGGTTTTTCTGCTGTTTCCATGGTGGCCCCACAAGGATTTGCCCACATTGGTTTTAATGGGTTCTTGTATGAGTCAAACCCTCTGGGTCCCTCTGAAAACCCAAGTAGGGCCCATAAAAATTTATGTTAGCAAAAATCTGTCAAAAAACTCCCGTGGGACTATCATGGAGACCGCGGATGAACCCTGTTGGCCCCCATACGGCTTGTCCATATACAGTATATCCATATAGGGCTCACCTATGCATGCTGGCTGGGAACTACAGCAAGTCATCCAGGGTCTGAAGCAGCAAAGCAGAACATCACACTGCCACCACCGTGTTTGACTGTTGTGTGATGTTCTATTTCTGAAATGCAGTTAGTTTTGCCTCTGATGTAAAGGGAAACACACCTCCCAGGAAATTTCACTTTTGTGTCAGTAATCCATAAAATATTTTCCTCAACGTTTTGAGGGGTCATCAAGACTGCTTTTTGATACACGGATCTTCAAGTTATTTATCAACAGCAGAAAAACACTCCCATTTTTGCTCCGTCTCTTTTCTTTTCTGTTTTGTTCTTGAAATATTTTAGAATGGGGCACCACACTTTTCTTTTTGAGATCTTTTAGCCTCAGAAACGTTCTGTTGAAGCAATTTTTACTCACTTGTTTTGGTTGTGGCAGGGAAAACCGAGCTCAGTTTCCAACACTTTAATACGAGTTAATTCGTGATAGTTGGTATTTGGTGGTTAGAATAGCTCACTTAATAAATCAAACATTTGTTTAAAAACTTAATTTTGTATTTATTCAGGTTCTTTATCTCATGTTGAGTTTTTTCTGCAGACTGAAATATTTAAGTGTGAAGAAGAAGAAAGAAGAAATCTAAAATGGGGGCAAAGATCTTCCTCTGCACACTGGTGCCATTTTCCTCACAAGTCAGAAACAGAAACCGAAAGATTACAACTCAAAGAGATAAACAACTTTCAGGTTAAGTCATAGACAAATGTATTCTATTTTTAAAACAAAATAGCAGCACAAGCACTTCAAGACAAATTAATTCACGAGTAAGCACCTTTTAAATGACTAATGACTCCTTAAGCACTTGTTCAATCCTCCTTACAAAATATTTTTTGTACTGTCCGTCCTTAATTATTCCCCATAAATCTGACTATTTCTAAGCACAGCAATGAACAGCACAATCCGATGTGGATGCTCTTTTCTGAATGTGAAAAATCTCATTAGAGTAAAACAGAAAACCCACACATTTCTGCAGGCCTCATCATTTATTTAGTGTTGTCCACAAAATGCTGTACCTGTGTATGTATAAACAAGCACCGTATGTATAAATTAATATATTTGAAAGCTTATGGGAAAATGTAATGATCAAACAAATAACTTGTATTTTTATTTTTTAAATTGAGATTCCTTATTCTAACTGTTGTATGTTAGTGACCGCGGCAGGTACATGTAACAATAAAAGTATTTTCTTCAAAGTTTGATTGTTTGTGCATCATGATTTACAATAAAAGACGTGTTGCCTTGAAGATGAATCAAAATCAGTCAACAAAAGGAGCAATTTCTCAAAAAGAAAAAGCGATCCCACAACACAGGTTACCTGTGATCCACCCATTCCATTTTCTGAACCCCCTTGTCCATGTAGGGTTGCGGGGGGGGGGGGGGGGGGGGGGGGGGGGGGGGGGGGGGGGTCGGGTCAATGTGCAATCAGGTGGGGTACACCCCTGGACAGAGAGCCAGTCCATTGCAGGGCTACCTACCTTCAATCCACATGAGGATATCACAAAATGCAGCCCGGTGGCGCTATCTTCTGAGCCATCAGGAGTTTGGGAAGCGATCTGTAAAGCTCTTCCTTTCTTGTTTGGTCCTGTTTTGTTTGTTGGCTGTTGGACAATGGTGCTGCAGAAACCTGGGCCGTCAGGGGAGTTCTTATCTATCTCAGGAGGAAATGAAAGCCCCTGACAGCTGCTGATGGAGCTAAAGCCAGAGCTGCTGGACACAATATTAGTGATGGGAGGTTGGATTGGCAAGGATCTAATAATGCACCAGCACTGAGTTGCTGAAAAAAGTAGGTCTAGATTATTGTTTCATTTCCTATGAATACAGAAACATTAGATGCAGTTTTTTTTCGTGAGTTTAGGGTATTTTGCCTGATAAAAGCAAAATGTATAAACGGAGTAAATGCATTTTATTTTAAATGCATTTGAGCTTAAAATAAAACAGTAAGTTCATCCAAACTTCATTGTGAGCATCATTTACCACCAGCAGAGGGCGGTAAAGGGATAAATATAGGAAGGTGAAACAAGAAGAAATGTCCAGTCCACCTCTTTTTGTCACAGATCATGGAACCATGAAAAACTAATGGGAATAATGAAAACAAGGAAAATGTGCAACATTTTTACTTTTAAGTGTTTTGCACATTTAAAAATATATATAAATAAAAACCCACAGTAAAACACACCTGTTTCTGTTTTTTGCTTCATTTTTTTCCTCACAAACATACATTAATTTTAAATTCTTGACCTAAACTGATTTAAATTGAAAAGTACACAATTACACACTTTTAAAACGATTAAAACAACTTTATCCTTCTGACAAAGTCACGTGCAGCTTTTGGATTGAATACATGCATCAGCTGGACTCGGTCAATAAATAAATACAAACAGTAAATTATTTATGAACTTGTTTTAGTATCTAATTTAGCATGTAATTACATTCACCCCACCTCAGCACACTGTGTTTGCTGTACACACAAAGAACCACGTCTAGGGGGCACTGTGTCACCATTTTAATTTCTCTCTCTCTCTCTCTCTCTCTCTCTCGCTCTCTCTCTCTCTCTCTCTCTCTCTCTCTCTCTCTCTCTCTCTCTCTCTCTCTCTCTCTCTCTCTCTCACTGTGTGTGTGTGTGTGCTGTGGGGAGGGGTGATAGATTCCATTTCTATTCCACCTTTAATCCAACTGTGAAATTCAAAACTAAAAGGCAGTTGCATTTTTTTTCCAAGGTAGTTTTCTGAAAAAGCGGTGCACTGCATCAGCAACTCAGAGTTTCATCATAACGCCTTTACTAAGAAACATGGCCACTGGCAGAAATATGTTGCGTGATAAACGATATTGATCCAGTCTAATTTGAAAAAATAAAGGAGGAAAAATAGAAACATAACTGAAAAAATGGCAAAAATAAAGTTCAAAGTGCATTAAGTAAAGCTTAAACACTTAATCTAATGAGTCAACATGACAAGATTTACATTAACTTCTGCAACATCAAAGATAATGCTCCTAATTAACCTCAGATGCAGGCGAGGCTGGGCAAGGGCTGGAGGGGGCGGCGGACAAAGTTATGTTTATGAGCTCCTGCAGATATCAGGCGCCGCTCCTCATAAAACAAATTTCATCTTTTAAAAACAAAATAACGAGAGAAGATGGAAGTGAGAGGAGACGGTTTCCACTTTAAACATTTTATTACGGACAAAGGAAAACAAAAAGAAGTATTTGTGACACAAAAATTAATCTAATGCTGGTACATTTACATGAGAAATGCACCAACAACAAGTTAAGAAATTATTTATTATTCTAAAAATAATGTTGTTGGGTCAATAATAATAATAATAATAATAATAATAATAATAATAATAATGCACCCTGATTAAAAAATGAGCCAAAATGTTTCGTCATGTTTATAAATAGATGTGAAATCTGACACCCAATTAAATAAAACGACCAGATTGCAAAAGTTGATATCAAACAGAACAAAACACTTTTTTCATCACTGGTTTTACAAGTTAAAGAAGTACATTTGGCAGGTTTATACACAAAATTAAATTATTTTTTCCCAGTGACTGTTCTTCTGAATTCCTGCTACAGTGAAAGGAAAAAAAATCACAAAAGAAAAATAAAATAGATAAAGATGGAGTTCAACACAATTCTAAAACACCTAATAAAACTAGTCAAAAACTTTAAAATCCACTGTTTTTTTTTCCTTTAGTAACATTTCACATTTAGCAATTTTTTTTTATTCTCCTGTACAAGTGATGTGAGACTAGGGGATGCAGGGCGGGGTCATAGGCAGGGAGGCGGGGTCAATTAGACCAGGAGGAGGAGCCAAAAAAGGGGGTGTTTCTTAACGATGACCCTTCTGCAGTTCAGCAATGTCCTGAGGCCATGTTTAGAGGGTGACACCCTCCATCGCAGCTCCGCTACCTCCGGAGGGAAATTTTACATTTTATCAGTCTTTGCATTTCCCTCCTATTCTGAGATACAAGAACACAGTTTCAACAAGAGTTTTAGTGTGTGTATTCCCTCACTGAATCCACCTGCACACAAATCACCCAAAAGAAGGAGTTTTTTTAAAGCAAGGGACTGCAGCTTAATACACACATACGAGGGATCCATTTTGTGATATTTACAGTCTCTCTGTGATGAAGGAATGAAGGGAGTCCTTTACTAAGAGAAAAGATGATTTATGAATGTTTTATGAGCTTGTGAATACATTTTTATGAAAATGTTGGGATGTTTGAGACAGTCCTGATGCATGTCCACCCCAGATCAGATGACTGGGCTTCCTGCTTTTCTACCTAAAAATCTTCATATTCTTAATATGCTTTGAGCATTTATTTCTCCAATGAGGGCAGTTCATGGTAAACAGAGAGATCGAGTGAAGAGGTACTAAATCTTCTTTAAAAGAAATTTCTAAAAAGCCCAAACCAATATGAGAAGACGTTTCTTGGTCCTCGTATTTTCGGTAAGATGAGCTTAAAGCTCGCTACCGCCTTAAAAAACTGTTCACTGATGAGAGAGAGAGAGAGAGAGAAGAGAGAGAGACAGAGAGAGAGAGAGAGAGACAGAGAGAGAGAGAGAGAGAGAGAGAGAGAGAGAGAGAGAGAGAGAGAGAGAGAGAGAGAGAAGAGAGAGAGAGAGACGAGAGAGAGAGAGAGAGAGAGAGAGAGAGAGAGAGAGAGAGAGAGAGAGAGAGAGAGATAGAGGAGAGAGAGAGAGAGAGGGAGAGAGAGAGAGGAGAGAGGAGAGAGAGGAGAGAGAGAGAGAAGAGAAAACAAAGACAGGGAAGTGCCTCAGGCTTGTGGCCGACTTAAGTGCTTGGCAAATAGGTGAAGTTACCGTAGCAGTCTTTGGGATTTTCAAAATCCATCAGGAAAAAAGAAAAGGAAAACAAAAAGGTGTAAAAACGTCGATGATGCTGTTGTAACGTTAGAAAGCTCTCTGGAGTATGACATGAGGACGTCATTTAACTTCAAGTGAGGTAGAGAGGCTTGTCCCGAGCGCCCATGCCGCTGCTGATGAAAAGACGAGAGAAAACAACGTCAATGTTCAACAAAATCCAGGTGAAAACACTAATCTCATCACTACAACTCTTTCATCTACAGTATTATTTTTCTTATGAATAAAAATTTTCCCCAGCTTGGTCAAAGGGGAGCAACTCCAAAAAAACAAACATAAAAGCTGTTGACAAACAACTAACATCAAAACGCCTGGTTTCTCAAATTTTGCAGGATCAGTCGGTATTTGAAATGTCAGATATGAAGTTTATTCTCCAGTTATCTTTACTGACAAAACCGGAAATAATTCAGGCAACCCTCCAAAAAGTCCAAGTGAAAACGATCTGACATGCAGAGTGAAGGTTTTAAAGCGAGGACTCAATCAATCTTTCAAACGGCGTCAAACACGATTTGACCCCACGAGTGATCCCGTTTGGCATCCAGCTGAATCGGCTCGGAATCACCGGAGACGCAATCACTTTGGCTCAGCTGCCTTCTCTCTAAGCAGCAAAGCCAGTTTCAGGTGTGATTCTCAAAACCTTTGTGTCTCAATAGTTTTAATAACTTTCAATAAGACAGTGAACACAGAGCGAACAACACACAGAAACTTAATTGGATGTCGGCCTTTTCCCCCGGTTCTGTAATAGCATTGTTCTTGTTGCCGCATTACTCATTTCAATTTCAAGAAGATGCGTAGCTTTAGCAGGTAAATTTGCTTTTTCTTCATGATGAATACTTTCTGAATCTCAGAGTGTGAAGTGAAGTGATTTTTAGAGTAACTCACTTGGAAAAATGATTAACTGTCACTTGACTACCTCGGTATTCTTGTCCCGAGTTACATTAAAAGGAGGTCCTAGAGCATTTTATTGAAACGATGAATCTGCTAGTTTACAGTATTTCGGTGTTATGAGCTCACCTGCAGTGGTTGGGTCCACAGTCTCTGTTGCAGTACTCGCCATCCCAGTCGGGGTTCTGTCCATGCACCGGATTAGGTGCCCCCGGAGACTGCGAGCCCCCGACGCTGTTCGGGTAATCAGCCTGAAGATGGGAGAATCCCTGCAGATTGGAGGAAAGAAGAAGAAGAGGGAAAGGAGGAGAGGTTATATCATCCTGGTGATTTGATGTTATAAGGCCAAATGATGTCAGTGGTCTGTATCTGTGGCTGCTGAGAGAGCAAAATAGCTGTTTCTCCGCTTGGACAAAATTGTTCTCAAAAGAGGCTTTTCCTCTGACATGAGCTGGATTGGACATTTTATTGACTGAAGGACAAGGAAAAAAGTGTTGGATTTGAGCTGAAAGTGTGGCTGAAACTAAGGATGTTCAACAATGGCTTTTTTACACTTTACCAATGTAATCTAACCTCGTTAAGGCCAGTTTATACCTCTCCGTCTGCATCGGTGCGGAGACACGCACCATCATTGCAAGGGCTCTCCAACAGGCTCGCAAGGGTGGATGGAATAGAACCCCACTTTTCTAAATATCCGTCGAAAGCGACAGAGACCGCAAGTCTGATCAGTCAGAACGCTGCTTCCTTTAACTTCATCAAACCGCACCACCATTCCCCCTCAAAAAATAAAATAAAACCAGACACCATCCCTTACCTAGAGAAGGCATTTTACCCTTTTCCAACCCTTTTATCTCCTCATAACAAAAGAAAAACTAAATATTTTAGGTAACTACCGTCACATACTTCCTATAACACATGCTTAAACTTAAAAAAAAATCTGTGTATAACATGGTAATACCGTATTTTCCGGACTATAAGCCGCAACTTTTTTCCCACTCTTTGAACCATGCGGCCTATAATGATGTGTGGCTTTACTGAAGATTTTCCTTCACCTGCCAGGGGGCGCTTTAGCAGAAAGTGAAACAGGTGGAAGTCAAAAGTGGAAATCGAAGAAAGTGCTCATTTTAATTTAGCACATGCAAGCAGCCGGCACGACGAAGAATTTTTGTTTCAAGTCCATACCCCCTCATCATGGTAACTACATGTATGAGTTCATATGTTGCCACATTTAAGTTGAAGGCCATCGATCTGGCAGTAAAGGAGGGAAACAGTGCTGCTGCACGTAAGCTTGGCATGCATGAATCCACGGTTCGGCACTGGAGATGGCAGCGAGAAGAACTCATTCAAGCCAGCTTCACCCGGGGATGATGACAGCAACACGGAGAGCGACACTGACATCGCCACAGAAAAGGTATGTGACGAAGCTCTTCTGAGGCTGTTTAACTCCGACACTGAAGAAGAGGACTTTAATGGCTTTAGTGCGCAAGAGGAAGGTGAGAGCAAATGACTTCTTCTGGTAGGCAAGTGTTTTATTTACTAAGGGGCTCGACATACGGGAGGCCACAAACGACCGTGATCAGCGAAATTCGTTGCTGTCGCTTTCATTACCTGACACACGGGAAGCGACCCGCAGCAGCGGCCAGCGGCAAAGCCGTCTACGCGTTCTGTTCCACGGTGAAATTGAAACTTCCATTGTTTTGATTGGCTGTGTCAGGTTGGAGGGAATTAAGGTTATTTAAGTGGTTCAGAGTTAATAAAGTGGTAGATATGATGTTTCACAAGGTGCTGCTAGAGTTATGTGAAATCTTACTTCTGATTTTACTATAAAACATAATAATAATCAACTTTTCCTCCATGTTTGCTCGGAGGTGTACGGAGCATCCTGTCCGCTCATTGGTCAGTGAATGAAACCTCCGTTGATTGGTCCTCGTCCGAGCGACAGCGATGAAAAGTTGAAAATATTTCAACTTTCTTGGATCACGCCGCTGGGTCGCCTGTGCACGACACGTGCACGAGCGCAAAATTTCACACGCACGTTTTTCGCGTTTCGCTCAGTAGAAGGGAGACCCGCGATTATCGCTTTGTCGCGCATGTCTCATTGAAAATGAATGGAGGAGAGGCGATGTCACCTCCCGTGTGTCGAGCCCATAACCAGGCATGTTTTGTGTGCAGTTTTTATTTTCTAATCATCCGGGGCTTACTAATGCTGTGTCAGCGCTGTTCTTTTCTTCTAAACATGCATGCAAATTACCGGTAATAACGTGTCAGTTCTGTTTTTATTTTATAACCATCCAGAAATATGAATGATATCAGTGCTGTTTTCTTTTCTAAACTTGCAGGCACGTTCACCCGTGTTTAGAACTCGTTTTGTTGAATTAAAACAGCAACGAACAACCTCCGTGTAGCGTCTTTCTGTCTAATTATCTTATGTTATGGCCGTACATGCGCTGTGCGCCGGAGACCTGCATGTGGCTGCTGCGCCACGGCTTGTATTTGAGTGCGGCGTGTGTGTAGAAAACCTTTTTTTTTTGTTGGTGCAGCTTATATTGAGGTGCGCTCTATAGTCCGGAAATTACGGTACTTTAAGTTAGGCCAGCTACACCATTTAAACAAGCAAACAAAAACTCAACACCTACATCAAATCTGTTGTATTTTGACATTTTGAGTGGGAGGAAAAGTAGCTGAAGATTTTGATGTAAAATTTGTTCATGATATGTAAACCTTGTCTCATTAAACAAGTAAAAACTGACACGAAATGCCAATATCAGCCGATAATATCGGTACAGGGATAATAGCAGACACTCGTGCTGAAACCTGTAAAATGTGGATCTGAGCAGGTTTTTATTGATTTAAGTTTTGACTAATGTTATCAAAATGTAACACGACGTATTTCTTTGTGTGTCACATCACCAACCTGTTGGCTGAGAGGAGGGGAGTTCAGAGATGTCTGGAGCCCCATTTGGTGTGAGATGATTGGCTGTGACTGCTGCATTCGGATTGGCTGGTTGAGCAGGGAGCTCTGGTGCAGGGAGAGCTGAGCGTGGGGGTGCAGAGGCGGGCTGATCTGGAAGGGTGCTGGGGGTGAGGCACTCATGCTGGGTGGGAGCATCTGGGACTGGCTGAGGGTCGGGGCCAGGGTGTGGCGGGGCGGCCCGCCGTAGCTCTGGAGCTCTGAGAGAGGGAAGGAGCCCGGCGGGCCTAGATAGGGTGAAGAAGGCTGGGGGGGCACGCTGTACAGGGGCTGTTTGGGGGGCAGCAGGTGACTGGGCTGGCTGGGTTGTTGGGCACTTTTAGGTTCAGGGTCACTGTATGTCTGCGGAATAAAAAATAACACCTTATTAGAACAAAAATATTTAAATATGGAGATCCTTAAGAAGCGTCTACTCAAAACTTTGCTGGTAAAACACAAGTCAACTTAAAGTGCATAGAGCTGATGTTGAAACCAACGATCCCCATAGCAACAGCTTCTCCCATCAGCAGCAGCTCCCACCATCTGGACTCAACTCCATCTCACTAGTAAACTCAACCTAAAGCCAGAATCTCATTGGGCTGCAACTGTTGGTGAAATTCTGCAAACAATATTCATGAGGAAAATTCCAGAATGTGTCCAAACGTTTGCTTTCATCAAATACCCATTAAAATATAAGTGATATAAAGTCAGTGTATCAATGGAGTTTGACTGTTTGCAAGAATTTTTTTAAAACATTTATTGAAACATTCACAAAGGTTCTTAATGTCTTCTGTCAGGCTTGCATGAACCCTAGCCCTAACCCTAAAAAAACACGTGCAAGTCTTAGGTGTGTTCTTGCTGTGTCGTATCACTAATTCCATGCTGTAGTTATTTTTTAAAACACAGAGCAGTTTTGTTTACCTGTTTCCCCAAAACGTAGCGGGAAAACAGGTAAACAAAACTGCGCTGTGTTTAAAAAAAGAACTATAGCATGGAACAGTTGCAAGTATTTATTTTAAATTGCATTTGTCTTGGGCGTCTGGAACTTATCTCAAAACCATCTAAAGTTAGTTTTCATCAGCGAGAAAGAGTGAGAAGTCTGAGATATCTTTGGGTGATTAAATTATGGCAATGTGTGACAAAAATGTGCACGTTTGTAGTACGTTTGTTTGTTTTCCTCTGCTTATCTGGGCCTGTGTCTCAAGTAGAGCATCTCAGACAGCCCTCTCCCCGGCCACCTCCACCAGCTCCTCATGCAGGATCCCAAGGAGTTTCCGGGCCAAATTGGAGATGCACTTGCTCCGATGTGTCCTGGGTCGACGCAGGAGCCTCCTGCTGGCAGGACAGCCTGAACGACCACCACAGGAAGGTGGCTCCTTTTAGTGCGGAGAAGCAGCGGCTATACTCTACTATGCCTCACATGACCAGTCCAAAATATTAATTAATTAATTAATTAATTAATTAATTAATTAATTAATTAATTAATTAATTAATTAATTAATTAATTAATTAATTAATTAATTAATTCATCCATCCATCCATCCATCCATCCATCCATTCATTCATTCATTCATTCATTCATTCATTCATTCATTCATTCATTCATTCATTTAATGATTAAGTCTAATCGGGTTTAAAAAAATACATCCAGAGATCTTTGTCTCTTGGTCAAATTCATGCAAGATGACCAATAATTCAAGTTAAACAATACAAGAGTGACACTTAACAGAAAATTACTGGGATTGTTTTTTCAAATAAGGATCAGCATCATCAGTGCTGATCAAGTATTTTTATCTTAGCCTTTTATTTGTCTTTGGCGTTTCTTTTACAACAGTTGGAGGAGATATCTGACAGCTGAAAACAACAAAAGGTAAATTTATGCACACTGATACTATAAAAAACTGAAAATGTTTCTGTCCTGACAGCTTTCAGTAGTCATTTAGCAGCGGTTCACACGTTCCTGCAGACAGACAGGCAGACAGTGAAACAGGTACGGGACTGAAATAAGTTGCTCTGCTTTAAGAGAAAACACCAAACTCTACCAATATCCTGCAACCTTGACCTTTTGCTGTCAGGACAGCGAGCAGGTGCACCACCCCTCTTCTACCTCCACTCTCCCCAGGCCTCTGTGATGAGCTGTCAGATTGCTCATCTCCAGCCATCAGTGTTGATTAGAAGGTAATGGAGCCCATTTGTATGAAAAGAGCTGGGGCTGAGGTAATGATCAATAGACACCTTGACAGATAGATGAGAAAAGGAGAGCAGCACACACACTTGTGCACGCACACACACCTACATACATGCACACATACAAATATGCAGGACCTTAGGCAGAGAAATGAGGCTATTTGCCTGCAGAACAAATGGAATGACAAAGGGAATCTTCCCCACACTATATTGTGTGCTGTTAATACAAGGCGGCACTAAACAATGCAATCCTCAGCCCTCTTCCTCGCTTTCTCTAGTTCCTGCGATACAGCGCTGATGTGCACCAGACACCATCATTCACTGGACAACAAAAAGCATGTCATAGATCTGAATTAGCAGCTAAGTGTCAGAGGTGGAAACAGAAGCAATCCAATGATTTCCTGTGTTGTTTTGCGATGTACTTCCTGTTGTAGATGGTGAACAAAGAAAATCAATAGAACTGCATGAGTAAGGTGTGAGATGAGTTCAGGACACACACACACACACACACACACACACACACACACACACACACACACACACACACACACACACACACACACACACACACACACACACACACACACAAAATACAGCAGATTTATGTAATGTGACTTTACCCATAATAGGTAATGTTTTTGCCTGTGTGTTTGACTTTTAGCTAAATTAAATCCTGGACGGACTTTGACAAAACTTCCTGAAAGTCAAGATTTAATCCAAATGAAGATGACCCTACAGCTGGTGAACATTAGTAAACGAAAATAAATGTCATTAACAACATTTGGTTCATGTGCTAAAATAAATTGAGCATAAAGTTGTTTCCGTACCTCAACATACAACTATTTTGGCATAAAATCTGGCATAAATGATGGCAGGGAAATATGTAGTCCTTCAAAAAATGCAAGACTTTGATTGACGATATGTCCATACTTAAGCGTGACTGCGTTCTCTTGCTATATTTTGTCACCACATGAGCTACAAAAGGCAAACCCTATTTACATCCTATGGAAATCAGTTTCCAAATGCAGCATTTTTTTTTTGGCATAAGACCCCTCCTACCTCTTCAATACCACTGTCTCATCCAACGAAGAGCCCACCCCCTCCCCATAGTACCCCACCCCAGCCCATTAGGAAGGATTTTCCATCCAATCCATCATCAGTCTTAGCCAGAGCCTGTGTGTGTCATGAGCGTTACCTTAGAAACCAGACTGGCTCGGTACGCAGCCAGGGCTTTCAGATACTCTTTCTTAGCTGCCTCGGTTTTCCTCTTGTAACCCTGTGAAAAAAATAACATAAAGACTATCAAAAGAGGAGACTTCAGGTGAGAGGAAAGGTTGACATGGTCAGTAAGGTGCAGAAACATGTCTGAACACACACACACACACACACACACACACACACACACACACACACACACACACACACACACACACACACACACACACACATACACACACACACACACACACACACAAACATGTCAGTAATGGTTCCCTTTCCATCAGAGCCAATGGTACAGAACACCTCTATTTCCTCATCATGACACTAATACTCCCTCATCTCAATGTGTCTGCCTCTATTGTAGCAACACATCATTTCCATTCCAATCCACCTAAAGAAATGAACTGGAACTTCTCGTTTCTGCTGCTCTCTTCAGCTCCACAATAACGTTTTCAGTGCACTGACATCCGTGCTAAACCAAAATGGTTGTTGTCATTTGGCATATATCCCATCCCTTTGTACGCGTTTTGCTTGTGCCAGTCTTTAGTGTGATAGCAGTGGTGCTTTCAAGGTACTCAAACATTCTATGATAAGGATGTAGCTTTCTTTAGTAATTAAAGTACACTGACAAAATGTAATTGTCCTGCATCTTTAAATGTGTCTGTGTAAAAGTTATAAATATTTATTAAAAATAAGAGATGTCCTGAAATGATCAACAACCAACATTGTTGGATGATATCGATAAAACGTAATGCCAAAAATTGTCTGTGTTGGTTTTTGCACATAGCATGGCCATATTATACGTCCAACTTCTCAGCTATTTCCCTTTTTGCTCAAAATGTCAAAACACACTACCCAGCCCAAAAAAAGTTGCCCCCCCCCCCCCCCCCCCCCAAAAAAAAAGGTCACACACACTAACATTTAGTAGGACCGCTTTTAGCTTTGGTTGCAGTATGCATTCGCTGTGGCGTTGTTTCGATAAGCTTCTGCAAAGCCACATGATTTATTTCGAACCAGAGTTGCATTAATTTTTCACCAAGATCTTGCATCGATGATAAATGACCCGCACTTGTATAGCGTCTCTCAGAGTAAGGGCTCCAAAGCGCTTTACACTACAGTGTATCACTCATCCACTCACACAAACATTCACACACTGGTGGGGATGAGCTACAATGTAGCCACAGCTGTCCTGGGGCACACTGATGGAGGAAAGGCTGCCGAGCACTGGCGCCACCGGTCCCTCTGACCACCACCAGCAGGCAAGGAGTGTTAAGTGTCTTGCCCAAGGACACAACAGCAGAATTCTCTGTCCTGAGTCGGAATCAAACCTGCAACCTTCCGATTACTGGACAACCCGCTCACCCTGTTGAGCTACTGCTGCTCCAAGCTACTGATGGTAGAGTCTCATCGCTGCACAAAGCCTTCTCCAGCACATCTCAAAGACTCTCAATGGGGTTAAGGTCTGGACTGTGTGGTGGCTAGTCCATGTGTGAAAATGACGTCTAATGCTCCCTGAACCACTCTTTCACTGTTTGAGCCCGATGAATCCTCACATTGTCATCTTGGTATGCTCGTGCCATCAGGGAAGATGGAATATCCTGGTCATTCAGTATATTCAGGTAGTCAGCTGACCTCATTCATGGAGCACATCCTGTTGCGGAACCTAGACCTGACCAACTGCAGCAACCCCAGATCATAACACTGCCCCCACAGGCTTGTACATTAGGCACTAGGCATGATGGGTGCATCACTTCATCTGCCTCTCTTCTTACCCTGATGCACTCATCACTCTGGAACAGGGTCCATCTGGACTCATCAGACCAGTTTATAATAAAGCGTTGGACAGTTATTAATCCAGTTTTGGTCATTTCTACAATCTCCTTAGATGTTTTCTCTGATTGATGCCAATGACCTGACCTTTCTCACACAGACTAACATATTTTCCACGACCACCAGATGTGTCTTTCCACATGATTTAAGAAATGAGAAGCAACTCATTGCACCAGTTGGGGTTACATAACTTGTTGCTAGCTGAAAGATAACTGCCCATGCAGTAATTATCCAATAGGAGGCTTTTACCCATTTGCTTAGTGAAATCCAGGTGGCGACTTTTTTTTGGTTGGGCAGTGTATGACAGATTTGAGGCATAGTTTTTGAGATTTTGTTTGTTTGTAGCGTATATCTGGGGCGACGGTGGCTCAGAAGTTAAGTATTCGCCCCGTAATCAGAAGGTTGCAGGTTCGAGCCCCGCTCAGTCTGTCACTGTCATTGTGTCCTTGGGCAAGAAACTTAACCCACTTTGCCTGCTGGTGGTGGTCGAAGGGACTGGTGGCGCCTGTGCTCGGCAGCCTCGCCTCTGTCAGTGCGCCCCAGGGCAGCTGTGGCTACATTGTAGCTCATCACCACCAATGTGTGAATGTGTGTGTGAATGGATGAATGACTGATTGTGTTGTAAAGCACCTTGGGGGGTTCCAGGACTCTAGAAGGCGCTATATCAAATACAGGCCAGTTACCATTTTAAACAAGCCAAATCAAACATCCCTAGATAAAAGTCGGCCACACATTTTTTTTACTGAAAATTTTATAAATTTATTTCATTGTGTTTTTTTTAAATTTTACTACTTGAAAATAAAACTCACATTAGTTACAATCTTCCTATTAAATGTTAAAATTTTTTTGCCTTGATCAACAACTTAATTGCATTTAAAGACCACAGGAAATCATCTCGAGGGCCACAGCTGGCCCCCGGGCCACACTTTGGACATGCCTGCAGTGGATAGCTTCATGAACGAATAACATTAATATCATTAACCATGATTCTGCCAAAAATTCCTCAAATGTCTGAACAGAAAGTGACAAAACAACATTAATTAAACAAATAAAAGTACATTTTCTAGCAGTTAAACAACACATTTACACAACTGAAAGACATCTACGAGGGCTTAAGCACTCATGAAACTCAACATCATGACCTCCTACTGTACAGTGCTGTCATCATTGGTGTTTTCTATTTATCACTTCAGAGCAGGAGGTGACATTAAATAGCAACTAAAAGAATAGACTGCTCCTTCTGTATAGCCAAGATGCCCTTCAGCCAAATCCAAGGATGAGACAATAGTGGAAGGGGATCACTAATTGTGTATTCTAGGCAGGATCAAAATAGCAGGCGAGAAATATAAATAAAGAGAAAGGAGAACTTTGCACATCTCAACTTGTCAGAGGGCAAATGAAGATGCATGGTAGGGAGGAATAAGGGAGGGAAAAGGAAAAATGAGCTTCCCAGAGCTGGAGTCTGCCTTTTATTATATACTAACTTTATATTTTTGATTAGAAGGTGAAGGAAACCTTTGCTTTGTGATTTTAAAGCATGCTTCATGCCTCATTTCTAATGTGATTATTTGAATTTGCAGGAGTGCATTAGTGAATATCTTCCAAGCATATTTACTCAGTGCAGAACATATTATTCCTTGTCTACTGAGACCTCCCAAGACATATGTATATTTTTCCCATATTGACCATTGCTCACTTGTAAAGTGCCCTACTTTGTTAGTCTCAGACTGTTTTATGGCCATTGTTGCTCAGAATACTCCCCCACTCCCGTCTCTCCCTCCCTTCAGCTGAATTAAATTTAGAAAGAAAATCATTTTAATGAGAGCCAAGGGAGTGGGGATAAACGGATGGATTATCTTTAGAAAGAGAAGAGCTCATTAAGGTGAGCTGTAACTCACAGCAATGTTCTGGTAATTACACAAAAGATAATGACAACAAAAGGCTGCTCGCCTGCTGAAGCATCCATGCCATCTATCGGTGGTGCCAAAATGTTTGTGCATGCTCCGCATTTATGTCAATTAAGAGGAATTATTCTGAAAATGCAAAAAGAGTAGCCACTTTAAAACCATGTTAAAATGTTTTACAAGTGTATTTGTGACAAATAAAATAAAAATGAAGTTTTATAAACACTAGTTCCATATTGCATGAGCATTTTATTTTTTACTAAACGATTTTAAGATCGTCTCAGCCTCGGCTCTGCTTCGAATGCATCTAAACTCTGCTGTTAAATGTGAGACATCCAGTGAACAAATTGTGCAACTTCTGCTTCTTCTAGCTGCCTTGCCAGCTTTTTAGCTTCACTATTAGGCTATACTCTGTTCTAGCCTGGCCTGCCAGACTCGTCCTCTGTTTAATTCTGCCTTTCTCTGTGCAGAATTAAACAGAGAAGGAGTCTGGCAGGCCAGGCTAACTCTGTTCTGTCCTCAGCAATCCCTGCATGATCTTTTAAAACATTTGCTCATCAAATGTAAAAACATATTCTGCTTTCAATGTAAATATTTGAAAATTCAATCACACTGACTTCGCTAGACGTTACTGCTGATTTGAGTATGAATTTATGAAATCCTAAAAAAGTGCAAATAAACATGATTTTTTTTTTCTTTAGAGATGAAGTTCATTTGTTTTTTTAAACACATCTGCAGTGGTCTAATGAATGACTTGTGAGAACTAGCTCAGTGAGAAAAAAGCTCTGGCGCTAGTGTTTCAGAAACTAGAAGTAAGCCAGATGTGGGGAGCAGAAGGCGCAGAGGCGGGCATCTCGCCTCTGATTGGCTAACAGCAACGCGAGTCTACCACTGATTCTGTTTGCACTGCAACGTTGATCTTGTATCTCCACAGATAACACAAGCCTGAAGGAGTTCCGCCATGTTGTGGACTTGCTAATGCTAATGGTTAGCTTCTACTAGCTTAGATGCTCTCAGCTCTCTCCTGGATGCTAAGTCAACATAGCTTACCCCTGTCATGAGCCAAGATATGCGAGTCCATGAATGCTAATTTTTAGTGTGACGTGGGGCGCCTCCAGAAAATTTTACTAGGGGTGGCCAGACAGATCCAAAGACATTTTTGGGGTGGCACGCCAAATTGGTCCTTGTGGTAACTCTGTGAGAGTTTAGCCTGTGGCAATGTATTGCAATGCTCCTTTATTTGTTTATATATAATAATAATAAAAAAAACAGTACGTATCTAAAACATTTCACTTAAATTTTACAAGCACAAAATTTTCAGAAAAAGACGTTTCAGTAAATAAAAATGTTATTTCAAATTGTATTTTTAATTCACTTTTTGTTTAATTCACCTGTTGCTGTGTTTCTTATTTGAAATGGTGAGAAGCAGAAACATGTTTTTTTATTCTGATAATTTCTTACTCATTAATTTAATTTTATTTTTTGTTTTACAATTATGTCTTGAATAAATAAGATCAATTATTGTTTGAGTGAACATTAATATGATTTATTAACACTGACTCTTGCTGGGGGGAGGGGGAAGCAATTTTCTAGGGGTGGCCATAGCCACCCCTGGCCACCCCTTGAGGCCACCATTGGCGTGACGTAGATCCGAGTGGCTTTTCTAATCAGTGTCTCCTCGTCTATTTTCTATCAGTGGCTAATGTAGGAAACAGGGGTAGGAGACTACTTTAAGTTTAGCCTGAATGTTTGACTCAAGAGTGATAGATCATATCTCAAAAATAACAAGCAAAAACAGCTCCTCAGTGAACTTCGTCTTTAAGACTATTTTATCAATTTTAGGGGTTCTTTATTAACATAACGTCTCATTCTTTCTTTGTATTTCAAACAAAATGTCTTAGACTTCCAACACACTGCAGATTAGAATTTTTATTCATCCTGCAGTTTGATCAGGATAAAGGCACTGAACCTGAATTTTTTCTGCAGCATGCCAGTCACTCACAGTTGTAGGGACCTGATGCGTCTATGACAAAACGAAAAAGGGTTCCTGCAGCAGATGGTTGGGCTCCTGCTGAGCTCTCATTACAACGTGACTGAGTTGGCCGGGCATCTCATGCAGACTGAAAAATGACACAGCGGAAATTTACAGAAGAGCTGTGGCAGGTTCTCAGAAGTCTGGATGACTACATAAAAAATACTTTGATGCATAAAGATGAGAGGAAAACAAGGTTCTAGTGGTAACTACATGATACTGGACTATTTAGGCTTTAAGTAATGAATACAATCTACTGGAGTCCTCTCTTTAGTTGTGGGATCTATAGTCTTTGAGCAGAACTATAGTTTGATGAATGTATTTAATTGTCCATATTTCATGACTTGGCATCTCAATGCAATTTCCCAACTTATGTTAGCATACCTGTTTCTGTTCTTCTCCGAGGCTATCCCACATGGAAGCCACAATTTTCGAGACGTCCCCAAAGGTGGCATTGGGGTTTTGGCCCTTGATGGCTGCTTGGGTGTCTCTGAAGAAGAGCGCATACGCCGAAACGGGTTTCTGAGGCTCGTTGGGGTCCTTCTTCTTTTTCTTCTTCTGAGGTTTGGGTTTGGGCTTCATCATTTCTGCTGAGGATCGTTTCTCGCTGCTTATCTGGAAACAGAAATAAAAGACAAAGTATAAAAAAAATGTTGCTGCTCGAATCAGGTTAAATATTGATTACTTGACACATTATAAAAACCACATGGAATCTCTTAACCTTAACCTAAAGTCACGCTCCTATACTTAAAGATGGCAGAAAGTGCCTGTCAGTGGTGACAGAAAACATTTAAAACAGGGTAAAAAACACAAAAGCAAAAGAAAACACATTTCAACCCCAACCGTCAAACAAATGCATTCACCTTTGGAATACACCAGACAACAAGCACCCAGAAGTGAAATCACTGACTTATCTTTTGTGCTAACAGTTAAGAATCATAAAAAAATGTTCTGATGACGCCACAAGACATAAATTAAACATGTTTTGCACCGAATGTTCAAAAAGCTACTCTTCAATCTCCTTGAATTCTGCAAAAGTAAGATCTACATGATGTACACGGTCTAATACGTGTTTTCATTCCTGGATTGGGGTTTGACTGAGAGTCAAATCCAGGTCACCTGCTTCTAGTTGTGATTCTATATGGAAATTGGCATCTTTGCACTGGAGAGAACGTGTCAAGCACATGAAAAAGAGGAAGAATAAAGAGCGATGCCTCGATCGTGTTGATCTGATCATTAAAACACGGTCTGACCTGATTTTGTTGTCAGAAAGACAGGAAACAAAATCGTAGGAAATGTAGACAGGATTAAATAAAGGCATCAGGCCAAATATCTCTTTCTGTATAAGGCATTCAGAGCTCTAAGTGGTAAATTACTGATGCTCATTTTTTTTCTTTTATTTTTGGCAAAGGGACATCATCTCCAAGGCTGCCCAGCTATTTCATCATGTAACTTTAAACATTTTCGAGAGCTCCTTTCATCATCCACTGATCCAGGGTTTAACCCTCTGGAGGCAGGCATTGCAGATTTGCAACAGTTAAAACCTACCTACCTGGTTACTCCACATACGTATTTCATGAGCATTTTTTCACTCAGAAGTACCCCTGAAGGACTTAGTTGTTCGTCCTTTTATCTAAACGTATTTTGAGCCTGAGAGGGTTAAGCGTTCAAACCGAGCAGAGGGGGAAGCAACTCATTAAAAAACAGCTAGAGAATATTTAAAGACGTTCATTTTTATTTAGCGCACACTTATCGAAAACAGAAAAGGGCTTTGGTTTGGTGGAAGCATTTACCAAACAACACGCTGCATGAAATGAACTCATCTAAATTCAAGGTCCAGGAAAACATTTAGCAACTACAAAAAAACTTCAAAATGGCTTTTGAGATGCAGAAATTAATGAAGGTTCCCATTCTGCAACCTAATTTTTTGTATGTTCCACGGATTACAGGTTACAATCATTGCACGTGCACACACGTGCACATGTGTGCACACGTGTGGTTTCATTAAAAAATAATCACCCTTCACTTTTAGGCAATGAGGCAGAAGACCGACATTTGGAAGAACATCTGTTCAACCAAGTCTTTGAAGTGAAATAGAACAAACTGACGACAAACTTAATGGAGAGACAGGAAAAAAAAAACACAGAAGGCTCAATAATATCCATGAAAATTCACGTGAATTCATGTGAACACAAATGACACATAAAAGCTATAAACAGTAACAGTCAATGAGAAAAAAAGAAGACCTTTAGTATCAACCAATAGCTTTTTTTAAACGTTGAATAAAAAATTTATTTATTCTCTGGTTGAGGAACATGCATTTAAATTTCAATAAGCCTGGGAAAAGAATAAAATGTTGTGAAGAAGGCTCAACACGACTTATTTTATTTAAAAAAAAACTGTAAATAATTGACTTTTATGTGCCTTTGCTTAAAACTGCAATTACTATTAAATCTATAATTAAAAACACAAGTTAGTTTTTCATCATTGGGCAGCAGTAGCTCAACAAGTTGAGCAGGTTGTCCAGTAATGTAAAGGTTGCAGGTTCGATCCCAGCTCCGGACAAGAGAATTCTGCTGTTGTGTCCTTGGGCAAGACACTTAACCCACTTTGCCTGCTGGTGGTGGCCGGAGGGACCGGTGGCACCTGTGCTTGGCAGCCTCGCCTCTGTCAGTGTGCCCCAGGGCAGCTGTGGCTACATCGTAGCTCATCATCATTAGTGTGTGAATGTGTGTGTAAATGGATGAATGATACACTGTAGTGTAAAGCGCTTTGGAGCCCTTACTCTGAGAGACGCTATACAAGTGCGGGTCATTTATCATTTATTATTTATCATTTGTTGCCAAAATTATTAAGATTCATTGAGTCCAAAGGGCCACTTGTGGCTCTGGAGCTGCAGGTCGCAGACTTGTTTTAGGACTTAATCACTTGGAAATGAAATGTTTTGTGCTCTTCATAATAAAAGCAAAAGCACAAAGAATGTTCTTGATGTGAAAGATATCCACTGAATCTGCTGCCATGACTTAATGCTGGTTAACGGTAGTGAAATATTCCCACAACTGCAATAATATCCAGCATTTTTTCAGTGTTTTGTTTTTCTTTAGCTGCAGAGAAAAGTAACGAGCTCAGTTTTTATAAACTGAGAAAAGAAGATCTTTATGCTCCTGATTTATATGAAACAGTCTGGTCTACTTTCTAAAGCCTTCACTGAAGAGATATCTTATTCTCTGAGGATTTCTATTGATCCAACATGGAGAAGGGCTGCAGTTCTTTTAATCTAACCTACTAAAATCCTGATGTTTACTTTGGATATTTTAGACTGATGCTACTATAATCTCTTGTGTTAAGTTTTTGACATCTTTATCATTACTAGTTGCTAATCAAACCCAAGCCTCCTCCCTTTAACACGGGAATGGGACCAAGCTCAAGGAACACACTTGACATCATCATTCGCAGTCGTGGAAAGCTGTGAGCATTCTCAAGACTGAATGGAGCAGGATCAGTGAGATGACAGCTGCAGCTGAGAAGACAGGCTGCTGGGCTTGTGAGAGGGCATCCTGCCCCAGTGCATTCTGGAACTTGTAGTTTTAGAGGTCTAACTTTTTAGGCATTGTGAGAGAGACAGATGAATGGTCAGGCACAACTTCCTCAAACAGCATCATGATGCAGATACAAGCAGACAACCATGCTAACTCGGCCATTGTTGGCCATTTGTCTGGGGGGAATGACCTGGAGTACATAGACTTTTTGGACAGGTGTGGGCATAACCACCTTTGCTTGAACACCAGTAAAACAAAGGAAATGGTGATTGACTTTCAGAGAAACACTCCTCCTCACTCATTAGTAAATATCCAGGGTGCAGACATTGAGGTGGTGGATATCTCTAAGTACCTGGGTGTTCACCTCAACAGTAATCTGAAATGGTCCAACAACACAGATGCTCTGCATAAGAAAGGCCAAAGCCACCTCCACCTCCTGAGGAGTCTGAGGTTCTCCGCAGTTAATTCCAATCTGCTAAAATCCTTTCATCACTCTGTTGTTGGCTCTGATATCCACTCTGTTATGGTCTGTTGGGCCGCAGGCAGCTCTGACCAAGACAGGAAAAGACTGAACAAGATATAGTTAAAAAAGCTAGCTCAGTTCTGGGCGGTCAACTAGATTCAGTTAAGGAGATGTGTGAAAGGAGGATGCTGGGGAAAACCCCTCCCACCCACTGCATCCCACTGTGTAGGCCATGGACAGGTTATTCAGTGGCAGACTAAGACATTCCAGATGTAAAACAGAACACTGCTATTGGTCATTCCTCCCCTCTGCCTTAGGAGTGTATAACTCCTCAGTTTAACTGGTACTGGCATTATCATGTTACTCAATAACATTAATGCAAAATTCAGTATGTGTTCAGTACTTGTGCAATACCTGATGTATGTCTTTGTCCCTTAAGCTACATAGTTCTGTACACACAACTTTACTTTTATTCGTTGTTTTTATGGTTGAAGGTTACAATAATAGCTTATTGCCTATGTGTGTTTGCCTGTAACTTTTTTTTATTTTCTTCTTCCTTTTCTCTAAGTGTGTGTGCTGCTATTCTAATTCAAAGCTAATGGTGTGATGGGGTGTTGGCTAGGTGCTTAACCTTATTTTAAAGTATCAACCAATAGTTTTTTTTCACTTTAAGCTAGAGCTTTAACATTGATCTCAGTGATTGTTGAGTTAGAAACTTGACCAAAGTTTCATATTTGACACACTCTGTAGCTCTCTGCTGACCAAAAACCGCACTAGTTTTGTGGAGCGGGTAGGTGTCCTACGACGACCTATTAACTACATTTACGTTGTTAGCTGTAATGCTAGCAGTTAGCATTTTCAGTTCGTGGATCATAAATTCAAAGCACAAGAAGAAAAAAGTTTTCTTTTTCTGTTGGCATCATGGTGGAGCCTGGAAGTAAAATTAAGAGAGCAATGTATTTGGAGGCGAAGCAAAGCGCTAAAACCAGAGTGGACATCGGAACGGCCAACACTAATTTGAGGAAGCTAAAGGATGTTACAAAATCAAACTGATGGTGACCTGGCTTTGTTGCTACTGAACTTGTAAGTAATAATATTTTTTGTCCAACAGTGTCGATCTTTTTTACTTCATGGTTTATTTTAGTAGTAGTTGGCTTGTGTTAGCACTAGCTATAGCAAGCTGCAGCAAGTTTGTTTACGACAGTTGTAATTCCACTTTCAACCAGTAGGGTTTAGGAGCAGGAAACTGTTTGGTGCTAGTTTAAGATTTCAAAGCCATGCTGGTGCTCTAATAGGCCCCCGCAGTGTGGCTATATTCTCATCACTGACTCTACATTTCCCTTTTCAACTAAAATGATAAACCGTGTAGCATTGGAGAAGACCATGAAATGCAAAGGTTAACCGCCACAACCTAAAAATGGAGGGTATGTGCACATTCAGAACCATAGTCCATCTATTGTAATGCATCTCACATAATGGAAGACCATCCATGTTGTGGCTGATTTGTGCACTATAACTGAATCTATCATGTGCTACATCTAAAACAGGAACAAAAAACATGTAAAACATAATAAAATGTGCATCTTATGAAAGCACAGCACCTTACAAATGTT